TCACCATCAGCCTCGAGACGGGAAGTTAAATGAATGCCATATTGCTGCTTGAGTTGGAAGTATCTGGGTGTTCTTGAGAATGTAGTTTGGGACTGTAGTCGGAGGCTCTGGCGGAGAGGTGCTCGAGCAAGAAGAGTGCGAGGAAGTAGTTGTGCAAGAGGAGCTGACATTGTGGTCGATTGAGGTCACAATTTAATGTTTCCCAAAGTCAATGTCCTCAATCGCACCTGCCCTGCGAACGATTTGAGTATTTGGAATAGAGCAATGACGACTGCGCTGCTTCGCACTTGCTCTGTTGTCATTCACTGCAGGTACAGGTGGGGTGAAAGAAAGCAATAGTGAAGCTGACTCGTTCAGGGTAGCAAGCTGGAGCTGTAGGCTTGTTCAAGCTCTCGTTAGGCTCGCTGCGAGAATCGAGGGGCTCCACGATGACGCTTCAGGGCCGGTGGTGCCGAGGTCGGCGGGCAAGGTCTATGTGGACGCCGTGCGTTCCAGACCTTTTGTGATGAGGAATCAGATAATGCGATGATTGTGAGCTCGAAGCACGCAATTTCGCGACAGATTATGGAAGAATGGACGACCTCTGTCTCCCGGCTCAAATATGTTCAGCATGGGACTGGAAGAGGTTGTCGGGTTCGCATAGGAAAACAGCTGGTTACACGAGTGGGCTGTACTGTATCACGACGACCGCAGGTGTGCCAGCACTGTCTCCCACTGGGGCCGTCGTTATCTTCCGACGCGTTTTGCATGACTGGCGCTCGATACCACCGATCTAGCTGCGTCGTAACTATCAAGCAGATAGCGAAGTATCACGCTTTGTTGTAGCTACGTAGCAGTTGATAACTAGCCATAAATCCACCAGCCTGTCAGCAAACACACGCCGGTTGCCATCACGAGTCCATCGATCAGCCGGAACCCCATTATTCCAAGTCTCATTAGGTCGTCAATTGACGATCCGATGAGCAAACAAGCCATCGGAATCCACATCGTAGTGAGTGGCCATATGCCATGCGTGAAGATGAGACCAAGAGCCGCAAACGTACATACACCAACCGTGATCATGATGCCGCCACCCATTGTTTTGTCTTCGGATCCGTAGTGGTCAAGTCCCGTATAGACAAGAAGGCAGGCCACCACTGCCGCCGCAGCATCGAGAAGCCACTTGAGAGCTGTGCTCAGCCTCCAAGAAGTGCTCTTCGCAAACGTCGATTGCTGCGGACTTTTCGGTGATGCAAGCTGACCCGGTTTCGGGAAGCATCCATCGACAGGTGGCTCAATAGGCGTCTCCCGACTCTTTAGACGTGCGATAATGTTGAGTGCGGAATCCTTAGTGTTGTCGTACCTAGCCATTTCTGAATTGCATGACAGTGGCCCCTGCCAATAACTCATGCGGAGCATTCGTTCCCTCTGTTCCTCTTCAACTCTTTGTTGGTAGGTTGCGCCTACTGTCCACTTCGTCGTCACGAGTGTGATCTTAGCTATGCTTGTGACGCCCAAGAGGCGGTCCATCATGTGAAGGGTTGTGTCGAGAGCCTATACAGCGTCAGCAAGGGTTCCAATGACCTGAGTCGGTCACCAACAGTCAGTATTGAGCCAGTGGCACGTGGCGACCGGATATCGTAAAGAAATATCAAACCCATCAGCAGCTTGTCCTTGACGTTCAATTCTCTTAGCGAATTCTCTATCGTCAGCATGATCTCGGTGTCCGTCCGAGTCCTATTGCTTTCATCAATGCCCGGAGTATCGACAAGGCAACCGGGTCCCGTAATACGGGAATCAAAGCGGTAAAAGTTGGTGGCGTCGGTGTCTGTACATCCCGTTAGTAGAAATGTCCCAAAGTGAGGAGAATATCACAAACGAGATTCAAGCTGGTGGCTGATGGAGGGTGGGCGGCCTGTCTCGATATGTTTCCCGCCCGCAGTGGCTATGAAGGTGCTTTTGCCAACACCAGTCACACCAAGAACCGCGTATATAGGGAGATTGCTGTCGAGCTTACGTTCCTGCTGATAGCTCTGAACTCCGTCTGACCCAGTCAACCAATGAGGAACTATGAACAGGACCACAGCAAAGATCAGCAACGTTGCCACATCGACATAGCTGACGCCTCGACGAAAGACTGCTGTCTTATTGATCTCGTCTCGGAGTCGAGCCCTGGCATTAGCCTCGCCCTCGCCGTAGTTTGGTACCAGCGAGAATCCAAGTACTCCGAGCATGCAATACACGATATCTTCCGGTTCTTTGGTCTCCCGACCTTCGACCCATTGCTGACGCGCACCCGACGAAAACGTCGATAGCTCTCTACCTTGGAGTGCAGCTGGGGTTATTCTCGTAATGGGTACGAGTAGATGGACCAGGTCCTCCCTGTGTCCTAGATCACGCCCCTCCTGGGAAAAGAAAACCACCCTCCTAGGAGCTAGTAGCTCTTGCAAAGTCCAGCCACGTCTGAACCATCTGCTTCTCTTGAAGTCATTCTCCCAATTACGATATTTGTTGTTCTGGCCATCAGAAGCAGCCGTTGACACGTCAGACAGATAAATATAGCAGAAAGCCGCATTCTGATACCAGCGGAACATGGACTGGATCGCTCTGTTGAGCTCGGTCGAATTGCTCCTGTCGATGCAGCAAGTGTCAACCCAGCAGTAATCTAAACCATTCTGCTTCGCCTGCCTGGCACAGAATAGCACTTTCGAATAGCCGGCCTTGTCTCTGTAAGTCCTGTTGTTGATATCAGCAAAGGTCACTTCGTCCTCAATGCCGCGGAGGCTCCATGTGTGGGAAAGAATGGAATACGCAGGGAGCTCCTTCTCAGGCAGATCCTCTGATAGTATCAGACCGTCCTCGGAGTCAAGAGAAAGCAGGCGCATCTTTTGTGCGCAGGGAGCTAATAGCACGAAACGTAGTAAGGCACACACTCTTTTCAAGAGAGGTAAAAATCATTTGTTTCGACCTAGCCTTGTACTGCGCAGCGAACTTGAACAAGCCCGCTAGCCTAGGCCTCTCGACTGATACGAGGCTAGGACAATCATCGCGAATAGCTGGAGAATCAGAGGAGAGATGTGATGTGCAGGTCGCGCGGGCTAGGATGCCGCCAGCAAGGAAAGAGATAGGCGTGCCAAGATCCACTCCGGGCAGCAGCGCCTCCACGCCTGGCAGGGACTTTTGGCATAGTATTAACGAGCCAACATACTTAGATAATTTTCCGAACGGAATACTGCCCATGTACCAGTATTCGCGTCGACTGCCAAAGATCCCAAGTTCTTGGTCCATGAGTAACATCAGGCAGGCACGTTGACTTATCAAGCTCTTAAATCCTTTGGTCGACTGCAGGCTACAATTCTGTGTCAATGGCCTGCAAGTCAGACGTCATCACCCATGAAACGACACCGCGTTAGACCTCAAATACTGGTGACCTCAATACACATGGTCCAGAACATTTCATGCCTGTTATCTCGTATCCTCGACCGTGACTTTCACGTCCACCCAATCTGTACCTTCAGCAGGCACGTATATCTGCTAAACCTGACTTTATACCTACAGCTTCCAGTTTCCGAACGCCACCGCCTCTAGCGAAGGCATCGCAGCAGGAGAATTAGACGGGCAAAGCTGGATTTCCGCACCTCTGACCTTGACTTCGAGGCACGAACAGGAGTCTAGAATCGATTTGGAAGAAAGTAAATTCATGATGCCAACAGTCAAGTGCAAAGAATGCGGCGCCGGCGTGGACCTCACGAAAGATGGACTCTACGGGCATTGTGCGAGCTGTAACAACGTACGTTCTTGTTCTCCTCGACTAGCAACTTGCCTATCCTCTAGTGCCTCATCTCTGGGCATATCTGGAGTGTACAGATCTACCGCACTCGATAGGCTCGCTTGCTTTCTCCTCCTTTCTGTCCGCCCATTCTTCCCTTTCCCATCTTGCCGTACTCTCTTAACTTGAGCTACGTTCTCGAACGCTCCTGTCCTACACCACTTCCCTGACTATATATGCTGATACCATACCCTGACTTGCTCAGATCATAGAATTCACGCCCGAGGAGCTCGAAGAGCAGAAGAAAGGCTCGTCCTCAGACGACTCGAAGTCCGGGAATTCGACCACCAAGAACGACGAAGCGGATGATGAATCCAAGCCGAGGAAGCTGGCGGGTGACGACAATCAGTGAAAGCGGTGGGCAGGGCTATTCCAGAGTGATATGTTCCGGCCCGGTACAAGACTATCTACGCCTTGGGGACTCAAGAGTCCCAACACCGGAGTTTGTCTGGTCGCTTTGCGTGTCTGACGTCGGCGTAGATGGCACGAACGACCTGTGTGATGACATTTGTCTTACAAAGCATCGGGGAAAGATTGAAGCAGTCGCGGTGAAGCCGCTGGTTTGAACGAATCGAGATAGCCAACTGCTCTCATCCATCGTGCCCTGATCGGCCGTGGCTTCTTCCGGGCGGCGACTTAGCGATAGCCACTTCTGCAGAATGCAAGATCGCGCATCTGATCTCTGGTATGGGCAAGCGTAGTCTGTCGCTCCCGGGCCAATCCGTGCTAGCGGACGACTTCTGGCGTGCCGGGTCTGCAAGGTTTTAGTCAGGCCTGCCACGGCAAATTTGCACCGCAGTGTCCCTAACGCGGACTGGCTCCTCAGTTGGTCGGCGTGTCCGTCGGGCTCGTCTCGAATGCTTAAGCGGTGCTCGACGCTCCAAAGCCGTTCACTGACCCTTCGAATCGGTCGGTAGGAATGAACGAGCTATACATAAGCCGTCCACTCAGGATCCCGGCATAGAAGTCGCTGGGCTCGCATATGTGGTGTAGATCGGTCGACTAATGCCCACCTTGCCTTGCAGCAAGTGCAACGAAGCACGAGCGATCTCACTTGCTTCGATGCAGGTCGTGATAGCAGCCATCCGTGGCAGCTCTGTGGCTGCATGATGCCAAGTCATCTAGCTCAGGCGCTTGATCAGAGTGATGGCAGTATGGCTTCAGTCATTGATCAGCAGGCTGCTGACTTTGATGCCAGGCCGGTCATCGGGTATAGCTTTTTGTACCGCCACAGAAGGATTAGGACTATGTTGCTTGCTCAGATGCGACAGCTGAGACCGTGGGCTGTCGTTGACAAGCGTCGTTGGGCTAAAAGTCACCGGGCTGATTCCGACATCGGTGGGCGGGCTGGCTCTTCGCTGCATCACATTCTGCCAGGCATTATACCACTGCGAAACGAGGCTATCATGCCAAAGGAATGTCCGAAGAATCTTCTCGACTGTCGGCCACGACTTCGCCTGAGGAAAACGGTTCAAAATTTTCTCGAGGACAGGTGCGTGTCGAAGGCCTCATCTGCGCAGTTGTCCAGGGCGGAAGCAAGGACCACAGCGATCCATAGTAAGCACTTCCCGTCCAGCTTCTCCTCGTTCTCACGGAGATTGAACCTCATGTATGCGTCGACACATGACTGTAGCAGAGATGTACAACCTGCGGGCAGTGGCCTACCGCATTGGAGTGGCAAGCAGTAAGCCACAAGGCCAAAGCAGAGGACGTGCTCCATCTTGGTGGTCTTTAGGGTTGTAAGCTTCAGAAGATCGGTGTGTATAGTGTGTAGATCAGCTCCGTCCGGGCGAGGTGAGTTTGCCGTCGCCTCGGCAGAGCTGGGCGTGAACGGTATGCGTTCGATCACGCGGACGCACTGCATCGAAAGAAGGCTTGAGACAGCCAAATCGCTGAAGCCTTGGGGAATGCGAGCCAGTGATGCTGTATAGTCTGGAGGAAAAGGATGATTAGCATAGACTGGAATGGCGTTCCTCATCGCCTCGGAAGGTTTGTCGGCGCCATTGGTGGTCGGGGAATTATTTTGCTGACTATTCGACAGAATGAAGCTCCAGAGCATTTCGAAGCTGGGAATTTTAGTTGTTGACCTGGTCGAACCCGTGAGTGGACACTTACGCGGTGCAAACAGCCGTGAGAAACCTATTCCAGTCCGTGTCATCTCGATGGCCACCTCTCATGGTCACCATCTGACGCATGCTCTGCAAGTACTGTTCGGCCAGTGAATGCTCGCCAAGCGTATACTGCTAATGTCAACGACGCCCGGAGTCAATACCGTTGGACTACCCACATCGACTGTTGTCAGTGCCATTATCGAAAGCAGGGTCGTGTCATCGTAACACGTGTCGGGGTTGTCGAGACGTCTCTGCAAGGCTTGCTTGCTGTTGTTGAAGTGATAGTTGAACCCACGATCATGCAGAGTGTCTTGACCGTTCTCCAGAAGCCACGATGCTCGGCACATGGCAATTATGCCTTCGAAGATCGCGGCGTCTTGCAGAGCGTACGGCCACAGCAATGATAAATACGGGTTCGGATGTCCGTCAATGGCAAAAGCGTGGCCTTGCTGCGGTGCCCACACACGTAGAACTGCTGTACGTCAACTTGAGTACCCGAACTGCGATAGCCACGTACAATGTTCAGCCATGCGATGAACCACGCCAATGGTTGGTATCGGATAGGCATTGAAGGGTTCGGCGTGAAACACGTCCAAAGGCATTCCTTTTAGCATGATTTGGCCATTCCTGCCCGTGGTGGGAGATGAAGCCGCTTTCTGCTTTCTCCGTCGGGAAGGTAGGCTACCGATGATCATGATTCGTTTCTGCTGGACGGAATTGCTGGTGACATCTCTCGAGTGCACTGCAGTCCTTCTCTCACTCCTTGGAAGCTCGTGATTGCGGAATGCTGGCCGCCATCTACATTCATGTCGTACCGAATAGTCGATACCGCAGGGACATAGATGCGACTTTTGTATCTGAGGAGCAGGCTGGATTGCTTGCTTCCGTTTCATAGTTGTCAGCTGCGTTCGTGTCGCTGCGTCGACATGATGATTAATGGCAGAACACTGGGCAGTAATTGTGGTGCAGTCAACTGTGGGTGGACGACAGACAATGCTTGACGTCCGATAAAGACAGTTTGAGCCGCGTTTGAGCTAAGTCCGAGTCCACTGGGTAGTGAATTTCCTAATTAATACGAAACTTCGTATGGACGCTGGAGTGCTTTAGACGAGACAGGCAGCCAGGACTGGTGAACACAGGATGGGATTGGTTTGTCACTGGGAAAAGTCGCCAGCGATGGGGGTGGCTTACGGCGGTGAATAGGTATGACAGGTCGTTGGAGCACAGTTTCGCTTGGTGAAGTGAAGTTGTAGCCTATCGTGGTAGCGGAACAAGTTCTCGATGGGTACTTCGGTAAGCACGAGTCTCGCTTGCGCAGGCGCGGCCGTAATCGAGAGGAATTGCGGCTCCAAGCAGACGTCAAATTGGTCCTGCTTTGTAGAGGCTAGGAAGGAGGTACTGTACCTTATTTCACTTACAGTCAGATGTTCAAGTCATTAGTGCAACGGCGCCCGGTGGCTATGACCATGTATCAAGGGCAGGAGCTACTGGCGAGTCGCGGCCTCGACACGGCCCCCAGCATCCCGACGAGTGGCATCAAACGTTCTCCGGCTTGGCCATCTGGACCCGCTTCATGGGGTAGGTTTTGGGCTTGATCTCTTGTGTGCCTTGACCTGTGTTCTATGACCAATCGAACGAGAGCTTTCCCTTGCCTGCCTTGAAATTTGAAGACGGCGAGGTCGGTATGAACAGCCTTCACAGTCCTTGAAGACCCCGAATGCGGAAGGAGACAACTATTTCGAGGACTTGTGCGTCTTGTTCAAGCCGTCAAGGCTTGGTGGCGCAAACTTTCGTCCGCAGATCATATGTATAAGTCGACTATCAACTCTATATACTACGAAAATACGAAGCCGACCATCCGGATCTTCCATATGTCGTAAAGTTGACTTTGCGAAATACTTGTTCAAGGCGCTGCAGCCCGCCCGGCGTAACGGCCCAAGGATCTGTACCCGTCTAGAAGGTGCTGATCCCAATTCTCAGCTCTACAAGGTACAACACCTACAACACAATTACATACATGCTATGTTGCATGACTCACGGGAACATCGTACATCGAATCTCAGCAGCTGCGACGTCAAACGGTACGATCGATCTACATTTGCCGACGAATCTGTCGTCTTCGCTGCAAACGCCCATATGCGGGATGCCTGGACTCGCTTCTCGTTGTGACGCCCGAGTCGGGGCATGTCTCCGGGCATCGAATCTCGAAGTACCGCGAAGCGAGGACAACACGAGGCAACGATTCCAGACATAGGCTGATCGACCGTAGAGTGTGCCTGAAGTGTTACATATGCCAGAGGACCGTCGTGATCGTCTCTACAGTATGACAGCTGCTACACCACAAGGAAACGTTGGCACAGTCATTGCGAATTCCAAGGCCTCGTTTTCGGATCCAGAAAGAAATCTCCGACTCGATCGACTCCGCTTACCACCCCCCTGCTGCTTCCCCAGAACCACGACCGATACTCTTTTCGGACTGGCAGGCGAACAATCTGGTTTATCTTGTCTGCGCCAGGCATACGCATCTCACGACACATGCATCAGCAGTCAGATTGACATCCTCGAAGTTGTCTGTGATTTGTACCGCGAAATGCTTTTTCGCCCACCGGAGGCCTCGCAAACATTGAAGCCAAAACAGCCACGCAGATCAAAACTCTACTGCTGGACCCTTGCCCAAGCATGAACGGGAGACTCGCCACCTGATTTGCAGATGCGGGAAAACGCTTTCCAGGCCGACTGCTTATTGCTGCTAGAGTTTGCGATATCCAGGGGCGATTCGAACCGTTCAAAGCAAGGCCTCGTACTAAGCAAAAGCATATGCTTCGCTTACACAAACCGTCGCCACTGCTGGCGTACCTGGACACGTCGATCAGTGTTCGACGCGCGCTGCCTTGGCTCAGTCGACTGTCGCATGCAGGAGAGTGTACATGGCCCACTGGACCAAGCGGATTCACTACGTACAACGCGTGCACACTGATTGCGGCGAAACTGCGAGCGCGGCTCACGGACGAACGCCGTCTCCCACGGAACAAGCAACTGTTGTCAGATGCTGACCTCGTGTTCCTGTACATCGTCAACTCGGCGTCTAGGTATCTTCTTTCCGGCTTCCTGTATCCGACCCGGCTTTCTGCACATCCACGCCGGTCTTCTAGGTATCTTCAGCCGCCGCATTAGGCATTTCCGACCTGAACCAGATATCTTCAACCCGCCGTGATAGGCCATTCCGACCCGACATCCCGAGAATCTTCAGTTCGGCGTTCTACATGTCCCAACGACCAGCCTTCACAGTCGACCGTCTTACCTAGCACTCCATACAGTGACTAGTACCTGAATCGATATACTGCAAATGCCCGGCGAGCTATGACCGTCGTCCGTGGGAATGTGCGATATGAACGGACGTCCAGGTGGGCTCAGTGAAGCAACGCCGGGCAATGTCTCAGGCGAGGAGTCTACCTCAGCACGATTTCTAGCTGCTCGTTGTCTGGCATTTCAGCAACAGAATGGTTCGACTGTGTGTGAGTCCGAGAGTTGGGAAACTAAGTCACTCGCCGCCCCGCTCAACTGTGACCGGCTATGGGTGAAGAGCCCCTCTGGGGCCAGTCAATCAGGTGACTACAGGCAGCAACGGACTTGCGAGTCATGGAAGCAGCAGTGAATACCGCCTGGACGGGTCGATAGAGTGAATGTTTCGGTTTGCCTCGGATCTCAGCTTTGTCAGAAAGGTATAGGTAGGTGCCTTGCCCTCGACTCCTTATAACTCGTTCGACACACCCTCTACCCCAGCTCCGATTGCCACGCCATGATAGCACTCAGTGCAATCTGGTGGGGCGAAGATCTTGGTCGGGCTTCGTGCGATGGATCGGCTGGTATGCTGCCGCTTCGATGAATGCCGATAGGCCACAGGGAGATTCACTTTCAAATGTCGCATGAATTGATATCAATCGTCGTAGAGCGCCATCCATTCTAGATCTCTACACACTCTCAATCCCCAACGCTCTGCTTTCCTATCTCAAAGAAACACGTATCTATCATCCCATCTACCAAACCAACAATCTTGCCCTCCCGTCTAGTCATCTCTTCTGTCCAAAGTCAACGTGCTCGCAACAACCCCATCCCAACGATCGATTCAGGAACTCCCACCCCTACACCCTACACCTTACTCTCACCTCCCTCCCCGCCCCTCTTCAGCCCCACCGTCGCCAACACCAACCCAATCCACCTGAGCACCCCTTTCCTCCCTCCCAGCGTCAAGACCAACACCCACCACGCAACTTTATCATTGCCCTCCCTATCAAAATTCACATTCCTCCTTTGCATCGCATCGAAGGTCTTGTATTTACTCGTCCCCGCATATGGCGGATACCGCATCTTCATTATCCTCTCCGCCCAGTTCGGCGTCTTCGCTATACTCCGTCTATGCACAAACGCGTCGAAGCTGGCTCTACCTCTATACGCGCCCATCCCGGAATCCCCCACCCCGCCAAAATCCAGCGTCGGGATAATCGCGTGAAATAACGTGTCATTGATAGTCGCTCCCCCCGAGCGAGTCTGGGCCAGGACGGCATCTGCTTCGGCCTCCGAGCCGATATATACGTCGCCAGCGGCGTCTCATGAAGGGCGTTAGCGTGCTGATCGCTTCGGAAAGAGAGTCTACTGGTAGTAAAGTGAGGAAGGGCCCGAACGTTTCCTCTGCGAGGAGGGCATCGTGCATGTCTTTGACGAGGACGACGGTGGGCGCGACGTATAGCTGCTCGGCGTCGGTTTCGCCTCCCAGGAGAATAGTGCCAGTGGTTGCGTCCAGGAGTTTCTGCAGGCGGGAGAAGGATTTAAGATTGACGATCTTGCACCAGTCCTCTGTGCCTTTTGCGCCGGAAGGGTAGAATTCGGCGTATGCCGATTTCAGCTCGGTGATCAGTTGAGGGAGGATCTTGCGCTCGACGAGGACGTGGTTGGGCGACATGCAGAGTTGCCCCGCGTTCATGTTCTTGGCCCAGAGGAGGCGGCGGGCTGTGTTGGGGACGTTGATATTGGCGGTGACGATGGCGGGGTTCTTGCCGCCGAGCTCGAAAACGGTGGGCGTCAGGTGCGCGGCGGCGGCTTTGGCGACGATTTTGGCGGTGCTGACGGAGCCGGTGAAGAAGATCTTGTCCCATTTCTCGGCCAGGAGGGCTTGGGTTTGCGGGATGGCGCCTTGGATTACGGTGAAGGCGTCCGGGTCGAGGGCTTCGGTGAAGAGGAGTTGGATCATGGCGCTGCAGTTGGGGGTGGATTCGGAGGGTTTGAGGACGATGGTGTTGCCGCCAGCAATCGCGCCTATGCATGGGCATAAGCAGAGCTGGAGCGGGAAGTTGAAGGGCCCGATGACCAGCACGGCACCATAGGGGTCCTTGCGGATCCGGGGGCTGACGAGGCGGTTGGCGAAGTCAATGTCCGTGGGTTTCTCGTCCTTCATCCAGGACTTGAGGTGGGTGGTAACGTAGACGATGTCGTTCTTGACCCAGTTGATCTCGCCCAGCATGGCGTCGAACTGGCCTTTGCCGATGTCTCGCTCGAGGGCGAGCCGTAGATCGGCTTCATGCTTGTCGATGGCCCAGTAGAGCTTGCGGAGCTGCTTGATCCGCCATTCGACGGGGCGGGTTTTGTGCGCCCGGAACGTTTCGCGGACGCGTGCGGCGGCAGTTGGGACGGTTTCTGGGGTGGTTTCGATGAAGGTTGGGATTGTCATTGTTTTGGGGTTTATGGCTCAAGCTTTCGGTGTGACGTTGGTTCCGCTAGGGGTGGTCTCTTTCCAAATTCGAGGTTATTTGATGTCGACGCTGCTTGTCGCAACAGGAACGCTTCTAATGTGATATTTCTATCTATATTTGATACATGATTCGGCACAATTATCACCGAAGAGGAAGAAACAGGTTGTGGCGCTCTGGCCACTTGGAAAATCAATGCAAAGATACAAGATCAAACTTCCTCGCGCAAATATATTTAATGCTCACTTATCGTGCAGCCACCTCGGTCGGGCGCGACCTTCTTTGGCGAGGCCACCTACCTATACTAAGGCTTGCATGCAATAGGAGGACTTCAGGCACAATGCATACGACGACTCGTAAGCGAAGAACGCCTACCGAATGCTGAATAGAGCAACAAGTCAGCATCTGCACCGCCAAGAGAGTCCCTGAATCTGACGGCACTGGGGTTCGTAAGTCGCCGAAACATCATAAAGGGGATGCAAGAGCCTCACGACATGCATGGTAGTCAGAGATTGATGCGGGTCTCATGGTAGAGCATGTCAATGAAGTATGATTTACTGCTATCGCCGGTGCCTTGACTTCGAGCGGACACTGCCATTTTGATGCTGGCCAGACGCCCTACCATCGACTCTCCAGGGTGGTTCCCCGGAGGTCTTATCCTGAGCCTCATTCAAGATCTTCCACATTTCAGCAACACCGATCCTGTGCCTAGGGAGTACACTATACTGTAGTCCGTACATCTCATCGCGACCAAGTGGCGGCACAAAGCGACCGGTGAGAAGCCTGAATACAACATTTGCTGACAAGTAGTGTTTCCGGATCCGACTGCCTAGCTGAAAATACTCCTCAAAAATCTGCCGCAGGGAGAGAGGATGCGAAGACAATCCGATGTATGACACGTTCGGTAGCAACAGCCGTTCAAAGTCTGTGCTGGTTGGTGACTCGTCGTCGTCCTCGATCTGTTTATTAGGCGATGGAGCTGGTTGTTGAAGTACGTCTTCCTTAGCCACTGGAATCAGCCGGAGATGTATACCTCCTGGCAGGCGCTTGCTGTCCTTGACGCGTAGCATGATCGCGAAGAGTGGAAAGTGGTTCAGACAAGCCAGGCAGGAATCGAGTGACGCCTTGACTGTGATGATACTCATTCGCGCGAAAGCGAAAGTGATGTAGAAAACGATGACTGTTGGCAGCAGGAAGAACAGTAGTGTGAATAGGATCGTTCCGAGGAGGAGTTGATCCAGATCATAGTCGCAATTGTCGATACGATTGCGAAGTACGTTTCGCTTCTTCCCTCTGAAAAGATGGAACAAGCTGACGATGATGGTGAGCTGCCAGTTGAAGATTCTGGCACTTGCAATGTAGAAGCTGTAGATGTGGATCGTCAATAGGCTGATCAGATCCGACAGAATTGCGATCGGCATTGAGGCGCCGGCGAAGGAGGATACGCTGATGAAGTAGACCATCGTCGGTAAGTGCGGAACCACAAAATAGATCAACGTGCCGGACCAATATTCGATAACCCAGAGGAAGAGATCGCCCAAGAATGCTGCCAGCTCAGTGTTGAGCTTCAAGCCACCAGGATTGTCCATGAGCCAACGAATCATACGTTTGAGCCCTTCAATGGTGTATTCGTTCACAATGGTTGCGAGGAAGCGCGAGACTTGCGTTGCGTTGTCGTTGATGAAGCTGCCAATCGCAATACCAATAATGACATCGTTCGCAACAAGCCACAAGGAGTTGTAGAACCTGATATAGTCGCTGTTGTTGTCCGAGACCGAACCGGACGAATGGCTACGCTTGCGCAGTCTCGCATATTGCGAAGGATAATAAGAGAACTGTTCTAGTCGTAAATGAACTTGCTGACAACATGCTGAAATATCCTTGAGAGCAACTGGTCCGTCACTGTGCACCGGTCCGTCTGGCAGATGAATCGACTGAATAGGAAGATGCCATTCGAGAATCTGAAGAAGCCCCTCAGCGACAGCCCGATGAGCCACAATAGCGACTTTGAAGCATGACAAGAGGGTTGGGTAGACTGAAGTCATGAAGAGCGTCCACAGCGACCAGGCTGCGAATGTGTACAGTGACTGTGCTGATTCGACGACCATGTCGCTGACAGACATGCTACGCTTCCGTCGTGGCCCAACCAATGGTGAGTTCTTGTGAACGAGCTCAGCTACTTCTTTGACAGAGTTGATCTGCCGCAGGACGGTAGGGAGCGCTCTCTCCAAGCGTGTAGGCTGATGCCTGACAACTGTGTGAAATTTCAATTTCGAAACCAGCTGAGCTTTGCGCTTTCTTTCACGTTCTTCCTCTTCTTCTATCTCGTCACGCTGCTCGGGCGGAATGGATGTCCTTGACCTCGCATTGTCGTCAAGCGAGAGTGACATGGCTTGCTGTGACACGTATTGCATCTTGCTTGGATCTGGCGGATCAAACATGATGATCTGAACGGCGACGCGGGGCAGAAGATTCGAGGTCTGGAAGACTTTGGTCGCTGATACACGACCAGGCGAGAGATGTCAAATGTCGTTGGCATCTCTGGTGGATTCACCACGCCCACCACATGCATGCTCGATCGGTCGTAGAGCTCTGTTGACCTCGATCCTGAAGGTGAACCGCTTCTGAGAAGTGTACCCATACGCAAAGCATTTTCAACACTTCGCTCTTCGGCATTCGGGAGGACAGTGATGACCACCAAGTCCGACTCTGAGTTGCGCCAGCCCAGAATCACCCCGGGTTCATCAACCCATTGCAAGTCACCCGGCCAGAAGATGCGCAGGAGGTCATTATTGCTCTTTGGCATATTCCCATCCTGTCAACCACTAGAAAGATCCGCGTCTTCTTAGCTGTTCGCGTGCTGAGATGCCGTGTGTGAGCGATCGTGGATGGAGCTTTGCCTCATGCGCCGCAAGTCTTTCGATCGGAATGATGAGCGCGAAGAAGATGAGTGACAGAACAACAAATGCTTTCGCGGCCCTCGTCTAGTGCTTTGTCAGAACTGTACGAGCAAACACCTCGGCCGAACAGACTTACCACTACTCCGTGGTCCCAAGCGAAAATGGCAAGTTCGTAGAGGCGTGTCACCAGATCCCACCGAGCTGTGATGTAACCCGCAACGAAAATGCCAATAGTCAGTGATGAGAAAGGGTGCATCCGCCCAGTAGCACTTGACGCGGCAGGCGCTTCAGATGTGTAGAGTGCGATGTCTGCCAGCCAGTGGCCAGCGCCTGAGGAGTGGAAGTCGAAGCAGTCGATATATTGAGCATCAGACTGGGCTCACACGGAGATACAGGTACAATCGCCAGCCAAGGCGCTAAAGACGCGCTAAGAGAAGCTTCCACAGACCTTCTTAGAGCTTAAACGTAGACCTCAATCCTCTTCACACCTTGCCATTGCCTCTGTCAACTGCCATGTTACAAGAGACATCATGATTTGTGAAGGAGGGAAGTCAGGGGCACTCGCATAGGTCCTACTGGACGATCGCGGTGTCACAGAATCTACCCTGTACTCACAGGTGAGGCATGCAGCCTGCCGAGAATGAGTGTCCACATACACCAGCAGTCGAGATCACATCAAAGCTACATCACGAAGCCGAGCAAGCAAGGTAGGTCATTCCGGATCACAAACACCAGCATCGGCACCATCACCGGCACCAACATCGGTCATCAACAACTACAACTATCTTTATCAAGCATGGCTTGATTGAGGCTAAATAATTCATGGGTAGGACGGCCTCCCGAATCATATCAGAACCCCGCCACGAGCATTTCGCAGTGACGACTTGATCGAACCGGATCAACCGCAGCCTGCCGAAGTCATTGTCACCTGAAAATCAACTTGTTGCCTGCGACAATCAAAGCAATCAGGACATAGCGGAAGTGCCAAGAGTTTGCTCTTGCCTCGCCGTTGTCCACGACTATTTATTTCGCTCTCCTCTGCCAAACGCACCTTCCACTTTTCTTTTACCCACAAACATCTCCAGAACCTCGCATCCTTGGTCTGCATTCAATCTTACACTCTTTTGAGGGTCAACAGTCGGCTTGGATAGCATTCGCATCGATTCTCGTACCTAATCCTCTTGCATTCTTTCGAGCTTCATAATGAAGTTTCTCACTATCATCCTCGCCGCCGTCATGGGCTTCATGGCTCTTTTCGGTGGTGCTTCTGGTAAGTCATGTTCTCATGTCAAATCAAATCACCACTGACGGGAGTGCAGCTGCTCTCAATAAGCGCGAGACTGAGGAATTCAATGCCCTCGCTGCGAAGTTGGCTGGTAAGCAAACCTCAACTTTTCGTCAACGAACTATGACTGACAGACTGCGCAGCTCACGGTGTCCCTGACGATGTCATCGAATCGATGTTTGGCATGTTGGCTAAGCGCGCTCGTACGTTATTTCTTCTCACACGTAATAACATGTCGCTAACGACACAGCAGTTGACACCACTACCACTGTCTGCCCCTCCAGCGTTCCCGGCGTTCCTACTGGTACCGAGACTCCTGTAGCTACCGCCTCTAGTGCTCCCGGTCAGCCAGTCTCGTCTCCATCCGATACCGCTACTCCTAACGCCGGCGTTACTCCTACCGTCACTCCTACCGAGACCCCCGGTACTGGTTCGACTCCTCCTGCTGTCCCTGGCACCGAGTCTGCCCCTCCTGCTGGTCCGCCTGCTGCTACTCCTAGCCCGGCTCCTCCTGCTAGCAACGGTCCTCCTTCTGGTCTGGGTAATAACTCTACTACCATCACCACCAGTACACCCACTAGCACTGCTAGCGTTCCAACTTCTACTGAGACCGCTACCACTCCTCCTGCGGTCGGTGGTGCTAGTGTTCTGAAAATGAACCTCGCTGCTATCGGTGTCGCTGCTCTTGCAGCCTTCTACTGATGCAACGCATTCATACCTTGCATTTCGTGGTCATGTATCGACATGTCACATTGCACATAGGTTCACACATCTTTCGACAGCGCAAACACGATAACACCTTCGACAATTATTGCATCAGCAATACGTCTACCTGCATCAGATAAGAGTCAAGATCACTTTGGACTTTGGACAACACATCATGCGTGGTAGAGATGGAAGCTTGAAAAGAAAATTGGATCAAGGCACAACAGCGCAAGACCGACAAAGGGCACCCTGGATCTCAAAGGTCCTACCATTGCAGTCTCGAGCTCACTGCTGCTCGTCATAGAGAAAGGCCACCACACACGAATAATAATTCCAGCTTCATGCCCTGCTTCTCGTGTTTCCTGTAGGTCTCAAAGATGTAGCGCACCTCTAGTATTGTCGCCTCCCGTGTCACGTTCTCATGCTTGCCGTCGTACTGTGTCTGTCCGAACCCGTAGTGCTCCGTGCGACTGATGCAATTGCTTGGTTTGTGGTTCCGGCCATGGGAGGTGGATGGCGACAGCGATGCCCGCACGATGTGCGTGATCCTTGTTGATGCGCCGCAGACTTCTTCCTCTCACAGCGGGACTGCCTTTGATCTCACTCTCACCTATCATCTGCGTTAGGTCACGTCGAGCCACCGTGCGTCGCTCGTCCCAGACGCACTCTGCCCTTGAGGTGCTCGCGTAATGGTCTTGCTTTCTGGAGATGAGTACATGTGGAAGGCACGACTAGGACTCAGCCTTAACTGCTGCTGATCTCGCTCCAAACCACTTCGACACATCTTCCGTCTTGAAAATTTTGCGCTAGCTGAGTACTATAATATCCTCCACTCCTGCCTCTTCTTGGGAGGCTCTCGTATCCAACTGTCCATTGACCAATAATTTGTGATCGGCTGCGAAATGAACGACTAGGACGAGGAAGCAATCCTTGCGCAGCAACATCGACATCAAGATACCTCAACTGCCCACTGTCCAGCAAAGCAACTCTTCCAGTCCATCAATCATCAACTCAAGAACCGATTACGATGCTCGGGTCGTCAATAGGAGCCTTCTCCTCCGACTCCGCCTCCCCCTCCCTCTTGACCTTGCCAGGTCCACCGATCGTGTACGCCGCGTACGACTGTTGATAGGTGGGACCCAACTCGTCATTGATCTCCTGGATCACCTCCGGTTCGACGAACACTCGCTTCTCAAGCTCATACCTCTTAGCCTTGCCGCATCTCTTCTCGAGCTCAGCCGACTCAACAGCCTCGCCACGCCTGGCTCTCTGGGAGACATACGCTGAGTAGCATGCTCGATACATGTTGCGAAGATCTGTCAGTGGTTCTGGATCGCGCTCGGACATCTCGTCCTCGGCATTGCGCTTGACCTTGCCGCAGCGCTTTTCTAGCTCCACCGACTCAACGGCCTCGCCACGCTTGGCCTTCAGGGAAACGTACGCCGAGTAGCACGCCTGATACCTGTTGCGAAGATCCGTCAGTGGCTCCGGGTCCCTTTTCGAGATCTCGTCGCCGACATCACGCTTGGCTTTGCCACAGCGCTTTTCGAGCTCGACGGCATCGATATCGCGCTTGGCTTTGCCGCCGACATAGCCCCAATAGCAGGCCAGATACTCGTTGCCAGGGTCCATAGGACGCAGGGGCTCAGGGTCTGGGGTAGCCTCGCGAGTGACGATCCATGGAGGGCAGTTGTCGCCTGGCTCGCAGGCTACGATGGGCTGCACAGGGGCAGGCTCGCGCTTGACGGGCACGCTGCCGTAGTCTTCGTATGTGAAGACAGTGCTAGAGGGCGTCAGCTACCAGGTCATTCCTGGAAGGTACCTCAACAACTTACGTTCCAGGAGGCCACTTCGCTGCTCAGCAACTTCAGGAGGTGGTGCGACCGGTGCTGCCGTAATGAGGCTAATGCTCAAGGCAGTGGCAAGGACAGTAAGGGCTGATGAATACATGGTGAAGATCAAAGCGCGACGAGATCCTGGTATCTTAAAAGAGAGTCCCGATGAGGAGAGAGAGCAGCAAACTACCTTTGAGGATCCATGGCCTTATAATCCATCGACACAGGATGTGTTCTGTTGACGTCGATCAATATGTCGAGTCGATGCCAGTCCGTCCGCGATACGAGGCGTACTTCACACGAACGACCAACCATTTCTCTGGCTTCGAAAGCGGCAAGGTAGTGCCTTCATACCTCGACGCAGGGGTACTCGACACTCGAGGCTATGCTTTCGACCCACGAAGTTGCGCCCAGCAAGTCGGTGATCTCTGTTCACCACACGACTGTGTCCCGTCACAACGCAAACGCCATCTCTGGTGTCGAAGTCAGATACTATGGTCGCTTCCGAAGTTATGCATCTTCGCGGTCTTCGTGGAGGTCACATGTTGAGATTGACAGACTTATAGACCCATCACTTATGAGCCCGAAGATACGAACCATCGAATGGTCGTCCGACTTCGCCTGCTGTTGTGAACAAGACCAGCACCTCTCTCGAGCCTGGCGGCAGGAATCCTTCTCGTACCAGCATCGTGCAGCAAGCCACCGTCAGGAACTTGCTTGATCTCTATTTCCGACGAGGCAGACTCACTGACAATGTAAGACGTATTTCCTCGAGATCGATGTATCAAAGAGACGGCAAGTTACGAGCACGATGGCAACACGAGGCGGTTGAACTCAACGCCAAGAGATAGCCGAATTCTATTTTCATTGGTCCGGAAAAGGGATGCCAATGTGGGGCTGAGCAGTTTGAACTTCTTTGCTTCTCCGCGAACACGACTGCTGCTTTTTTTGCAATGTTACGGCCCCAATATCGGCTGTCCTGAACACGAGTTGGTCGCAGACAGGTGTGTGACTGGACTGTGGAAGATCCCTTGGCAGTCAAGGCTGCATACTGGCGAAATCTGCCCTCAGCATCGCCGCCCCCTGAAGACGGTATGTAGGTAGGCAGGCAATGAGGAAGAAGGTGGGTGGCAGTCTGCTTTGAGGGGTTGCTGATCGCTCTCGCTGTTCTTCTCGAAATTCCTCCTTGATCCCACCGCTGTTCTGCTAGTCTCAACGCTGCAAGATGAACGACAAGAAGGTCAGCTTCGTCATGAACAACTGTGAGAAGTATCTGCCCGTTATCGCCGATGACGACGACGACACGTCTCATCTTCTGAATGCAGAGTCAGAGGCCTCATCACGACCGTTGCATACCCTCAGATCATCACGAGCTTCAATGCTCGCCCTCCTCACCATCTTCTTCGCTTCATGCGTCATCTCCTCGCTCTGCGGCCTCATTGTCGGCCGCCGATATCCCTCTGACAGCGGCGCAATACATCACGTGTCAAAGTGGTCTCCTGTCGTTGACGGCGTGCCAATGAGCTTCCACATAGAGCAGTTCAATGGCACGTTTGTGCACGAGAACATCTATCGGCAAGATGCCAGCCCGGAAGTGGATGCGGCTTGGGACGGACTGGGCGTGCGTTGTACGTGTCTATACCGCCCTCCCCTGGTCCACCTACTCCTCTGATACAATCGAGACTCACAGTGTTTTTGTAGTCCGCAACATCATCGTCCCTGCCAAGGATGCCCATCGCGTCGGCTTTCGGCCACAAGACCACATGCAGCTGAATTCGAAGTACGGGGGAGGGTATCCCGCTTTCATCGAGGGCTTCCATCAGCTTCATTGCTTGAATCTGCTCCGTCAAGGGCTGTGGTACAACTACGACTACTACCACAGTCAAGGCGACCTTGCTTGGGGTGACCCGGAGGATGTTCAGAGGTGGCATGTTTGTAAGTATACTCTTACTCAACCACGTTCTCCTCCCGACTCGTCCGGCCCACACGAGTATCCCGACTAACAATTACCAAGCACACTGTCTCGACTTCCTCCGCCAACACCTAATGTGCACCATCGACATCGGTGTCTTCGCGTCGGTGTGGGTGAACAAGACAGAGCCGAAGCCCTTCGTGGACTTCAATACGCGGCATACCTGTCGAGACTTCAATGCGGTGAGAAAGTGGGCGAGGGAACATCAAGCGCCCGAGAACCCGCCGGCGGATTGGATCTTACCGCCGACGCCGGGGGATGGGGTGAGGGTGTTGGATTTGGCACCGTAGGGGGTCCCAAGGGAGCTGGGACTGGTGGTATTCGCCCCACCTAGTAGCAGTGGATGCTACTATGGCATGGCAATGCGCTGGTGAGACTGCGATTGGGTCGTGAGGAAGAAGAAGAAGAAAGTGTCGAGGGCGAAGCGAATACTTATACTCTTTGAAAGCAGTGAAGACCAAGCTAATCCGAAACGTCATCGTTCTGACTCGAGAAGAATCTATTCACTGTTTGTTGCGTCACTCTCATTTGGTGAGTATGGGTGCTGGGGAACCGGAAATGCTAGCAGACATGCATTTTCGTAGATGAAGTGAGAGACAACAGAGGTAGTCTTGAGCTTTTGTTAATGACTACCATCGCTGTTCCAGTAATCAATACCTGAGATCCCCTGATCGCAATGCCTTTCCATTCTCACTCACAGAGCCTCTACGAGCTGCCCCAGCATCTTCCTCTTCTCTCCGTGCCTCTCGACTTACAGCAACGCAACAGCTCCCATGACGCCAGCGCCGACCACGCCCCATCCGGCAGCAGTGGCGATCGCGCCAGCGCCCGCACTCGAAGCCGAAGTCGCACTGGTACCCGCATCCGTAGCACTTGCCGTCTCCGTAGCATTATCGCCGTGACCCTCGTGATCCTCTTCGGCCATAGTGGTGTTGGCCAAGGTGGTGCCCGTAAAGGCCTCTGCTGTGATGCCGGTGTTGTTGGTGCAGGTTTCTGGGGTTGCTGGGGATGTGTTGGTGAAGGTAATGTCTGCGCACTGTTCAAAAGCAATTAGTTCACTTGTTGCTGCATCGGGGAGAGAAGATCGAAACTTACGTTATACAGCCCATTCCCAGCATGTCCATTCGTAATAACCTGCACAGTCGCATTCGTGCCCTCCTCAATCCCCAGACTTGCCACATCTACAGGTAAACTCGCCCAGCAGAAATCACCCAAGCCGACTTCGCTCACGGTAGGGTTGAGCTCGACGTTCAAGCACTGCCGGGATCGTTGCCGATGGCGAGGAAGACGGAGATCAGGTTCTCGTCGTGGCCGAGTTCCATGGAGAGGGGCAGGCCGGAGGTTAGGCTGATGGGGATGCGGGTGCTGGCGGGGGTGGGGTAGCCGCCGCAGGGGAAGTCGGCTTGTTTGTCGGTGTCTTCGCCGCGGGCGGCGGGGAAGTGGAGGTGGAAGTGGGCGGTGGTCAGGGCTGGGAGGAGGGTGATGAGGCGATTGAGGTGAGGGAGGCCATGTTGAGTGGTGGTGGGCTGTTGATGGGTTGAGTTCTGGGCGGTGTCTGGGCGTTTGAGTGGCACGTCGTTCGAGATGGTTATCGAAGACGAGAAGATGATGGAATTGGCCTGATAATAGCCGGTAGTGATGGAGAGAAAGATTCAAGAGAGGAAGTCAACGGGATAGGTATATTTAACCTGCTCAAAAGTTCTCGGCTAGTGCGTGAGATCGTCCCTCGTACCTGACTTGACCGCTTCGGTGGCATCCGCTCACGAATGTCACGGTCGGGTGGTTCGGTGGTGGTGGAGCGCTTTCCATGATACCTAACTCAACTCACATAGCGTGGCTCGAGCTTTGTGCCCTCATGTAGCACAGACCGCCCCGTAGCAAACTCATTTTGCGGTCTTTCAGCGAGCCTGCGAGACGCGTCAAGCTGCCAGCTTCTTTGTTGACCCTTCGACTTCCGCGCAGTTGAGCCGGTGGAAAGGTTGACGGACGTGAGAAAACGTGCTCATAATCTTGGCATCGAAGCCCGGATCGTTCTAGGCTGGAGAAGGTGCTCCGCTGGGCGTTGTTGCTGCCAATAGGACTACAGTTTCGGCGGGCGGGCTACGCTTGGCGGTCAGGGTCTAAGCAGGGGGAATCACAGGTGAAAATGTGCTCGTCGCTGGCTTCGTATCAACCTTAGGAGTCCTTCATGGTTCTCGGCCTCTTCGGTCTGTTGTGCTTGTTGCTTTGCCGTGTATCGCTGCTGCTCCCCTTCCCGTCACTCATTCCATCCATGCCGTTGCGGCTTCCCACAAATCTATGGCCCATGATGTCGCCTTCGCTCCGAGTCCGCTGACCTCCTGCGATTCCCACCCCTCCTGTTCCAGCACGCTGATCTGCTCCTTCGCCTTCTTCTCCGCCTTCTCCTTCTCCCGTCGCTCCACCAACAACTCCCGGTGCTTCTCACTGGTGGTCTTGCAGTTGTCGCAGCCGTCAACGAGGATGTTCTTGAATGCGAGGGTTTCCTTGCTGCAGCGGCCAGTGCGGAGCTTTTCCCACCAGCATTTGATGACCTCGCTGCGGGCGCGAGGCTCGATCTCATTGTTGCACTTGGTGCAGGTCTCTGTGATGTATGTGCGAACGCACATTCTGGCGGTCGGCGGCGGTAGTGGGATGTGTTGGGTGAGGCGTTGCGGGAAGTCGAGCTGGAGTGCTGCTTATGGTCCGAAAATGGTGGTTTTGCTTCAAACAGGTGTGTATGTGGCTCGAGGCGCAATTATGTGATGTGAAATGGTCTCATGGTGAGTGTCGTGCCTGCAAAGCAGCAATTTATCTTGTGAAAACAAAATCGCCTGGGCCAGGCATTTCAATTTCTGCTGGCAACGTCGACGCGTCAAAGCAGAAAACATGAAATACAATCACGGGAACTGGGGTGGGAGCACGTGAGGACACTCTGTCACTGTGAAGATGAAACAGCAAAGCATGCCACTTCCTTCTGCTGCAGAGCCAGTAGACTGGAACCTTTGTTGCCAGTTCCAGCTGCCAGCAAACCTAACTTTATTGGAACCGGAAAAGAGCAATAGAGGAAATGTTCATGCTAACATTGTAGAAACACATCGACACTTCCTTGTTCGATTGCAAGTGCTGGGTACACCTCATCAGCAGCTGATGACCTTGTCGTCATCAGATGGTGACGGACTTGAGTCGGGAACCACAACACGCTGAACAAATACGCAGTTTCTTCCCCAGAGACTGCCGAAGGGCACATGAAGCAGTTCGACAGGCACGAAATATATCTTACTGACTGGCATTAACTCAGCTCAATCCTCGACCATCGCCCTCCGTGCCTCCTCGTCCAGCAGACTCTCCCTATCTTCCTGCTCCTCCATCTTCTGCAGCTTCGTCCGACCCCTGGCCTTGTTCTTTCCCCTCACACTTGCCGAAATCAGCACACTCATCGCCTTCGTCCTTCCCTGCCGTCCGATCGCCAAATTATCAAACGCTGGGCTCGTGGCCTTCACCACAGCACTCATAACGCGCTGTACTCTATTGCCGACGGAGCATTTTCCACAGGGCTCAAGCTGCACGCGCGTAATGACCGGCTTGGGAGACTTCAACAACTTCTCAGCTGCTCGCTCAGCACAAGTGCACTGCTTGCGGCATGCTGGGGATATGCCGGCACAAGGGTGTCGTCGTGGCGAGGGTGGTACGGGTATAGTCGATGTCTCTGGGTCGGCCTTCCCGCATGTGGCGCATATGGATTCAAGGTAGAATGTTGGAGAGTGTGGAGCGAAACGATGTGATCTGGTGGGGCGGACTGTGCTGAAACGGCGGTCAATGGGCGAAGAAGGTGAGTGGGGAAGTTCCCGATAGCTCTTGTTCCGGGACAGGATCGCTATGGGTGAGGGGAGGTGGCTGCGAATCTGTGTGCGCACGTTTGAGGGCAGCATGTTTGGAGTTGGCGACGTTCGGATTGGTATGAGGCACAAGGTCCGTTGGTCGTGTAGTGATGACTTGCAGAGAGTACACTGCCTCTGTCCAGATTTACAAGTATATTCGCGCAATCTTGGATCATTATTGATATCCGTGCTCGCAGCAATGGTCAAATTATGCGCAGCCCCGATCAATGGACAAAAGATTTCAATAGTCGCGCATCAACCCGAGACTTTGTCTCATTCATTGTGAGAACGACCTATTCTTGCTGCAGCCTTTGTTCAAGATCACTGACCGTCGAGATCATGCACGGACCTGAGTGCCAAGGTCAATACACATACCGTAGATATTGTCCACAGCGCTTAAGCACTGCGAGAACACGCAGCCGGTTAGGCGAGGACAAGGGCAATCCGGGCTTTGGTAATTGCGATCTGCCTGCATGGGCCAGCAATAGGAATGATGCTTGAAGGAGTACTGCGATGTGAATATTACACGCTTCTACTGTGCCGGAAGCGCAACGGAGTCCTTCGACAGCCATTGTGACGGACTTCTGGGTCGTGTGAATGACATATAGAGACCATATGTGGTAGTATATGACAAAATGGAATGCCTGCCAGCCAGTGCATAGCTCAATCCAAGTGGAACCCATGCATCTGCATGCCCTTGGCCCTCTTCGTCCCAACGACGTTAGTGCACTCCTGATAGATGGAGGCGCAGACCAACTGTGGGCCACCAGTATCCATTACTCATGCTTTGAAGTTGAAACCGTCGCGGGCGCCAGCAATGTCAGCACCGGCAGCCTGGCGATTGCCGGTGGCCAGGTCCCCAAGCAGGTTACGGTCATTTGAGCCTCTGCCAGACCCTTGGTTGTTGCTATTTCGCTGGCCAGGCGGGCCTGCGTTGACGCCATTGGTGTCGACAATAATCGTGCCCCGGTTCCATTGTATAGTGCCGAACATTTTGTCCATCTCAGCGAGTCTAGGTGCGCTGTTATATGCCGCAATAGCATCGCCACAGATCTCGGGGCAGTTGTCTGCTTGGATGATGCCGCGACCAGAGCTCACCGTCACCTGCCCACTGGTAGTAATGTACTGGGCGCACAAGTTCATTGACTCCCATATAGATGTCGCGTCGTTGACTTGGCGTTTCTTCTTGTCGTTATTGTTGATGTCGTTGATAAGGGACCCAACAGCTGCTCCGGCACCGACGACGCCAGTCGCAAGCCCAGCGGCCGCTATTCCAGTGCTCAGACCTCCAGCTAGAATGGGTATTGCGAGCAGCGGCGCTGGGCACGGCTGCGCGAAGAGGAGCAGGCCGATTGCCGCGGCAGCGGTTATACTTGTACATGAAGGAGACATGTTTGCTGGCTGAACTGTGTCTTGACTGATGAGTGGATGCTCCGCAAGCGTGTGGCAACAGCTAAGAGAAGAAGAAAGGAAATAGAATTTGCCGTACAGTGATTGAAAGGCAGGGACCAATTTGAGGACTCGCCTTATATAGCACGCTCTGGCTGTACTGCGCTTCGTGACACTTACGCAGTGTATGCTCGTGGAGGTTCCTTACCAGGTGCTTGGGCCGTTGTGATGGTCGGCAGCTTCTGGAGGACCTGCTGTAAGCAAGCGGTGCTATTTTTGATCTAGACATCACCAGTGAGATGCGATGTGGTCCCGAATTTGTCGCTAATCTGGACCCCAAATACCGCGATCTGGGCAGCTAGACTTACGTTTGAGTGTGCTTAGCTGACGCACTTGGTCCTCTGGGTCTAGCATCAAGACAGGATTCCGATATTACGACGTGGATATGCTGTCCCTCGTCGATAGAGTGAAGAATGGCGCTCGCTTCACACCTCGTACACCAGAAGTTCGCCATCTTTCCACACACAGTAGCTGAGTCCATACAACGTGTCCGTGTACGTTGAATGTCGTGCTTCCCCCTTAGTTCACAATTCGAACAAATGGTTGTACAGTAAAAAGAAGGGCAGCCTGTATCAAATGCGACGACGCTTTGGTGACGGAGAGGGATCGGTCTACCATCGGATTACAGCCTGAAGCCTGTGGCGGCCCTAGACGATGCAGCTGATGAGGTCTGGACACGACCGTCGGTCGTCGGTCGTCCAAAATCTCTAATGCCGTCGGGCTTGGCGGCCACATGCTTGGCACGAATCCTGTCAGATTGTTGGCACTTTTGCAGTGGAACAGGCGGTGGGTTATCAATATCGCTGGACTGCAGGAGATGGCATGCTCACCTAGTGTGACACGGATTCTGTACGGTAACAGGACGATGGCTGTAGTATCCGGCGGTGTTACCCTCTTGCGAGCCCTACCCAGCTATCATTTGCCCGACGGCCACATCTGCAAGCAAGCATGTGTCATGGTGGTATGTCATGTCATTACTCTGCTGTACCATCATGTATGTCTGATAGTCATTCCGCCGTCCACAGGTATCGTTGCCCCATGCAAATACGACGAAGCCGGCAGGCAAATACTGACTGTGACCTGCGCGACCTCTTCGGGATCTGCATACCTCCTCATCGGCACCCGTCTCTTCGCATAGCTCTCCTTCAACTCCGGCGGAATCCGCGCCGTCATGCCTGTAATGATAGGCCCCGGACAGACGGTGTTTACCGTGATGTTCTGATACTTGCCCAGCTCAACCGCCATGCTCCTTGTCAGGCCAGTGACAGCACTCTTTGTGGCACTGTACGCAGCGTTCGCTGGTCCCGTGACGAAGTGCTCCGTGCTCGCAATGTTGACGATCCGCGCGGCCTCGCTCTTTAGCATTGCAGGAACGCATGCACGAATAAAGATGACGAGCGCGTTCAGATTGACGGCGACAGTCTTGTCCCATCGCGTCTCGAAGGACTCGTCATCATCAAATGCACCGCCACCGAGTGAGATGCCCGCATTGTTGATCAGGATATCCAGCTGACCACCAAAAGACTCAATCACTTCCTTGCAAACAGCCTTGATGCGCTGCCGATCCGCGACATCACAGGTCCACCCCTGAGCTCGACCAGGGTGGACTTTGTTGATCTCGTCAACCACGACTGTCACTCCTGCGTCCGTGAGGTCCAGGACAGCGACTTGAACGCCTTCGTCTGCAAGGATCTTCGCGGTTTCGCGACCCATACCGGATGCGGCTCCCGTGACAATTGCTTTCTTGCCTTGAAGAGACCGAGAGAGCTTTGTTAGTCTGCCGGCTGGGGCGGGAACGTTTGTCAAGTGTGACTGCAGGATGTCGAGCCGGTCGAGTGCCTGGCGGGCGTATTTGTCTGGTGTGCCGGACATGACGGATGGTTCATTCGAAGCTGTGGGTAGTTCTACGTGGGTGCCCCGGGCAGGTGACTCAACCTCGATGCCACTGATGATGCAGATGGTTGACTGGTACTGCCTCCGACCGCATCACGCCCTGGAATGGTCAACTCATGTGCTCTCCTTAAAGTGCGACAAAGTACGTACGACGTCTACAGCCGAGGGAAGAGTCGCCTCGGCTGGACGGCCAGCTCGAGGTGATAAGAGCTGCTAAATCCGGTAGGCGAACCTTGCTGATCACAAATGTGACCATGCGGTCTCATCGCGCTTCCAAGGTTCTTCATTACACGTACGCAAGACTATAGTGCCTGACTTCCCCCTTCTGCCGCCTCGACTAGGTCGAGAGCTCGCTCAGTGAGCCGCCCAATGGTACCAAGATCCATAATCTCGAGCACCGAGATCTTGGCTCGAAACACCTGCCGCCACCAGCTTTGGAAGTCAATTGCGATTAGTGAATCCATCCCAACGTCCTGTATCTTGACGAGGCCGATACTAGTGCTGTCTCTCGACAACAATGGCTCCAGATCCATGCCCGTAGTGATGCACAGTCGCTCTAAGATGGCTTGTGCTACGACGTCAAAGGCCTCCTGGCGGGACATGGTACCGATCAACGGAGCCGCCAGAAGTTTCGACAAAGCTGCCATCCTTGTGCTGGAAGACCGCGAAGTCGAGTGCGCCTGACCTGGAGAGCGAGTCTCCTGTCGTCGCCTCTCGATATCCTCCAGGTTCTGATATGCCGAGAAACGGGCATCGCCTGACCAAGGAGCCCTGCCTGCACCGCCTACGGATCTCGGATGAAAACCAGGAATTACCTGAGCAGAAGTTGATGTAGGCGTCGATTGAATGATCGCCAGCTCGAGTGCTGCCAGAAATTCATGCTCAGGCGTGAATCTGAACAGCGGAGCCATCTTGGACTGGACATCCTTGCGTCCGCTCACGAAGCCAATGTCCTCGACGGGTCCAATGTCGATGACTGAAGCAGCAAGGCCTTGGTTTCGCCGATACTGCGCGAAGGCATCGAGGAACGTGTTGGCAGCGGCATAGTTGCTTTGGCCATGCCACCCGTGGAGGCCGTTCTGCGACGCGAACATGACGAAAAAGTCAAGAGGCGTCGGCAGTGTCAAGCACGCTTTGTGGAGATTCATCGTGCCCGTTACCTTTGGTTCTGTGGCAGCGAGCCACTCCTGCTCGGACATATTGGCAAAAGTAACATCCTAAGGACGAGCATTAGGCACGCAAATCGCAACAGAAAGAAGTTTCGAACTTACCTGAAGCTCCATGGCCATCTGCAAGATCCCAGATATCGGCTTTCGCGACATGCGGACAACATTGGAAACAACTTCAGGGTCGACCACACTTCCCTTCACAATATCAAAAGCACAGCCCATTGCACTCAGCTCCTCGAAGAACGCATCGGTGGCAGTGGAGCGCCCAGTACGAGAGATGAAAACAAAGTGGCGTGCTCCATGCTCTGCCATCCATACTGCAACTGCCTGGCCTAGACCTCCCAATCCACCGACCAGGAGGTAGCCAGCATCGGCACTGAAGCTTACGCCAGGACTTCGAGTCGGCTGAACAATGCTTGCTTCGTTGACGTTCGTGGGCATCGTAACCACTACCTTACCCATGTGCTCGCCCTTCTGGAAGTAGCGGAAGCATTGTTCGATCTCCGCGGCCTCATAAGTCTTGATCGGTGCGAGAGGTTCAATGAGGCCCATATTGAGTATCTTGGTAACGTCTTTCATCAGGCTGTCCCATCTCAGTCAGCTAAACCTCTTGCCGTCCTGCCCTCAAGCTACTCACCTAGCACACAGCTCCGGCCGCTCAGCTACGACATGTGCGAGATCGACACCACGATAGCCACGATTTTGCGAAAAGTTGGCCATCCGTAGCGCGCCTCCATCTTGCATGTCGCGTTTTCCCAGCTCTAGCATTAGTCCAAACTCGGCAAGGCAGTCCCAGGACGCGTCCAGGAGCTCTCCGGAAAGCGAGTTGAGGACAACGTCAACTCCTCTTCCATTTGTGGCTCTGAGCAGATCATCTTTGAAAGATGTACTGCGCGAGCCAAAGATGTGATCTGCTGGAATGTCGAATCTGGTCTGTAGGTATTCGGCCTTCTCCGCACTCCCCACGGTCGCGAAGATCTGCCATTATCAAGTCAGCGCACGTTCTTCGCTAGAAAATGGATAAAGCTGGAAGCATACCTCAACGCCGGCGTTCTGGCATAAGCGAATTGCAGACAGGCCGATGCCACCACAAGCGGAATGAATCATGATGGTCTGGAAAACGGATTAGTAGCAGCCAATACAGGACACATCTGCGACAGTCTGATGAGTCGGGACTGCTTACCATGCCCCGATCGATCTTAGCAACGTAGTGCAAAGCCAGCATGTTTGTGCAAAACACGCTGTAGATCGATGCCGCCTGCTCGAAAGCGATATACTCCGGCAGCTTTGCACATCTCAACCGCGAGACGATGAGGCTAGTCGCAAAGGCACCTTCGGTCAGCACCGCAACATGATCGCCTATGGAGAGATCTACGACATTTGCTCCAGTCGCGGTCACTATGCCTGCAGCTTCAATGCCCAGGCTTGGGCTCGATATAACGCCCATAGCGGTCAAGACGTCCTGAAATCATTCGATCAGCCTTGTTTTGCTCGAAGTTGCGGTCGACGACTTACCCTGAAGTTCACCCCAACCGCTGCAACTTTGACCTTGACCTCATCCGGTCCTATGTGCGACAGTAGCTTTTGATTCTGCCATTCGAGACTCTGTAGGACGCCGGGCTGTCGGATAGCGAGGCGATTCACATTTTCCTCGTCATTGCTGGGCAGTGAAGCTGCACTGGCCAATGCTTCTTCTATCGAGTGCCACTGATAGCGACCAACGTGAATATGCCCATTCTCAAGGCGGTACTCATAGTCTCGCGACGTCTCATCCAAGAATTTATCGCCACGGTCCTGTCGTCGCCGTTGACCTTGCAAAAAGCCGGGCAAGCATTTCGACAGCTCAGCCACTTCATCATCGTTGACTTCCAGGATCGAGAAGTCCATGTCTCTTTCCAAGCGTAAAGTACGAGCTAGTCCTAGGACCATCGAGTGCCGTGGATCCCATTTTGTGGATCTCGATCCCGGGGTGATCCATACCATTCGCTGTCGTTCACGGAGACCGACGATAAGAGCTTTGCGCTGTCTGAAGCTGTCGACTTCTGCACTTTTGGACTCACTGACTGCCCATGGCGCGCTGTCAACCGAGCGTTGAGGTGCCATGTCCAACAGCGACACCACATAGTCGCCCGTTGGGACGCTTCCGAGAGCTGAAACGGCAACAGAAAATCCTGACTGCTGCAATGCCTCGCTAACGTTTTGGATGAGTTCGTCGTTATGGTCTGGCGCCACAACAAGAGATGCAAGAAGCCTTGATTCAGCTTGTTGGTGTCCAAGGAAGCGGCTTGATATCATCGCACAGAGCTGTGCCTCCTCACTCTTGCTGTCGAACACGACACTTTCGGCACCATTCCCGAAGCCAGCGGCTCGAAGCTCTTGGTCCCACCTCTCAGGACTGACATACGGCTTCGTCATACGTTCAGCGTCTCCGACCTCCGCACCGAGCCACCAGCCCGCGAAGCCGCCCATGATGAAGGAAGTGGAATTCTTCTGCGAGCATAGCTCCTGTAGCAGGAGCGTTGCGCCTGGCTTCATCACTTTTCGGATATTGGCTAGACTGCCTTGTAGGAACGCGGTCGCATGAACGACGTTTGCGGCAATGACGAGGTCGAAATCGGCCAGTTTGATGCCCTGCGAAGCTGGGTCCTGCGAGATGTCGAAGGTCCGGTACGTCATAAATGCGTGCTCCGCGAATCTCTCCTTCGCAGTAGTCAAGAATCCTTCGGAAACATCGGTGTACGCATATTCGGAACACAGCGGGTGATTGCTCGGACTGGCGGCGTACAGATGGGAAAGAACCTTTGCAGCCGTGCCACCAGTGCCAGCTCCAATCTCCAGGATGCGACAGCCAGGATTCTCATGCGCGAAAAGCTGTATGAATCTCGAATAGTCGAACCTTTCTCCCCACTGGTAGTACATTGCCAACAGAGTCTCGTCCAGAACATGCTCCAGCAAAGACGATCGGCCCTCGATAATGTCAATCAAGTTCTTGCCGACTCTGGAGATCAAGGTCGCTGCAGAATGGCTATGGTCTCTTTGGCATGCTGGAGGGCTCACAGCGGACGTGTCCAGAGAGTCTTGGACTGTCACCCAACCTGCCTCGTCGTCCTGGTTGTCAAAGTCGGCGACTGAGAGAATCCACTGTCTGTATCTCTCCAGAGATGGCGTCTTGCCTTTGATGTTGCGCAGCAAGGTAGCTCTCTGGCGGATTATGTCGAGGGTCAATTGCTCAAGCTCGTCTTGCAGCGCGGCAATGTCAGCTTCTGGCCTCAAAAGACTTGCTCGCTGTTCAGCTTTCATGAGACTTAGACAAGGTCGATACGCCAATTCAGCTGACGAGTAATTCGACTCGAACCGTGACGACGCGGCCGGTTCCCCAACTTGCGCAAGCTGCACACCTCTTGCTTGTACTGCGACTACTGGTGCACCATCGCTCGCTCCATTGAATGCATCAAAGGAGCCATGCAGACCTTGCCACTCACTGCGCTGAGCCTCAACATCAGCATTTAGGTGAAGAGTAGATGATTTTCCACCGTTGCGTCGAACGCTCATCTCAGCGATCGCAACAGGAACACAGATACCACTGAGATCTCTCGGGTGGCCTTTGACATCGGCGACCATTAAAGCCTGAAACATCGCATCGATACTTGTTGGATGTACAGCGTATGGCTGCGCTGAACCAGGGTCACTGGACGAAATTGCAGTGGCTATCGACGCAGCGGCACGCTTGCCATGTACATCTGCACTGATGTTGCGTAGTGTGGCGAAGCAAGGTCCATACTTGAGTCCACTTTTGGCCATTGTTCGATAAAGTCGCTGTTCATCGACCACCCTCGTATAACGTTGCGAGTGTACAGACCCTCTCTTCTCGACGAACCCTTCCCGAACCGTACCGGTACAGTGCAGCGTCCAGCGCGAGTTTTGGTAAGACGAGATGCAGAACTCCCACCCCGAGGAAGGTTGATTCTTTGACCACGAAAAGGGCTTCAAAGACGTGATCAGCTCAGCTGACTGGTTCTCGTGCACTACCAGTGCATTCTTGATGCTCACGTCCTTGACCGTGTACGCATCGCTGTTCCCTCCTGCAAGCTGGCGCATGCACTCGCCGACCATCGCGATGTACCCGGCCCCCGGGAAGACGATATTCGCATCAATCTGGTGATCCGCTATCCATGGAACCTCGTTGACGCGCAAGACGTTGCGCCACGTCGGCTCGAGCTCATTGTTCTCCAGAATTGGTACACCAAGAAGCTCGTGTCGCGGGAATGGCCTCATCCTCCATTGACGCGAGATGCGACTCTCGTTCCAGAGCCTCTCTCTGTGCCAAGGGTAGCTGGGAAGGTCGTGCAAGTGTCGTCCATGCGGTGTGAGAGTCTCGAGGTCGACTGGCATACCGAGACTGAACAACGTCCCTGCGGTCTTCAGCAGACATTCCTGCTGTCTTCGTGGCGCACCAAGGTGGGGATGTAAGTTGCGTTATTGACATTCGCTTTTTGTATGCACTGTCGGAGAGGTCCTCGGAGAGCACTGTGAGGTCCAATTTCAATGAACACTGTCGGCCGCGTCTGGTCCTTGAGGATCGGTGCTACTGCTGGAGCAAACAAAACTGCCTGTACCACATTCTTGGTCCAGTACGTGGCGTCGAGATGCTCTTCTGGCCTCAACAACCTGCCGTGCACTGTTGAGTAGAAGGGAACGCTGCGCTTCTTCGGCCGGATCTCGCTTCCCAGCTTCTTGGCGTACACTTCGGCAGCCGCCTCCATGTGATCTGTGACAGCAGTGTCAACCGAAGTCTTGCGGTATAAGCAGTCCCATCAACAACTTACGAGAATGGTAAGCATGATCAACAGGCAGCGTCCTAGCGAAGAGAGTCGGTTTCTCCTGCTTCAGCTTCGCTACAAGTTTCGCCAATGCAGTTTTGTCTCCCGAAAGTGTCACATTGCTGGGACTGTTGACACAGGCAACACATACACGCTCACTCAAATATGGCTGAACGTCTTCCTCGCTCATCTCCACGGCCGCCATTGAGCCATCAGATTGTCTTACTGGGAGACTCTGACCACGCCAGAAAGCCATCAAGATAGCCTCTTTCATGTTCAAAGCGCCGCTGGCATAAGCTGCAACGATCTCTCCGCTAGAGTGTCCTACTACTGCATCAGGCCTGGTGCCCCAGGATTCTAGCAGGTTGACGAGCGCAATCTGCACGGCAATGCACAACGGCTGCGAGATTACTCCTGTAATTTTCGCAACGTGCCCGGATCGATCTCGAACCATTTCTAGGAGATTTCTCGTCAGTACGCTCTCGGAAAGGGGCGAAGGCAGAACTCACTGCGTAAACACCACGAAGGAGGCTCCGATGTTGCCTGCAGCGTACGATCCATGCTCACAAGATCTGCGTCAAAAGATGGATATCGTTCTGCTAGCTGTGCTCCGGCACCTAAGGACAGCGCGCCTTGCCCTGTGAACACGAACACGACCCTTGGGTTCGTCAACGTTTCCGGAGCCATATGTGTGTGGATCAGTTGACCGTCACGACAAATGGTGAAGCCTCGTTTTCTGCGATGCTGTCTCCTGGTGTTCATCGTGTAGGCAACATTCACATCCGAGTCCGCGTTCTTCGAGACATACTCCCTTGTCTGGTCGATCATTTGCTTCAAGGACTCGTCTCGGAAAGCACTAAATGCTATCAGATGTGAGCCAGTCGATGGCTCGGCAGTGTTCAATGCACCATTGCTGTTGGAAGACCAAGACTCGATGATGGCATGAGCATTGCTCCCTCCCAGCCCAAAAGAGTTGACACTCACTCGCCTGGCTTTATGTGCTGGCCAAGGGGTCGGTGCCACAGGCACGATCAGTCCAGCTTCGCCAAACCGTATCTTCGGATTCGGTAGATTGAACTTGATGTTAGGTGGTATGACACCGTGCTCGAGCGCCAGGACCGCCTTGAAAATGCTCGTCAGGCCCGAAGCCCCCTCGGCGTGCCCTACGTTTGGCTTGACGGAGCCGATATAGGTTTGACTGCCGCCAAAGACCCGGGCCACAGCCTCCGCCTCCAATGGATCGCCCACGGCAGTCCCAGTCCCATGCATCTCAACGAAGGCTGTATCTTGTGGCGCAAGACCGCTTGCTGCATATGCGGACCTCATCAGCTCTACGTGAGCGTCCGGGTTGGGATTTGCGAATGCTGAACTACGCCCGTCGGAATTCGATGCAGTGGCCCTGATCACCGCGCGAATATGATCGCCGTCTCTCATGGCATCGTCAAGGCGTTTGACATACAGTGCGCTCACGGCTTCAGCTCGAGCATAACCTGAAGCCGAGGCATCAAAGGTCTTGCTAGATCCGTCCGGGGCCAGAGCTCCTAGGTCTGCGAGACCAGATGTATTAGTTGGGGAGAAGATAAGATTTGCGGCAGCGACGAGTGCTGCGTCGCAGTCTTGCATCTGCAGTGCTTGACACGCCGAATGGAGAGCAACCATTGATGCCGAGCATGCTGTTCGGTAAGTCACACTGCGAAGTCATCAGTAGGTCTTGATGTCAACCAAAATGGTAAGTCTCACCTTGGTCCTCTGAAGTCATACTCGAAAGATATGCGATTGCTGGCAGCAAAGTCGGACGACCCAATCATCCGATATGGTCCATGGTCAAGAGTGTCCTTCCTTCTGAGATCCTGCCAGTCTTCGCCAAACGTGCCTACGAAACAGCCGATCTTCCGACCTGACGAGTCACTCACATCCGCGCTATCTAGACATTCCTGGGTGATCTCCAGCAGTTGTCTTTGCACTGGGTCCAAATGTGCTGCCTCGGTGCGGTTCATGGAGAAGCATTCTGCATCGAAATGCTCGAGGTCGTGTCCCAAAAAGTACCCTTCAGGTGTGGTGGCTGGACCAGTGGTACGTCTCCGATGGTCGTCGAAGCTCGCTGATGCGTAGCGACTCTCTGGAATGGGTCCGCGTGCATCCTTTCCTTGTTTGAGCAGTTCCCAGAATTGCGATGGACTGTTGATGTTTCCTGGAAGTCGACATGCCAACCCCACAATGGCGAGTGGCTCGTAAAATGATGGTTGCGGTCGGCTGTCGCCAGCAGAAGTGTCTTTCGCGCTGGGCATGGTGAGTATGGTGAGGTCTAGCAATGGTAATGTCGTCGAGTGTCCCGGATCCAGAGATGAGTCTGTTGTGAAGTTGGACTTCGTACTCTCGTGCCAATGCTCATGCTAATGCCAGGGCCTTCCCGAAAATCCATCTTGCATCGATCGAAATAGAATCCTGGACCCTTCCAATCGAGGATACGTTACCTCTGTTACAATGCTGACGGTCACGTACGATACCGGTATAGTTGTGGCGCTCCAGGCAGCTCGCCTAAGCGCCAAGGCAGTCAGCTTATGGCGTACAGGAAGACCTCGGGATTCCGCTTAAGAAGTGCTTGGCTCGGGGACCTAGCATTAGGGTTTCATGCGGCTGCAGGTGACTTGCGAGATCACCGTGCACGTACAAGCTTCACGCTTGCATGCAAGATGAAAGAGCTGAAGCACGCGAAGCAGAGGTGCTAATTATACACGTTGTCATCATTTGTGATGAGAATTACATTCAAGTCAGGAACGAAATGGGCAAAGGCTCGTTCGATATTACATTACACTTTTGCTGTTGAACGATCATGCATTCGGACCGCGGCCAGCACACCTCTCTCAAAGGAAGCGGCATATCACCAAAGAAACCAGTAGCAGGCAGCAGCTCACTATAGCGATACACACCTGTCGTGCCCAGTGTCAAGATACCCCATTCGACAGCACAATGAGTCTTGATCCGTTCCTACGGTTCGCTTCCGAAAGCGCCATGCCATTTCATCCAGTTCTACACTTCCTCGCGGCGCTCTCTTTGACCGCACTGGCCTTCAAGCTCCCGTTCGCACAGCTACGGCGACTGTGGGCAGGACTCATTGTTGCTTTTGTCTGGAGATCATGGATCGGCATCCCAGAACTGACCTCAAGCCCAACCCTGCAAAGTGGCTTCAGTTTGTTCCTGCTTGTATGGGTTTTGCATGTGCTTGCATTGCTGTTCATCGAAGCAGGCACATTGTGCACTGGCCGCCAGGAGCTCGTTTGGTCTGAGGTCGGCAAGCTGCTGTTCGATGTTCGCAGGATCGGCCAGCGGAGTCTTGAACACCAGCGGAAGGCTTTTGTCAACGGAAAGGAACGTGGCACCACTGGCACCACGAAGAGTCCGGAGGAAGCATCGATATTATCTTTCTTAAAGTACCGAATCCTTCGCATGTGTCTCTGCTTTGCCGCTCTGTACATCTACGAGACCAACTCACACAGCATTGCAACAACGATTTTGAACATATTGCATTCAGCGACCAGAAACCTGTCGCACGCGTCAGGAACGGCGTTGCAGAAAGTAGTCCTCGATCTATACATGACTCTGGAGTTCATCCTTTCGACATTCCTCTTCAACAACGGATTCCACTCGCTGTTCGCAGTCTGTGCAGTTGGCGTGCTCGGACTCGATACTCCTGAGGAGTGGCCGTTGATATGGGGCAGTTTGACCGATGTGACTTCCGTCCGCAATTTTTGGGGGTCGTATTGGCATCGGTTGGTTGCGAGGACCTTTCTTGCGTGGTCATCGGTGCTGTTGGCCGGTCTCAAGATTGACAGACGCTCCGCATATGGCCGACGGCTCACTCCGATCTTGGTATTCGCGTTGTCGGGCTGTTGCCACGGTCTGACGAGTTGGCTCATGGGCTTCCGCTGCGGCTGGTGGACGGATGTTGCTTGGTTCATCCTTCAGGCGGTCGTCATGGCACTGGAAGAGTTGTTAGGAATGGTTGGAAAGAGCACACGGCTCCAAATGTCACGGATACAGCGATTCCTTGGCTGCGTATGGACTTGGACGATCTTGTCGCAGAGCATTAGCTGGTGGCAATCTGCTAAGGCGCAGTGTATGCCGTAGCACGATAGGACCTATCGCCATTGATCTCCTTCCCTGCATGATCATGATCCTTCAGAAGTGTCCTGGTGAGCTTCATCAAGATAGATAAGCAGCTACATTCCAAAGAGAAAACGCCCCAACTGCCGCCCACCTAGCCCACCATATCTCACGCAGCCACAATGCCGGCCAGCCAAGCCCAGGCAGGACACCCACAGCCATTCCGATCACCTCTCTCCTGTGCACTGACAACCTTCCACTAGGATACAGGACCACATCATCGACCTCGTTGTTATCACCCTTCGTAAGAAACGCTTGACTTCGCCCAGCGGAACCTCCATTGCCATCGTCCGTCCAGACATTGACTATGCGATGTATCATCGGCTCGTCTCGCTCCCGAAACCACACCGCAGGGATGTCGCCGACGCGTAGCTCAGATGTTCGATTAGAGAGTATCACGATATCGCCACGAGAGAAAGCCGGATACATTGATTGCGACTTGATCACAAGGACTGGGTGGGTCGTCCTGCTATACATCTGGAGGACGAGCGGGAGGCTCACGAAAGCTAAGACAATTATCGCGATACTCCAGAGTCTGCTTCGCAGAGATTCAGGCATCTCAGTGATGGTGCCGTGGACGATGGGCGATGAAAGTCTGCTACGTGAGAGTAATGGCGGCTGAGCTCGCGATTTGCATGTCCCGTCAGTTTCCATGCTTAGGGCACGGCATCGTTGACTGAATCGCCGCCATAAGATACGATTCGAGTGGTCATGTAGATTATGGGGCGTCAGGGACGCTTTCCGCCGGGGAACCTGCCAAGACGATTACTATGCCAAGAGCTGAGGTCGTTCATGGGACGCCGAAGATTGAGGTTCCACTGCATCGGGTCCTGCGAGACCCTGGCTGAAAGGAACCTGCTTATGGAATGTTTTACGGCGTGTCCGGACAGGGGGCCTTCTTTTGTAATGTCATGTCCATTGCTTTTCAACGCTCTGAACTGGGAGTTGGACAGCCTGAGTGCGAATAATCTATGGGGCGTTCTCATCACAGCTTCGGCTGGCTCCCCAATTTCAAATCACTGTCCTTTGTCCACGAGACATTCTTGAAGGCATTCGGGCTGTCGTTGCCTTGCATCAAGACATTGAAAGGCTTCTCTCCCTCCGGCAACGACCTCCATGCCCACTTCTTCACCAGTGTGCGATCCATCTCCACGCCCTCCATAATGTCCACGACCCACTTGCCCAAGATCGGCAGATACTTGAATGCGTGCCCGCAGCCGCCTGTAGCCACCATGACGGTATTCTGCCCGGGTAGATCATCAACAACGTAGTGATTGTCGAAGGAGTCAGTGTACCAACACAGCCGAGTGAGCTCAATATCGATGCCATTCTCCGCAAGTTCAGGTAGATACTCGTTTAGGAAGTGCTTGAAGATCTGCATCGATTTTCGAGGGAGCTGAGTGACTTTATCTCCTGGTGTGTATCTCGTGATTGGAACACTGCGCAGTTTGCCATCCTGTTGCAGTTGCGGGTTGGTGTATTTTGTGCCTCGATAGCCAATTTTCATCATTCCTCGATCATCGACAGGGAAACCGTAGAGGCCGCCTTCGGCGCCATCCCAGAGCTTCCACATCCAGCTAGGAAATTTGTCGGGCGCGAAGCGCTCACGCAGATGTGAGTTCGGTGGTATCTGCAGCATGATGACCGAGCCCGCTGTAGTCTCGCACAGGCCGTCGAGTTCAGGCACAAGCGTCGGAGTCCAGCCGCCGCACGCCATTACTACCTTTTTGGCTGGATGTTTCTCGCCACTCTGGGTCTTGACGCCGACCACGTTGCCTTGCTCATCGTGCCAGTATGACTCGAATGCGCCTGCTTGCGGATGGAAGATGAACTTGACGCCCAGCCTTCTGGCCTTGTGAAGTGCGAAACGGCAAGCTTTGTCCGCCACGACCACCCCACCGGTAGTGTCGAGTACGCCAACATTGGGTTTGTTCCTTGCACGACGCCGAAAGGGATCCATCGCGTATCCAAGACCTCTGCGCTGGGCAGATGCGTTGTCCTCGGGGTTCATAGTGACGAGCTGAGTCTCACCCAGGCCAGCAGCCTTCATGTTCCGTATTGTTTCGACCTCGAAAGGTGCTAGCTCAAGCTGATCAGTGAAGCAAAGCGTTCCATTGTTGATGTAGACTCTGTCATTTGTACTGAGTCCTGGGGCAAGATCCTTGCCAGCCTTGATCTCGCGGTTCCATGCAGTCCACCACTCGATTGCCTCCTTGGACAGATCTTGATACTCAACCTGGGAGCCGTACGCAGAACGAATGATTTTGTTCATATCTGTATCAGCTCAAGTCAGTAGAGCATGACTGGGAAGAGCTTGCTTTCGCACCGGACGACGCCGAATCTGCTCCCGATCGGTAGTCATAGCCACTGTTGTCATATTCATGCTTGTCCAACACGGTCACATTCCTATAGCCTCGAAGTGCCAGGTGAAGTGCAGTGCTCAGACCAAACGCTCCGGCGCCGACGATGACGATGGCGTCGGAGTGCTTCAATTGGCGTCCTCCCATGATGGTGGGATGCTCAACTAGAGTCGTAACTCAAGCCACGCACAATAGTCTATACGACCTCTGCCAACTCCGCGACACAAGTTCTCAGCACTAGATGTAGTTTTGAGCGACGGTGATCCGTCAGAGGGCAGCGACTTCGACGCGGACCGTGGTTTGGAGCCTGAGCGACCAGGGCCATCGCAGGCCACACTGGTGTTCGCTATGCATATCAGCACCCGCCTTGTGGCATGGTCTTTCCCCCAGCATACATTGACTGTGAGCCACAGACAAGCCATAGAGTTCACAATTCACAAGATACACCAGTTCAGGCACGGCAAGATATGCCACTTCAAGTTAGCTTACGCGGGCTTTTGAAATGCTTGGCGGAGCGGCGGCCTCGGTTCAGGAGGGTTTGGCTGGTCTTACTGAGTTTCGGACATCCTCCTGAGCTGCAACTCGTGCTTCTCCAAAGATAACGAATATCTCCCACTGTGGTGCACCGTGTCAAAGCGTGGAACCCGGATTCAGCAGTGCGTCGCTGAATGCCAGATTCAGTGAACCGTAACTCTGTAGCACGCCTATGGCTGCCGAGAAGAGCAATCTACCACTGGCCCTCTATTTTTGTCGGAGAAATGCCAGCGTGTCGCCTCCACATCGTCGTAGGAGGACGTTCCGCGGGACCATCACCCTCAGGAATGTTCATGATAGTGGTGTGTCACTGGAGGACAGACACTCGACATCAGGCACATTGGATTTCTGCGGTGATCCACCGAGGTGTTGTGGGCACAATTTAGTTTGAGGACAACAAAGCATTCTCAAAAGTCAACCAGATCCTTTCACGGATCCGTGTGCTCGATTTCAGTATCAGATGATCCTTTCCACCTTCCAGTACAGCGCTTGTGACAAAGACGAGACCGAAAGACCTTGATCTCAGCTTCAATTGTGTATGATGTCGGACTTCAAGGGCAAAGTGGTATGTTTCAGTGATACTCTCGTCTCGTCGATGGACTGACGAATCCCTAGATCGCAATCACAGGCGGAGGATCTGGCCAGGGTAGGGCGCTTGCAACGCTGTTGGCCGAGCGAGGAGCACTTGTATCGCTCGCCGATGTGAATGAGGCCGGGCTTCAGGACACCATCAAGTCTCTGAATAATTCTTCGGAGCACATTGCAACCAAGGTCGACGTACGGAAGAGCGCTGAGGTCAACTCCTGGATTTCCAAGACTGTCGAGAAGTATGGGAAGCTTGATGGCGCTGCTAACTGGGCTGGCGTCATCAGAGTCAATCCGACGGTCGACATGTCGGATGAGGATTGGAACTTTGTGATGGATGTTAACTCCACTGGCGTTTTCAACTGCATTCGTGCCCAGCTCCGTGTCATGAAGGATGGCGCTTCAATCGTGAGTAGTATTGGTCTCTCGGGGTCCTTCAGACTCTAGCCGCTGACGACATCACAGGTTTCAGCTGCAAGCAGTGAAGGTCAGATTGGCTGGCCAACGTTCACGGCTTATTGCGCCAGTAAACATGCTGTTATCGGTTTGAGCCGTAGCGCAGCAAAGGAGCACGTAGGAATCCGCATCAATTGTGTTGCCCCAGGTATGTCATCTGCTATGCGAGTCTTCATGGTGCGCGAATAGACTGACTGACTGGACAGGCTGTACCGACACTCCGATGATGGCTAATGATACCCTCGAGAACTCGGATGAGATCAAGGCCCAAATCCAGAAAAGGAAAGCCGACCCCAAGGAGATCATTCGCGTTGCTGCGTTCTTGCTTTCCGACGAGGCAAGCTTCGTGACCGGAGCTGTCTGGAATGTGGACGGCGGATGGATCTGCTAAGTTACTGGCACGGACGAGAGAGACCAGTGACTCCAGTGAATCCACCGTCACCCTAACATCTCGGGGTGTCGCCGATAGGAACCTAGCCGAAGAACGTTTCAAGCTTGTGATCTGCCATGATATCGACCCAGTGACGCGCGTCCAGAGCGATTGTACCAGCATCGAACTCTCCCCAGATATGCTCCAGAAGTAGCTCTGCCCGAGAGTAGACCTGCCCAAGCCCGAATGAAGCACAATTGGACCGCAAACGTCGGCGAATGAACGCACGGCGTTTCTCAATCTCGTCTAAGCGTGCTGACGTTGAGAGCAGCTCCGCACCCAGTTGATCGTGTAATGTTGGTTCATCCGAGAACATCACCGGCGGTTTACTGGACGTCCTCAGCGCGCTCCCGCAGATGATCAATAGTATCGTTTGATACAAGCCACAAGTCGATCCTTCCGGGATCTGTTCCGCGTAGACGAGCATCGCTCCTGCCAACTCGTGATTTCGTCGAAGTAGCTCGAATGACGGAGAGTACACACGTGCTCCTGAGCTAGTGTTATCACCGTAAGTGCTCTTAGGCTGCATGAGACCAGGAAAGTTGCGTTGTAACTCGAGCAAGATGGCAAACTTGCACATCTGAGCGAAGGCTTTCACCTGCCGACACACAGATGGACCGAGCGCTTTTTGGTCAAAGCTCGCTTCCGTAGGAATCTTGTAGTTGAAGGCCTGCTTGGCGAGTTCCAGCGCATCCTGCTCCACTTCGGAGGCAAGCAGATGAAATCCATTCCTGTCTTTCCAGCCAACATCGACCATTTTCCTCAGTGCTCTGTTTTGGCGGACGCAGACACCAACATTGCCCAGTATGACGAATAGAGGCAGGCTAATTCCACACAGCATATGGATATAGGTCATCTCAGTAGTCTGGCCGAAAGGTGCGAGGTATTGTAGTGCGTTCTTCGGCTGATCGACAACGAAAGACATACATGCTTCCCAATAAGCCATCGAGCCGATCAGGAAATGATGATCTGTGTTCGCTAGTGCCCTTTCCGGAGCCTTGCCATCAGATGTGACGTGGTTGATGAGATACTCGCAAAGTTTCCTCGCCCCGCGAAGATGTGGGAGGCCAAGATCCCGAGGATCGGCCCAAGGCTATCCAATGTCAGCTCAGTACGTTGCATGTATGCCGTATGGAATGTCTGGCAGACTCACAGCGCAGAATCCCAGGATGATCGATGCCAACAGCGTTTCTTCCAGCTTGCGAAGCATAGTCACATTCTCTAACGCGGACGCTCGGGGAGATCCTGTCGATTGGTCCAGCACTGATTCGATCTCGGCTACTGCTGTGGACAGTGATCGTACCGCAGCGGTGTGGCACTCGACCAATGGAAGCATGGTCTCTTCGCCTCGGAAGCAGTGTGCTGCCGCCATGCAGACAACGCTCTTATGGAGCAGGGTGGATGTACTCAAATACCGACGAACGAGAGCTTTGAACGGCTCAGCGGTATCGTCGAGTACCGTATGGATCAAAGACACATAATCGAAGAAGTACTGAACCAATGCCTGATTGAACTCACTGCCTTGCGACGTCGCTGCCTCGCGGTCGTCCAGGACATGCGAAAGCGAAGACGGTGTGGCGGAGCTCGCCGCCGAGCTGCTAAGCGCCCGCAATCGATTGCGCTGCTCTAGCAGTGTCATTGGATCATGAGTCGCAAAGAACTCACGAAGATCTTCTCGCAGGATTTCTGTCGTTGTTCGATCATTTTCGGTGTCGAAGTCGTTCGTACCAATCGACAACGCGACCGAACCAGTATCATAAGGATGCCGCTGCACTGTCTGGGATGGAGATACGACTTCCGTAGCTGAGGATTGCACGAGTGTTGCTCCGAGAGACCGGGCCTGACCAGAGCCTGAGGATTGAAAAGTTCCGACAAGCAAGCCTGAATCACCCAACGTTGTTGCACTGGATGGAGGACTTCCCGCCGGAAGTCTTGAGGCATGAACGGTTGCAGGCGAAGAGCTGAAGATTTCGTGCTTGTTGCTCCATTTAAGATCACGTTTATATCCAGGACACAAGACCTTGCGCTTCAAGCACTGCTTGCATTCTGGTTTCGCCTCATCACACTTGATTTTCTTGGCTTGTTAGCGGGTCGTCAGACACTGATCGAAGGAGACGTACCAAAGAGCGACATCTTGGACACCCAGCTTGAAGTGTACCATGTTAGTAGATCACCTACGAGACGTCTTGGGACGTACCTCTTGACCGAAACCCCATTGCCGCTAGGCGCTCCGTACATGCATCACTGATGCCGGCAGTCCTTAAGTACGCATGAGTCCTGCAACTTGCGCGGAAGACACAACCAGGAGATACTCAGAGGCAGGGGAACGTGTACGTCGGGATGCAGGGACTGCTGATAGCTGAAGCGAGGAGCATGAACTCGCAGGACTCGATCGGCGCGCCCAATCTCGGCCCAAGAGCGTAGATCCCCGCCCGCTTGGCCAATGTTCCGGCCTAGCCTGCAGAAAGTGTGGCCGTGCAACACGCATCATTTCTGCACGAAACTAAGCGCGGCGATGCGCTCTTGTCATCGCGTGCCGGGACAGATGCAGAGACTTTCTATCGATGAATCCACGATTGACTACTTTAATATTTGAGCAAGGTGACATTTGGCAAGCACGGAAAGCTGATGGACAGCCTTGCGTCAGCTGTGTGCATTCGCATTCCGAGGCATGTGTCACGCGTCAAGCTCTACAACGTCCATCTCTTTTCAATTTTGCAATTGCTTCGGTCCTAGACCAATTACGGCCGTCGTCGCTGGTTCGGTGCTCATATCACGCCGACCTCAATGGTACTTGCTTTCATCCCACTCTTTTCCTGACTCGTGGTTTTCGAAGAGCTGAGATACAGCTCCTTGCGCCCATTTCCTAAGGGCGCAGCGAAGCCGTCGTAGCCTGCTGCTGCTATGCGCTGCAATATGGCGATGAAGTTGGCAACGCCGTTCATATAGAATCGGGTCACAAGTCCCGATCCCGGGACATTGGCGAAGATCCAAGATGGGATGGATGGGAATAGCGTGCCTTGAGCAATTTCGTTGCAATGCTCACCCCAGTCTGCTTCAGCTTCGGGCATTGCCTCAATGACAGCATTCGCTCCAGTCACTCTCAGGCTCTCGGCTCGCTGTATGAGTTCGTTATTGAGCCTGACTTGTGTCTCAATATTCGGCGGGGCATTGGCAAAAGGTCCTTGCGGACCGCTGATCAGTAGGAGGTTTGGGAAGCCAGGCACGAAGCAACCAAGATAGCTCGTTGGTCCTTTTTTCCAGTGTTCTGCTAATGACGTCCCAGACCTTCCGCGAATTTGTGTTCTGTTATAGGAACCTTCAACCGCGTCGAATCCGGTGGCCAAGATCAAAGTGTCTATCTTATAGAATTTGCCATCCGAAGTCGTCACACCAGTCTCACTGACGCGCTCAATCGGAGTGTCGCGCAGATTCACAATGTCGACATTGTCGCGATTGAATTTGTTGTAGTACCCGCCGTCGCACAAGGGTCGACGCGCATATGGCTCCTGTGGCATCAGCTTCTTTGCCTTTTCTGGGTCTTTCACGATCTGAGCAATCTTTGACTTCACAAATTGACAGGCTGCGTCGTTGGCTTCCTTATTGGCCGTAATATCAGAAAACGCGCCGAACGTGAACCAGAACCCGTTGCCATGTTGCCAAAGGCTCTCAAACACTTCTTGACGTTTCTCTGGAGCGAAGGAGGCATATGGTGTGGTCGACTCGGAAAATCCGAAACAGGTTGCTGTCTTTGGCAGGCTGTCTACGATCTCATCGTACTTCTCATTTATCGCTTGGCGGTACTCGGGTGTTACTGGGCCGTCGCCACTAGGTACACTGTACTGAGGAGACCTTTGGAAGCTGACCAGGGACCCGACCTTATCAGCAATTGCAGTTATGATCTGCACTCCGGTCGATCCATTGCCGATAACGCCGACGTGTCTGCCACTGAGGTCGAAGTTGTCGGGCCATCGCGAGCTGTGACAGATGTCTCCCTTGAAGTCATTGAGCCCGGGAATGTCTGGCAGTTTTGCAGTCGACAGCAGTCCTAGGGCTGTGATCAGATATTGGACGACATAGACCCCTTTCGAGGTGGTCACTACCCACTTCCCACGCTCGGCATCCCAGTCTGCAGCTTTCAATTCGGTGTCAAGTTGGATATATTTCTGCAAGTCGTGTCTGTCCACCACATGCTCGAGGTATTGACGGATTTCCGGGCCTTGGAGGTAACGATTCTTCCATTCGTATGTCCTGAGATCCTCCCTGTCCCAGGTGAATCGGTAGACATAAGACTCGCTGTCGCTCATTGCACCCGGATAGCGATTCCAGTACCAGGTCCCTCCGACGCCTGCGGCTTTATCTATCGCCCGCACCTTATATCCTAGCTTGCGAAGCGAGTACAACTGGTAGATGCCAGCAAAGCCAGCACCAACGACCAGAGCATCGAGCTCTGTGATCTCATGGGCCCCCATCGTGGTCACGTCCGTGAGCGAGTCGTCTTTCCAGCGGTACGGAGAGACTATCTGATATTGTTCGAATGTCTGCATAGCACTCTCTCCATGCCCTTAGAGTCTAATGCTTACTTATAAGCGCCATTCTATCGTGATGCTATGTCTGTCCTGCGATGCGGAGTACGGCTGCATTTCTCCAGCGTTCCTCGCTGAGCTTTGGTGTGCACGCGTCAGGGTTTTCACACTTCAACGCATCCTGCACCGTTGTCCGAACGGCCGCCAAAGACCGCCAAAGATTCCTGCACTGAGACGACGAGATTCAGGACCTCCATGGCGACATTCCTAAATAGGTAGATCTAGGCGTCCTAATCGCTAAGGTGGGTGCAGTGGAGCGATTCGTGCGGGGATTGGGCCTGGCCGACCATCGCTACCCACGGAGCGCCCACTAGCTCAACACCATGATCTCTCTAGCAGACTGGAGGATGTTAGTCTCGCTAATTCACCCGGGAACGTTGACTCCTGGTCACCACGCATCACTCTCGAAGATAATGGCCTCTGAACGGCAGAGTAAGACCGCTTACGCTAAGAGTATTCGTGCTAGAGGCAAAGCTTCCCCGGACCTCATCCTGGACCCGCAGATATCGGATGCCTCAGCCTTGATACGGCTCTCTGAAATCAATTCGCGGGCTCAGATTAGACGTCTGAAATGGACTTATCGCAAGGACTTGAGAAGTCTTACAAAGACGGGACGTCTTCCAGTTCGCGTCCTGGATCTCTCCTTCAGAATCAGTCAAGCTCAAGCCGCACCATGTTGACATCGACAAAGGCCACAGAGTCAGCAGTGGTTCAGACGACCAACTCCGAGAACTTGACGGTCGATGAATTGGAGCTACGCGCGCAAGGCCACACTGGAGAACTCCCACGCCAATTCAGCGCCTTGTCGACGTTGTCTCTAGCCTTCACCATCACCAACTCATGGATCGCATACTCAGCCGTGTTTGTGATCCCACTGATCACGGGCGGAGGGCCATGCGTTGTTTACAGCCTGATCGTCGGATTCGTGATGACTAGCATCATCACTCTCGGTCTCGCGGAGTTGGCCAGCGCATTTCCTACATCCGGTGGCCAGTATCATTTCGCGTTCATGGTCTCACCGCCGAAATACAGAGCCGCTATCTCCTATGCCATCGGCTGGATGAGCATCTTCGCATGGTGGATGCTGGCCACGGGCTCCTGTATCTTCTGCGCCCAAGCGATTGCCGCCATGGTAACAGTATACCACCCGGACTTCATAGCCACCCAGTGGCAAATCTACCTCATCTATGTTGCTCTGACAATCGTCGCCACAGCGGTGATAATCCTATTCGCCAAGTGGCTTCCGCAAGGGGAGATAGTCTGCTTCTGGCTGTCATGCATTGGATTTGCTGCCTGCACAATTATCGTGCTGGCGAGGAGCAACAACAAACAATCAGGGCGGACAGTCTTTGCCAAATGGAACAACAACAGTGGATGGCCGGATGGGGCAGCATTCATGATCGGAGTAGGACAGGGAATGTTTGCGTTCATTGCCACGGACGCTGCGACCCACGTTGCTGAAGGTGAGCAGGCTACTCCGCTGTGGTTAAGCATGGCAATCTGGATGAGTGGTTGACTGACAATGACCAGAAATGCCTCGGCCAAGAGTCAACGTCCCTCGAGCCATGGCCCTCACAATGGTGATTGGCCTTTTCACGTCCCTTGTTTGGACGATCGCGTTCATGTTCTCGGTCTCGGATCTTGATCTTGTGATGGCTAGCCCGACGCCATACTTGACTGTATTTTTCCAGGCTATTCGCAACGACGGGGTCGCTCTGTTCTTCACGGTCTGGCTATGGCTGGCATACCTGTCAGCCACGATTTCGTGCTATGCTACATCAGGCCGTCTTGTATGGGCATTTGCGCGCGACAACGGTCTACCATTCAGCAGTGTATTCCGCCAGGTCAGCACTCGATTTCAGATGCCGATGAATGCAACGCTCCTGACTTGCGTTTTCGCCGTTTGCTACGGCGCCATCTACTGTGGATCTACAACCGCATTCAACGCATTCATCTCCGTGTCAATTTTGGGTCTCAATATCACATACACGCTCCCGCAGGCTATCGTCGCCATTCGAGGGCGTAATAAGGTCTTGCCTGCTCGCCCATTCGCGCTAGGGAAGTGGACAGGCCTCTTCTGCAACACTTTCTCCAGCGTCTGGATCGCCATGTACACATTCTGGTTCTGCGTACCTACAGTCATACCAACCACAGCCCTCAGCATGAACTACGTCAGTGTGATCTTTGTTGCTGCTCTGTTGTTTATCACGGTCAGCTGGTTCCTAGGAAAGCGCAAGACCTTCACTGGTCCAAATGTTGTGCTTGACGGCGTGGCACACTCAGCATCATCATCGGCAGATACGAGTAGTGAAGCTGTCAAGTCTACAGGTTCGGACCAGGGGAATCTGAAGAGCAATAGCTAGAGGCTGTGCGCGTCAGCTGTAATTTTTCGGATATATGTATCAGAGTTGTCAGTGTGGTCTTTGATTTGTGAACGAGCCGGGATTCAAGTTCTCATGTTCCAGAAATACTGGACTGTAATCTGCGCGTCAAACGAGATCTTTCACAAACTGTGATAGATGAGAACGGCGGGCAATTCTCCTCTGCCAAAGGCAGCCTTCCACTATTGCCAGAGCTCGCCTCGAAGCACACATTTATCACCTCTGGGACAACGGAGTCAGACCGATTGGCTGCCACATAATTGGCTGATACAAACAAAGCACCACATCCAGCGCACCGAATCTTTCGAGATCCACATGTATAGCCGCCTAAGATTACGCCATCTGGTCTAGTGTACCAGTTCTATACTCCGTCGCTCTGAAGACTCATGGCCTGGCTTGGTGACTGTCTCGGGACTCCATGTGATCGGATCGGACTTCACGCCAGTCCGTCATCACACTCTAACAATACTCGAAGGGCACTCGAAAAATCCTCGAAGGGCACTCGAACAATTTTCCAGGAGCACTCAGACAATCCTCCAAGGGCTGTTCACTCTTGAAGGGCACTCAGATAATTCTCGAAAGGCACTCGAATAATCCTTGAAGGGCGCTCTGACAACACTTGAAGGGCACTCGAGCTTCGCACCGGAATCTGGAGAGCTCTCGGGTCGCCTACAATGACATCGGCGCTCTCAGCACTCCTGAAGGACCCTGGTCTCCTTGTCCTCGACAGGACATACGTTGACGGCAGCTGGGTTTCATCGAAGTCGGGGCAGACCTTCGAAGTCACCAACCCAGCGTCCGATGCAGTCATCGGGTCCCTGCCGGAGTCAGGCCTCGATGATCTCAACGATGCCATAAAGGCCGCATCTCGAGCACTGGAGAGCTGGAAACGTCGACCTGGAAGACAGCGAGCTCGAGTACTACACAAGATCTACGAGCTTCTGGTGGAACATCAGCATGATCTGGCAACCATCATCTCCGCCGAGAATGGCAAAGCAAAGGCCGATGCAATTGGAGAGGTGCTGTAAGTCATCTTTCATCAAATCACGCCACTCGATTGCTAACATCTGATCAATAGACTGTCGGCGAACTTCTTCGAGTGGTACTCCGAAGAGGCAAGTCGAATCTACGGCGATGTGATTGAAAACAGCAACCCTGGCTTCCGGACCCGCATCATCAAAGAAGCAGTCGGCGTATGCGGTATGATCACTCCCTGGAACTTTCCACTGGCCATGGGCGCGCGCAAGATATCTGCTGCTCTCGCCGCTGGGTGCACAATAGTCCTCAAGTCAGATGGACTCACGCCATTCTCCTCGAATGCCCTTGCTGTGATCGCTGAGAGAGCTGGCTTGCCGAAAGGAGTGCTCAATATCGTGACTGCTTCCAAGAACACACCCGAGCTGGGACTTGCGATGTGTGAGTCTGATATCGTCAAGAAGATCTCGTTCACTGGCTCGACCAGGGTTGGCAAGATCCTGTACAAACAGTCAGCGTCAACGCTGAAGAAGCTAAGCTTGGAGCTCGGCGGCAACGCAGCATTCATCGTGTTCGACGACGCCGATCTCGAGACTGCGATCTCCAGCCTGCTGATCGCCAAGTTCAAAGTCACTGGACAAACGTGTGTCTCTGCGAATCGAATTTTCGTTCAAGATGGCATCTACAAAAAGTTTAGTCAGAGGCTCGTTGAGGAAGTCAGCAAATTCCGAGTGGGCGATACACTGGCGAGTACCGATGGCTCCGTGACTCACGGCCCGTTGACGAACGGTCTAGGCAAGGTCGAATCGCTGATCGAGGACGCAGTTGCCAAAGGGGCCAAAGTGCTGCTCGGTGGCAATAGACTTCCATCTATGGGTAAGAATTTCCATGAGCTCACCGTGCTAGGTGGCGTCGACGACACGATGGCAATCACTAAGGAGGAGATCTTTGGTCCGGTGGCACCTCTTGTAATGTTCTCAACGGAGGACGAGGTGATCGCGAGAGCGAACGCCATCGATGTTGGATTGGCAGCGTATGTCATGACATCAGATCTTGGTCGGTCGTACAGAATGTCGGAGAGGCTCGAGACTGGTATGGTGGCCATCAACAGTGGTGTCGTCTCAGACGCACCTATCCCATTTGGAGGTGTCAAACACTCTGGATTCGGTCGTGAGGGCAGCAAATATGGGCTCGATGATTACCTTACCATGAAGACAGTCGTGACCGGAGCAATATGAGAGCTTTCAAGCTTCTTCGATCTTGCTACAGCGAGAACTTGACATGTAGGGGTTGACACATGCGCTGCATGAGGACGGGCGATAAGGGGCTCTAGCACAGGTGGACCGGGTCGAACTCGCGTGCTTCCTCACACCGCCATCAGGTCAGGCTAAACGTATTCGTCTCGAATATACCGTACAGTACGGTGTGACTGTATGCGATATCAAATCTCGTATGTAGCAGGCCTGACATTGGCAAGCCACCACCAACGACTACCTAGTACAGCCCGCTGCCTTGTGCCAAGGTGCCAAGCTCTGACTGCCAAGCCCGATCAAATCAAAAAGTTGAACGACCAACGGTCTTGTTCTCATCAGTGTAACCCGTCACAGAGGATCTACGCTGTACGCCCTAACTTACGCCGTGTTCTGCCTGATCAAAGAGTGTATTCGCAACTCCACAGGAGCCGGAGCCTGCCATCAAGCGTGCCTTGCCAATCTCTACTTGCGAGGAGAAGCCCGATCTAAGCGGGAATGTCGAGTGCATTAATGCTTTCACTTCAGCTACAGGTCGATGGCGAGATCTCGGTACATCGGGCTTCGCATACTCCAGAATACCAGAGAGGGCCTCCAGGAGCACCTTGTCATGACACTGGTCATGGTATTTTCATTCAATGTCCACTGCAAACGTCTCGCAGTGCGGAGAGAACGGCTTGACCTTCAATACACTGCCCTTTATGCGAGTATGCCATGGTCATGCTGACATCGGATCGACAATGTCTCTGTCCTTCCAGATCAAGATATGCCACTAGCGATGTAGAAGGCTCAAGAACGATGCACCAGGGATTCAGCCATCTTCGCAAGACAACCGGGGTTCTAGCGACTCTGCAGTCACAGATTGCAGACGGTATTATGCTGACCACATGATGAGTATGAACGCTTCACTTCACCGACCGTGCAATCTCAGCCCCCATCAGGAATGGGTAGTGCTTTTCATCCTGTTGACGAGGTAGGGCAAAATTACGACGGCGTGATCCGCATTCAATATCAGTTCTGGCCCCAAAGGCTCAGTGAGTATCAGCTGGGCACACTCAGTCGCAGGCTAAGTTTAGTTAGGCTCGAACCAAAAGGCCCAAACTAACAACAGCACGCCTCGCGCCCGATCATTCGTAATGCCAGCATCGAAATAGCACAGCTTACTTGCAGCAGGTCCTCCACGTCTATACCCCGAGCCAAGGAATTCGTTTTGTTCAAGGATGAGATGCTGACCGGCACAGGGCCCAACCCTATCACGGAAAATCCTCCATGAGCATACACATGGGTAAGTGCAGCCAAGTGCAGTAGGGAGAGGCGCGCTACATAAGGCGAGTCCTCAGACTCAATCTCTCCCAGGCTCGTTAAACATACCAGTTGCTCGGAGTTCGCGAACAATTTTCTTTTCTTCTCTCTTACTTGTTACCACACGCTCGTGAAGCCTCCCTTTATCAGTCCTGCCACAATGTCTCCTTCGTACACAACCATCACCACTGCAGCCGCAATCGGCCTACTCCTTTTCGCGCAGCCGTGTCCCGCCCCGCTCCTTGCCATACCAGCAGCTGCAGCTGCTAGCATCAGCGCCGTATCTGGCGCTGTGGGAGCAGGAGCTGCGGTCGCCGGTGTCGGCATCGCAGCCGGCGCTCTTGCCAATGATATCAACAACAACAACAACAAACGTCAAGTCAACGCCACTGAACACGAAAGACGTCAGTTCAACACCGCTGTACAGCCCTCCAACAACGGCGCCACATCCCTCTGGGAGTCGTTGAATCTGTGTGCGGCGTACATCCAAGGTAGCGGAAAAGCGATAACAACCAGCCGTCCTGGCTTCATCGAAATAGCCAACTGCCCACAGGTCTGTGGTGATGCCATCGAGGCTTACAACAGCGCCCCCGGGCTGGCAGAGATGGATCGCATGTTCGGCACTATCCAGTGGAACCGCGGGACCATGATCATCGATACTCAAGTCGTCAATAATGCCGGCCCGGCTGGCCAACGAAACAACAACAACAACCAAGGGTCCGGCAGAGGCTCGAACAACAACAATCAAGGGTTCGGCAATGATCGTGGTACGGGCCGCGCTTCTACCGACTCAAGTGAAGGTAACCTACTCTCAGACTTAGCGACTGGTGATCGTCAGGCGGCAGGTGCTGACATCGCCGCAGGGACTCGAGGTCGTCAAGGGTTGGGGTTCAAAGCTTAGGTATCATCTGTGACAAGCGCGTCGCTGGCTTTCCATTTCAGCCTCGCCAAAGGGATGCGAACATCAATGGGACGAGGTGCAGCTCAGGGACACGATTGCAAGGAGTCTGCTTGGGTTGGGCGATCATTTGGCTGGTTCGTATGGATTTCTGCAATATACTACTCACCACATATGGTGTCAATATTTCGATCACACGACTTCATGTCCGTCACAATGGACGTCGGAAAACTCCCTCGTCCGTCGCGCTCCTGGCGCAATAGAAGCATGTAAGGCATATACCATGTCTTGGTCCTCATCGTCCTCCCCAGCACATAGCCCAACCCGTGCATTTCAGTAAGTCAGACGCCAGGCGCGACTGCACGCATAACAAAACATCAATATGGTCTTGATTCATGACTCGTAACAAAAAAGCTATCTCAAGAAGCAAAACAGCTTACCTTCACCCATCAAACCTACTCAACCTCCACCCTCCGCTGGATCCTGCTCTTACTCTTACTCTTACTCACCGTGCTCTTGCTCACCGTACTGGCCGCTGGCGCGGGTGCACTCCCAGCAGTAGCTCCACCCCCACCACCAAGCGGACTCTTCGTGCACAACGTAAACACCAAATCCGTCATCCCCGGACAAACCTTCGTCCTCACATCATCCGGCAGGTTATACGCCGCATCACACCTCGCACCTGGAGGACAATCAACCGCCACACAAGTCGGGTTGGCCACAGAGGACTTCACCGAGGGAACAAGACTTACGCCATGAGCCGCGAACGGGTTGCCGTCGATATTGGAGATGTCGTAGTATACCTTGCCGTCGGACGCGAGAGTGAATTCGAATTGGGCTACTTTGCCGCCGGGGCTGGCTTGGACTTTGATGCTGACGCCGCTGGACTTGACGAGCAGGGGTTCGGTGTAGCGTTGGCCAGCGGGGAGAGCCCAGGGCTGGGCGTTGTTGTTGTTCTTCACGGAGGCGACATAAATCGGTGCGCCACATTGGTTGATGACGATGGCATTCGAAGCAGCGGAGGCGCTAGGCATCGAGATTAGCAGTGCCAATAAGCCCGTGAGAAGGGCTAGTTGTGAATTGCACATCTTGGTCTTGTAGACTGGCTTGAAATACATCATTGGATTGGAATAGTTTGATGTGGAGTTAAGCAGAGTCGGGAGAAACGCACGGATCACTGCTGCGGAAATGAGGACGGCGCTTTGAACATGGCAGACAAAGAGGCGGGAGTTGCTCGTGACCACTCAGCTGTTGTTTCGGAATTTCCCGGCATCACGCAAGGCTTTGTGTTGTGTACGCAAAGACAAAGAAATACCACGAACGGCATTGTGCTGATTGCTTGGTAAGTGGTTGCATGGTTAGCTGAGCTCGAGTCTTCCATTACTCAGTCGAGCAGCCTCGCCAGAAACACAGCGGGACTGTGGATTCATTGAGGATTGAAGCTTTTGTTTCATTGAAAGCGCCGTTTGCCCTCAGGAAACTGCTGATGTGCGCATCATATGGACCACGCCTCATCGCCTGTGTTTCTGATCCATGTGCCAAGGACTAGTCTCGCGGCATCCTTGCGGCTTATGATGTCTCGTCTGATCTCCGAGTCCTTTACCGAGCAGTATGAAGTCCGAAGCCTCACTGAATCATCCGGACCCAGCTTTTCCTGAATCGCACGACCGAGCTCTGCCATCTGCTTCCTGCATATCAGACTTTGCTTCCGAGTGTCGTCGCTTGTTTGCTTGTAGCCTTGCTTGACGCCGTTGAGCAGAATCTCGGTTTGCGATCGACCAGCATCACCTGGCCCCTTGATCCACAGGGTGGAAATATTGCTGGCCTTTCGTGATCCAGCTTCTTTCCGGAATGAGAAGTCATTGAAGTAAGGTGGCAATTGGTGGACATCGAAATACGTGGTCCCTTTGATGTTTTCGAATTTCGCACGACCCGTTGGTGAGAATGCCCGCTTGTAACTTTCCTCGTGGAATTGCTCGTATGGAACGATCAAGGTCTTGATGAATGCACTTGGCGATCTCTCGAAGAACATGTCAGTGGGAAACGATAACACACTTGTGACTTGCTTGATAGTCAGCTTATCAGAGCACGACTTGGAAAGACTGGGCTCGGCATCTGCACGAGCCGGCTTCCGGCGAAGTGCTCCTAACAGTCCGAAGTTGGCTCGCCCTGGCAATGATGGCGCTTCCACATCGCCCTCAATTGCGTTAGGTGTATCCCATGGTATTGCGTCTTCCGGAGCTTTAGACCTCATTAGCAGGTCCATAGACGCATCGCCACAAGGAGCTTCGGATGTGAAGAAATGCATGGACAAGTCGTCTACTAGTCTGAAAGGCCGCTGGCCAGGTTCGCATTCGACCATGGTATTTCGACAGATGTACGGCGACACGTGAGATGGGTGGTCAAGGGCGAACTGGAGCTCCTGTAGCAGCCATCTGTTGAAACCACGCAAGGCTATCACTTCAGCGTGAGAGTCGTGTAGAAGTTGTCCATTGCATTGCGAGATCATGCTCGATGGAAGACATTTGGTTCCGGTGGCTAATGAGACGCACTCATTGACTAGTCCGGTCTCACTTGGCCTCACCACGACCACTCCCGACAGTGGCGTCCATTCTCTGCGACCATCTGCGTGGACACGCGGCTTGCATTTGGCAGGCAGTGCATTGAAGCAATCCAGAACGCATTGAGCTATCGAGTCACTCAGATCAACCATAGACGGACGGACGAGCGAGTCCTGCCAAGAGTGAGGTTCTGATAGAATTTTGGTTGTAGCTGAAAGGTTGGCGCTGATGACGTCGCGCGTCAGTCTGACTAGCGCGAGTTCACTTGCCCAACTTTGCTGCCCATCACAACAACACTTGAGATAGCGATATCATTTGCCGGGCGCACAGGCAGCATCCCTGTTTCTTGCATCCATGTTCGACGACTTATTAGAACTCGCAACCAACACGGTTCATCCTGATCATACTCCGCACATTTCTCATCCGATCACGTCAAACAACGCGTCTGGCTCTAGCACGATGCCGCGACGAGCTCGTCAACAATCGGCGAGCGTGTCAAGCGCTGTCGCCGAAGTCAATGGGCTCCCGCCTGCACCGGTATCAGCTTCTAAGTCGCCGTCGCCAGTCGCGGCCCGCCACAAGCGCACACGGTCTACAGCGAGTCAACCAGGATCGCCTGGCAAACTCGCGCAAGCTCTAACTACGAGACCGCACCAGGATGTCGTGGAAGCTGCGCCGCTCAAATTTATAATCGCGGTCCTCAGCAACATGCTCCTGAGTGGTGTAGTGCGCTACGTGCTGGCGACATACACGTCATTGGGAAGTGGTCAGCTCGGCGCCTTCTCAAAGAATCCCGAAGAAAATCCATACACTCTGGCTGTCATAGGCTGGCGCATCTTGACATTGGCGGTCTACTGGTTCGGAGGCTTTGATGGTACGTTGATTGGCATTTGCTTCCTAGACCTGGGCATGACTGACTGCAATCAGCATACGATGTTGCATCCTTGACGGTACTCAGCGCTACCCCAATCGCGATCCTCCAGTTCCTTTTCTACAAGATCAAGCCACAAGTCATGGCCATTGAGATCGCGACCAGTGTCATCTCGTCCGCGGTGCCCTTCTACCTACTCCGCTCGATCGCACCAGCACATCATCCAGGCGACAAATCCACAAAGTTCTCTCTGCGCAACCGAGCCATCCTGACGGATCCATACACAGCCACATACACGTCGATATTGGGAGCAGCCATCCTTGCTGTGTTCCTGGAGCTCAGTTTCGAGACCTATCTGCCGACCTTTCTTATTAGGGAATTCACCTACATCTCTACGCTCGAGCCCGCGCATAGGGGCGCAGCTCAGCTACCCATCCTGGTCTTGTCGCTCCTACCAGCAGGCGTCGCGTTCCGCTCCTTCTTATTTGCGCCGAGCACTTCAGTACCTGCTGTTCCGGTCAATGAACTCGATACACAGTCTGCTGGCTTCGTCGAGCATCTCAAGTGGAACCTATGGGATGGTACTCTTCTAGGCAAAAGGTCCTTCTGTCACGTTTGGCCGTCCTAGGCTCTTTGGCTTTCGCGAGGTGGTAGCTCAGGCTCTCTTCACACTAGAGGGTATCAGCCTCCGAGGCGCTGTCGGTTATGCTGGCATCTGGGCACTCGGTTACAGCCTGGTGACAATCGTCCTGGACTGGGTCAGCAAGCCAGCAGATCACTGATACTCCGAAAATCATGTGAGCGAACGACAGCTTGCTGCCATCTGGCAACTTGCCCGAAAACGTCTTTATCATGCTCGCGACCACTAGGTCCCGAGATTGATCGATGGACAAAAGCATACACTGGAGTCCGGTGATTCTGGATACCCTTTGCGCGCGCTATGGGAGGTAGACTTGGTCAACCACCTTCTTGGATGGAAATCTTAGCATTCCGACGGTGTTAAGCAGAGGAAGATGATGCTACTTTCAGCGTCACAATTTGCACTTTCGGCTGCGTAAGCCTTTCTGGGTCAAACGACCGTTTTGTCAGTGCAAGCCCCGCGTCCAACGGCGTTCAGCAAGGCAGAGTCCATGCCCTTGTTCTCTGACGACAAGGCAGCAGCTTACCACCCTGTCGACTGAAATTAGAAGCACACACGATGTCTCTGAAGAATCGCTGGAGCCTTCTGGAAGGAAGCTAGAAGGAAGTGACGCTGCAGAATGGCAATTTCGCTACATCAGCGTCCTGATACTATCCGGGCAGTGCTTCCTCCTTACGGCGCCCGAAGCTGCGTGTACATAACGAATTTGACATTCTGCGACACAAGGTGACGCAATCGCACCGAAAATGAACCCCTTGGCCTTGAAATCTTCAGATTGTCGTCGCGAGGAAAGAAGCGAGGACGGGCATCTAGTGCATCCGCTCGCCGATGAACGACGTCGGCTGTGTCGGGTGAACTTTGTTCAACGGCGCCAACGGACATGCTATAGGCACGACTTCATATTCAGAGGCCGCAACAAGCGTGCTGGGAGTGAAAGCCATAGCAATTAGTAAAACACAAGTGTTTCATTCACGCGGCCAAATTTAACGACTGTCGTTCGAAGACACGTGACTCAGCACCGCGAGTAGTGGGGCTGATGTGGGGCCGATATCGCGGCGCGGGTACAAATGTCGGGCACCCGATATCGAGAGAACTCTTGTATCTGCAAGAACGATGCGAATTGGTCAATTTAGCGAGATGAGACAAGCTGCCCATGATCGACAAACTGGCCGGCTCAGCGGAAGCTTTTGTGGCGTGTCAGGGTTTGTTTGCCTTTCTGTCCGAACGCGTTCCAGGAATTGGAAATCCAACGGGCTCACCGTTGGCCGTGCCTCAGGACTTGTAGCCATAGTAGTCTTAGCAGCCGTCGCTCTCGAACAGATTGGCCTATCGAACATCCCGACATGACAGTTCCTGGCACAAGGTCTGCTGCATGATCTTGACGGAAACTGCCATCGGGGCTACCCGGCGTGTCATCCTTGCGTCAGTAGGAAAGCGCAGCAGATGGGTATTCAACACGAAAAATCATGCGATTGTCTGTCGATCAAAGCAAAAATAGCTGTCACTTTTGACTGGTGTGTAATGATGTGCAGAGATCTTCTCGTTGAATCATGGTACATTGCCGATGTATGTCTCCAACTGAAACGCGCTGATCTTCAGATCTCTGCTCCGTTCTCGGCGCAGCTTCAGACCTCATTGTTGATGGCATGAGTTGAAGGGACGTTGGCATACACTTTAGACTGCTGTATCTGTATCTGCTCAACGGCCGGGCTCCATAACAATAGTCTCGGCTTGTGCTTTTGCAGTGGACCATATCGGAGATTCGTTGCCTTCGAGAAGGTCTAGAGAAGATTGTTAGATGCGCAAAGTGGACATGGCAAGGGTATTGGAGAGTGATTGATCTGAACGAGTTTCGACTGGCGACGAGGTAGGCGATTTAATGATTGGTGCGCAGGCCTTTTCCCCTCGATTATTGGAGTGGGCACCGTGGGGCTGACATGACCCGGTCATCACTGCAGTGCATGCCAGTGCTTGCTCATTCCTCACACCACTCTAAGCCTCGAACACGAAAGGCACAAACGGCAAGCACGTACGACAGCCATCAGGAGATTTCCATCATCTCGCATCTCGTCGTTTCCTAGCACGTGCATACAAAGTGCGTCTTGGGGCTGATTACGCCAGATTGGGGTCGAACTGCTGCGTTCTTGTCCCGCATAGCTCTTCATCTCGAGTATCCACACACACACAGTTTTCGAGAAGTCACAACGGCCGTCCTTTCTGCCAGCTCTCAGGCGTTGAAATACGCCAACCATCTCTCGCCCTTGATCCTAGTCACTGTCTAAGACTAGTATCACTTCAAGACTTGCTTCCTCCAAGTGTTCTGGGTAACTGCGGGAGGATCTTCAAAGTAAGCTGGATTCACCCACTTCGAGTACCCAACCCGAGGCTCCGAACCCTGCGACGCCCCTACTATTGGGCACCCTTCACGCCTGCATCATCGAACTTCCAGTGCCTTGATGTGGTCCCGACACTACAGCGGTTTAGCCTGATCGCTACTTGCCACACGAGCTCCTCGAATCTGCTTATCCTATTCTTTGTAAAGTAACAGCAGACCTGGACTAGACCGCGACTCCTCCGTCGAGGCTGCCTTTGCCCAGACATACGACTTCGGTCTCACGGATCGGTGACCAGGGTTCTGGCGCTAGTGCTCTCTCTTCACCTCACAAACCTGGCATTGCAGCTGTCTCGCATATTTGCATTCTACTGCAACTCATCACACTCGCCTGCCGTAGCCAACCTCGACCCGCCGCTGGTTCAACGGCTTCCTCGTGCCGGACGCTTCACAAACTTTCCGTACCTCAATTCCGAGCCTAGTGCTCATCAAGAGGATCTCATGCGTCTCATCTAGCGCGCTTTCATCTACAGCACTACGACACGATCTTCAGTAGAGGCGATCTGACGGAGATCGTGTGGATCAAGACCAGCTATTGCGAAATTGACCATTCGAGACCTACGGTGTACTTCCAGACAGCCCTATAGGCTATCTGCTTGCCCACCTCAGTTCTGCTCGCCAATCACGGATGAATATCCACATGTGTGTGTAAGGAATATGTTTGGACAGGATCCGAACTTCTCTCTGAACCTGTTCTGAATCCCCCTCCCTGACTATGACAAGTGCGCCGCCACGTCAGTCAGGGAGTTTCCCAGGAGACGGCCGACAGAATTCGTTTTCATCGGGCCAGAATCTTTCTTCTTTGGATGCCCGCAACCGCCGGATCGATACTCTCATTACCGCCCAGGCACAGGCGACATCGAGTCCGTCGTCGTACGACACGTCGTCGCCTGATATCGACTTCAACTTCCCTTTCGCTGGTAGTCCTCACGACAGCATCAACAGTGGGATCGATGCGCCTCCAGAGCTGCGGATGGGCCAAGGGTATCATGGTCGGGGATCCATGTCCGATAGCCTACGGTCGCAGATGCCTCAACAGCATCGCACCAGCCTGGCAAGCATCGATTCCACTGTGGACGGCGACTTGATGACTACTGGCGCGATGGGTGGTTGGTCGTCCAAAGCTCAGCAAGCAGTTAGCAATCCTGATGAAGCAATGCACGATGGCTCTGATAATGACAATGACCAGCAGAAACGGAGGGCATCGGATGAGGACAGGCCATCTTGGAGCGAGCTCAAGACAAAGGCCGGCAAGGAGCGAAAACGTCTACCACTGGCCTGCATAGCGTGTCGTCGCAAGAAGATCAAATGTTCGGGCGAAAAGCCTGCTTGCAGGCATTGTATTCGTGCTCACATCCCTTGCGTCTACAAAGTCACGACACGTAAGGCTGCACCACGGACAGACTACATGGCTATGCTCGACAAACGCCTGAAGCGTATGGAGGACCGTGTTATCAAGGTCATTCCTAAAGAAGAGCTGCCTGACATGTCAGTGACAGGACGATCGAGCGTTAAGCCTCCACTCCCGGGTGCGAATGCTAGCAACAAGAAGGCCAGCGCGCCTACCGTCGACGACACCAAGAAACGCTCAGCAGAAGAGGCCTTCACAGCTGAGATGTCTACCTGGACTTCAAGCAATCGGCCGAGCTCCGCAGTGCTAGACCCGCTCACTGGTCTCCGACGGCAACGTGAAGGAGAGAACAAGCTGTTCATCGAAGGCAGCGAGTCACTCCCTCCGCAGCACATTCAAGAGCACCTGGCGGAGGTGTTCTTCGATTGTGTCTATGGCCAGTCGTACCTGCTCCTGCACAAGGCATCGTTCTTGCGCAAGCTCAAAGCCGGCACCGTACCTCCTGTCCTCATACTTGCTCTCTGTGCTGTGTCTGCACGCTTCAGCACACATCCGCAAATCAGTACCGAGCCTGCCTTCCTCCGAGGAGAGCAGTGGGCAACGCCTGCTCGGAAGATCATCGAAAGGAGGCATTACGAGCCCAACATCACCATTCTCATTGCCATGCTCATGCTAGGTCTCCACCACTTTGGCACCTGCGAAGGTGGGCTGTCGTGGAGCTTTGGCGGGCAGGCTTCGAGAATGGGCTATGCTCTACAATTGCATCGTGAGTTGGAAAGAGAACCGATGGGCAGGGAACAACTGGCAGGGAAGAGCAAGTCTAACAATGCTGCAGTATTGCCAGAAAATACTCAACAATCCAAACCTAACGACAATTCCAACACTAATACCAACGTACCTTCGACGACCGTACCGCCCGAGCTGTCCTTTACCGATCGAGAGATCCGTCGACGAACGATGTGGGCCTGTTACTTGATGGACACCTTCAACAGCAGTGGGACAGAGCGACCAAGCTTCCTCAGCGAAGAGTACTTTCAGATACAGCTACCCATAAAAGAGTCGCACTTCCAGATGGAGATACCCGGGGTGACGGAGAATCTGGAGGGCGATTTACCAGCGCATTATCAGCAACGAACGAAGTCAATGGCAGGTGCAGCAGTCGCTTCCACCAACGAGCTTACTGCGATGCAAGCTGAAGCCAGGTCCAACATGGGAGTTGCCGCTTACGTTGTACGAGGTGTGGTGCTTTGGAAACGCATTGTCAAATACCTGAATCTTGGAGGGAAAGAGAAGGACCCGCATCCTATATGGGACTCATTGTCAGAATTTGCGGCATTGGCGCGACAGATCACGTCGTTAAAACAGTCGCTTCCTGCGGACCTCGTCTACAACTCGGCTAACCTCGCGACGCATGCCTCCTCTAGACTGGCGAATCAGTTCCTTCTGCTGCACATAATGCTGGCACAGTGCTCACTGTTCCTGCATCGGTTCGCTGTGCCGACCTATCCTTCGTCGCGGCCGCATCACACACCTCTGCTCGCGTCTGGCATGCCGAAGCAGTTCCTGACGCAATCAGCGCAGACAGTCGTGGATGCTGCGAGCCATATCAGCAGTCTTATTGCCGTGTCAGCAGGCCATACCTTGACAGTGCCCTTTGCAGGATACTGCGCCTACGCTTCAGCTACAGTGCACGTCTGGGGCATCTTCTCGCGCCTGCCTTCGCTCGAAACGTCCTCCAGAGACAACCTCAAGCACAACTACAAATACCTGACACGCATGAAGCGGTACTGGGGCATGTTTCACTACATGGCAGAGAGCGTCAAAGACACATATCGGGCATTTGCTGATTCATTCGCTCGGTACTCCTCGCTAGCTTCGACGGGAACATCTTTGCTGCGATCACAATCCTCAGGCACTGCGGCGAATGCTACAGACGGCACGAGCCGTTCGCAGACCCCCGGCGCAGGCGGCACCCACACACCTTCGCACAGCACTAGCTCGACAGCAACAACGCACGGCGGTCCTGGAGCTAAACAGATGTTCCAGTACGGGGATTGGTTCGACAAGTACCCGCACGGCGTGTCGGAGGCGGAATGGGAGACATCTCACCTCGAGTACAAACGAGAAACGACCGGTGGTTCTGAAGCTGTCATGAGCGCGCGGTCGGAACTGCAAAGCGTGGAGGAGTTCTTCGCTACTCTCAGTCCACCTAGCAAGGCAGAGGAGCAATCTGGAAGGGGCAAGAAGATCGCACGACGCAGAGGAAAGAGCGTCGCTGAACCCAGCACAGCAAGCGGCGGCAGGAAAGGCTCAATGTCGCAGCCCGCAGACCAGAATAAGCCTCAAGCGCAGTCTTTCTCTGGCCAGCAACGACCGACGATCCGGCGCCAGCAATCCGACCTTACCCTCTCAACAGCACTCGCCAACACGAGCAGCATCAAGCCTCCACCAACTACAGACTCCTCACATGACCTCTCGTCGCCACCACTGTACCGCAACGTCCCGCCTTCCTCCGCAGACCCGTACTCGGCCAGCAGTGCAACGACCAATACCTTTTCACCGAACCAGCACAATTTCCACTTCCCTCCATTCCCGAGTACGACCATACCGCATCACGCGGTCTCGAATCTGGATCGACAAATGGTGTTCGGTGCGTATGCGGGCATCGATCCGGGGAGCATGTCTCTACCGGAAGATTTTGGCAACGCTGGCACAAACTGGGGTAACATGACCGATCCGAATGCTCTCAATTTCCCCTTTCAGCCCGGCGACCCAAACCTTGATGGCATGGATCCCAACGCGGATCCTGGCAAGGGCGAAGCATGGCAGAACTCGAATATGGGCTTTGGTCATAATGATGGCACTGCGATGTCTATGTCAGGAGGCTATCAAGGCATCGGCGGAGGATCGATGGGCATGGGAAGCACGGCGTTCTTCATGCCGTTCAACATGGAGCCCCCAAATTTCGGGACTGGGTCGGGAGCTGGGCCTGGAGAGTTGGGAGCTGGGCAGTTGGATGGGATGGATTTCGGGATTAGTCCAAGCGGGACGAGTTCGGTGTTGGGAGATTTGGGCCAGCAGGGTGGCGGCATCTGAAGTGAGAGAGGAAGATTCACAGAAGCCAGAGCGGGAAAGCTAGCCACCATCTGAGGGAAGGCCTGCGAAGGCGACCCTGCGGAACCGATGTTGCACTTCGTGAAGAGACCAGGATATCTTCGACATTACAATGACGCTTTGGTTCCGCTTTCACACCTACGCGCACACTCACACACGATTAGGGAGGAAAGAGCAGGAAGGAGGAGGACAAAAGCACGGCGTACCGCCATCTTATTTTACCACGAGACAATCCCTCGTGGTACTCAACCTTCGCAATTTATGGAGCGTTCTGGCGTCGATCTTTTGCATATACACACGACATGGACGAGGAGATACACGCCAGGATATGCCTCGACGGCACTATTTACTTTTTTGATATTCAATAATACCCCTTCCAGCGAAACCCAGGACCCAAAGAAATTCGGCATTCGCCGCTGTGGCTTTGTACATGAAGGACTTCGCGTGTGCTCTTGATGATCAACACGTTCCGAAGCCTGATCAGCTTCGACCGTCCCAGAACAACTCATTCTTGCTTGCAGCAGTGGCGACGTAGAAGTAAAGACGTGTCAATCGGTTCTAGGTGACGCTCGTCGTGGGAAGCAATAGGCACCTACCATGTGGCGACGTCTGATGTAGGAAATATAATTGCAATGCAGAGTAGATTGACCCAGCAGACCAAGTTCCTCGCCCACTTGTAGCCAACTGTACAGGGGATTGACTGCGACATACTAAGCCTCTGCTCCCAGTCGTTGGGTGGCATATGTTGTTTGCGGTCGATTGAAGAGGTGTGGTAGAATTGCACGAGTCTCATGTGCAATGGACATTGACCAGACCGGATGATTACTAAGTAGATATGGTGCACAGTCATCCGGTCTGGTGGAAGACATGTGATGATTTTGGCGAGACCGGTTGACATGAATACTTCAGTGAGACTGGTCGAGGGTTCCATAGTAGCGGCCCCGAAGCGGCAGTCTATCAAGCCTTGCATTGACGTCGTCCTACGTGTTGCCTTTCACATAGGTCGAAACTTGAACCAACAGCGTATGATGACTTTCGGAAGGGTCTATACGCACAATGTCGATGCTCCGAGCATAGGCCAGGGCCACTGCAGACCAAGTCAATCAAGCGACAACGCAACACTTGGGGGCACATATTCCACAATGGCGTAGGAATCGTAGTCTAGTCTACTTGTAACTACAAAACATTCAACCTCCCACCACACTGGGGCTGTTGGCTCGGATGGACTCAATCGCCAATCCACTCATCCACAACCCGATCCCAACACCCACGGCAGCGAGAGGCATCTAGTTCTCCCACTCCTCGTCGTAGCTGTCTATCAATCGATTCTCGGCGTCCGCGTCTCGGCCGCCGTTCCGCCCACCTGTCCCCGCTGACCGACTAGCACCGTTTGTGCGGTCGTTGTAGTTGTCTTCGGTGCCAACGCGGTGGTAGCCGCCGCGACCGCGGCCACCGAAGAGGCGCTGGACGGAGGGGATGCGGTTGATGCAGCTTCCGAAGAGGATTTGTGTCATGTCCTATGAAAAGATGTGTTAGCAGAGCTAAGAGATATGGGTTTGGGGATGTGATGACGACGTGTGGGATCAAGTCAGCAACGGCGAAGGGGCTTACCGAAACGAAGCTGAAAATCCCAGCCCACATCCCATAGTGAGGCAGCTGCCTCCACCCCCTTTGATGCATAACGTTGCGTTGATAGACGATGCCTCCGATCAGGTAGACCAGCAGCGCGATGCCGGTGATGACGAGGAACACGCCCCCGGGACCCAGCGTGCCGGATTCATGTTGCGTGGTCGTTCCACCGCATGCGTGTCTGCTGCGGACCTCGAACAGGTACGTGCAGTGGTCCGGTGTGCCGAGAAAGCTGATGGCGGGCTTGCCGGCGAGTAGAGGAGATGTGTCGCAGGCGAATGTCATCATAGTTGTTTTCCGACGGGTGGTCTTCTTTCCCTTGTGGCGGTCATCGTCGTCGTCGTCATCGAGGATGGCTCGTTTTTTATGATTCGGCCGTCCTGGTCTAGGTCCGGGCAAGGCGAGCCCATGGTATAGTTCAACAACAATTTCTTGCCCCGAAACAGTAACTCGCTGTTCTGCTGCCCGATGCTTATTATATTGTCGTGGCTGTCTTTGTAGAAGGCGGAGACATTGCGCCAGTTTCTTTCCTTGACGCCGTTAACGTCCTCGAGTTTCTCGACGACTGAGTCGCAGAAGTTGAGGGTGAAGTTGTAGGGGTAGTCGTAGCCCTTGGCGTGGTAGGATTCATTAGTCGAGGATTGTGAGCTCGATCCGGCGCCGTCTCGAGATAGGGCCAGTGGCCGCATGTCGATGAATGAGCCGGTTGTCGGGGAGTGGATTGTACATGGTTTCGGTGCGGGTTTCTTGTCGTCGCTGGCGGCGGTGGTGTACTGGGTGAGGGAGAGGAGTGCGATGAGGGAGGGGAGGAGGTGCATTGTGGCGGGTGTGGTGTAGCGAGCGACGGGATGGTATGTGCCTCAGATGATGGAAACGAAGGAGGAGAGTCGTGTGCTGGTGATAGATCGTCCTCAGCGAAAGATGGTGCAGCAGATTCGAGGTGGCCTGACTGTAAGGGCGCAGGCAGTCGGGCTTATTCCATGAATGCCTATATCGAATCGAATATACCTCGTAAGTGGATGAGAATGAGATAGTGGTGTGCAGGGATGAAATGTAATTCGACGTTGTGAAGGATGGAATTGTTCGAGGGATTATGCAAGTGCCGGCCGGATCGTTCATCATTCAGCCAGCCTACACGTGTCTTCCTGCAGGGCTGAACATGTGGCTGATGAGGCTACCGGCTGCAGCTTGACCCCTGGAGCTCACCTAAACTCGACGTCACTTGGCGCCTAGAAATTCGCTAATGCGGGCGAGATGCGCGTGTCCCTGTCCCGGCAAGAGCTTGAGATCTGTGGCGTAGGTCATGACACCACTTTTTTTGTGTACAGCCGGAGAGATCGTGCACGTTGAAAAGAAGCTCAACATCACGCGTTTGCCAGCGTGTGTGCATACCTGCAGCACATCTCGACCTCAATACTGCTCCGCGCTTCTCCTGTATCCTAACACGCGCGTGACCTTGCCCATCATGTCGCACAAGTCCAAGAAATCCGACCCATCAGTCGCCATACCACACGCAGAAGAGAAGCATGGATACGAGTTCTTTGGACCGTAAGTCTACACCACTATCCATTCTCGACAAGTCCTCACAGACTAACAACACCACAGCCCAGGCGCATTCGCAGTTACATTCCTCCTCCCCCTCCTCGTCCTCGCCTCTCTCGAGTTCTGCAACGATGTCTCCGGCTGTCCAGCGCCTGCTCTCCTCAGCCCGCGCACTCTCACCTGGGCAAAGCTCAAAGCACAAACACCATGGCCCGAGAACGGCATCGCCGGCCTCTTCGACGCTGAAGCCATCTTCTGGACACTCGCCTACTACCAACTCCTTGTCGCCCTCCAAATCATCCTCCCCGGCGAAGAAGTCGACGGCACTGTCCTCAGCACCGGCGGCCGCCACCACTACAAATTCACCACCTGGCGCACCTGCATGCTCCTCACGCTTGCCCTGACCATCGGCACCATCACCTACGGCGCCAACTGGATCGTCTGGACCTTCATCTGGGACCACCTAATCGGCATCTGGGTCGCCAACCTGCTCATCGCCTACGCCCTCTCCCTTTACGTCTACCTCGCTTCCTTCAGCGTTCCGCCCCCCAACCACCCAAACCCAACCCACCGCGAACTCGCCAAAGGAGGCCACAGCGGCAACATGCTCTACGACTTCTTCATCGGCCGCGAGCTCAACCCGCGCATCGACATCCCCTCCTCCCTCCCCCTCATCGGCGGCCAAACCCTCGACATCAAGCTCTTCATGGAGATGCGCCCCGGCCTGTTGGGCTGGATCATCCTCGACTGCGCCTTCATCGCCCACCAATATGCTCTCTACGGCTACGTCACCGTCTCCATCGCCTTCATCACAGCCTTCCAGGCCCTCTACGTCTTCGACGGCTTGTACATGGAACCCGCCATCCTTACCACCATGGACTGCACCACCGACGGCTTCGGCTTCATGCTCGCCTTCGGCGACGTGGCCTGGTTGCCGTTTATTTACAGCATGCAGGCCCGCTATCTGGCCGTGCACCCCGTCGAGCTGCAGTTGGGTGGTACCGGTGCCCTCGTCGCCCTCTGCGTCGGAGCAGGCTACTATATCTTCCGCGCGTCGAATAATGAGAAGAATCGCTTCCGCACGGATCCTTCGGACCCACGCGTTGCGCACCTCAAGACGCTTACAACCGAGGCCGGCAGCAAGTTGCTGATCAGTGGCTGGTGGGGTACGGCGCGGCACATCAACTACCTCGGCGACTGGATCATGTCCTGGGCTTTTTGCTTCCCACGGGCCTCGCTGGCTACGTCATCTATCATACGCGGAATCCGATTACTGGCGTGGATACGGTCGATGTCAAGCAGACGGACGAGGTGAGAGGTTGGGGTGTGATTTTCACGTATTTCTACATCGTCTACTTTGGAGTGCTGCTCGTACATCGCGAGCTGAGAGACGAAGCTAAGTGCGCGCGCAAGTACGGCGCGGACTGGGAGAAGTATACGGCGATCGTCAAGAGCAGAATCATTCCTGGCGTATACTGAAAAAAGAAAAGACCGCAGACGCGGAGAGGAGCGGGATGAAGCCGGACTGGTAGGAGTGAAAAAAGGAGAATCGAAGGTCTCCTTGAGAATTTTCAAAGAAGCAAGAATCGAGGAAGGGAAAGGACAGCGACCGAGAGTCTGATCGCCTCAGAGATCAGGTGGCTAGAGCGAATGATTTGCCGGGTCAAAGTCGTTACAACAGCATCGGCGCAAAGGCGTTTTGGAAAAGCTTGCACTGGATTGCGAGAGCAATAGGTAGACGTCAGATCAGAAGTAGGAATTGAGTTGAGTTCTTATTTCTACACGTTGGCCGAGAAGTATACACTTTTGTAACCTGGCACAGCAAGTGGCCAGATTCCAATGCCAAACGAATACCAGCAACTGACATAGACCCTTCGCCTACGCTGAGGCGCAAGTAAATGCCTCCAGTGTCCAGCTCACTTACAAGATGGACGAGGCGTAGCAAACAGGACGCTTCTCGCTCCAGGTGTGCTTCATTGCAGGCGTCCTTCTCTGCCAGTATTGCTCTGTCATGCATAGTCCCCGTTCCGCGCTATGCAAATCAAGATATCACTATACCACTCGCATAAATTTTCCTGAAGGTAGTCGGCCTTTTCCGGGAGGTCACCCAGGCGATTTGGTCCATTTTCGAGTCCTGACGAACAACATCGTCGTCAGAGTTTTCAGCACGGCCGTCGCACTACGCAGCCGCTGAAGTACTCTTTCTTCCCCTAGCCTTGGGATTGACCGATTTCCTATCCTTGCTCTTCTTCCCACCCGCGTCGCCGCTGCCCTCGATGTACTTCAGCAGCTCGTCGATACTCCTTGAGTCAAGATTGACGCTCCCCGTAGGACTTCTTGTGTGACCAGAGCTCGTTCCAGCAGAGTTCCCAGGCGTCGCTGAGCTTGCACTCTGGGGCTGCAGCCTTGTGCCTGCCTCATGCCCGGTAGGTATCGGATATTGCGCAACCGGCGCGCCTGGATGTCCTTGGCTTGTTTTGCAATCGCAACGGCGTTCTGCGTTAGCTGCTCCAGCCAATTCTCTGCTTCCTTCGTGTTTCTGTCTTCGGGTCCGAGCTCGGCGAGGAAAATATTGTATGCGTCGCGCATCTTGCTAACCGCTGCTTTCGGGTCGCCATCCAAGGCAAGCGCCTGCGCCAATTGGAAGAGGATAGTCGCGGCATTGGCGGACTTATGGCCGAAAAGCTCTTCGCAGACGACGTAGCACTTCTCGAACCACTTGCGAGATTCGGGGTATTCTTTAAGGGACTGCAGCATGACTGCGGCGTTGTTGATGGTTGTGATTGAATCGGGGTGGGAGGCGCCGAAGACGATCTTCCATACGTCGAGAGCGTGGCGGACGTAGCGCAGTGCTTGCTTTGTGTTGCCGACGTGGTGCTCGAAAAGTGAGAGATTCAGGTATGCGAGGATGGTGTCGTATGAGTCCACGCCCAGTGTGCGCTCTGTCACGATGACAGCTTTTCGTGCTAGCTCAACTGCTGCTTCTTTCTCGTCGGTCTGGTAGTAGATGGTAGACAAGGAGTGATACATCTTGGCGACTTCGGGATGCAGGATGCCGTAGATCTGCTCATGCAATGACAAAGATTCAAGGATCAGCTCTTGTCCAATTTGTTTTTGTCCCTGTGCGAGCGAGATCTTGCCCGCCTCCATTGCTTCCTCAGCCAGGACACTCTTTGGAGAGGCGTCCTTGACACTCGGAGCGATATTGAGGATGTCTTCGGCGACAAAAGTCGTGGGTTGTTTCATGGCAGTGCCATTGGTCTGGGCAGGCGCTTGCTCGATAGCCTTCTTTTTCTTCTTCTTGCCTCCCGATTTGTCATCTTCATGATGGCCGTTCACCCCGTTAGTTACGACAGGCTCAGCCGCAGGTTCTGCGACACCATTCAGCGATGGCTTGTCACCTCTACCAAAGTCGTACTCCTTGGCGACGATCTGAAGTCCAAGTCGCAGACATGCCTCACGCAGAAGCTGTAGCGGCTTCAAGCTAGTTCGCCAATCCTCCGGCAGATCGCATCGGTATCTTAGCTTGACTTGCTCCATGATCTGCTTCTGCAGCTGTGAAGGCGTCATTTTCTCGAACGAATAGTCGCCGTCTGGATACAGTTTTCGCATTTCGTCGTCCATTTCTGGTCGAGGTTCTGAGTTGAGATCGCCGCCGACGAAGCAATTGAGCAGGTGTGCTAGGCATGCAGAGGCGAACAAAGGCGGAAGATGATTTAGCAGGCCGTTTGCGATATGCTTAAACGCTCGGACGACCATCTCCTGCAGAACGATAGTGTAGAACGCTTCCAGACGTCGACCCTTCTCTTTTGCCAAGGCAGCAATTTGTCCTAGGTATCGAATATTGATTCCACGCTTGTGCAAGAGATGGGAGAGAGATCGCCCATCCATAGGGAAGCCAACATCGCTGTCATGAAGGTCTGTGATGAGTCCAGGTATGACAGTCGTTCGTAAATGGCTGCAAACAGCTCGAACGTTCTTCTCATCTTCCTCGTATTCTGCCTTCTCTTCCTCGGTTTGTGGTTCTTGGCCACTGCAGACATCCGGATTCAGGGCGAAGCTGAAATTCGAGATGTCAATGCGGTCCTGGTCTGAGTCTGGCTTGCTCTCCGTGGCCTCTTCGCTAGCCTTTTCGTCACCGTCTTGCTTCGAGGTTGCGGTTTCTTCTGTCTTCGGTTCCTCGGCAGACTTCTCGGCACGTTTCTTCTCGGTCTCTTGCTTGACATACTCTTGCAGCTTGAGTCGCCAATAGGATTCGATCAACTCCAAGCGCAGCACCGACATGCGGTGAGGGTACTTGCCAAATGTTTCTTCCGTGGTTTCTAGCTCGTCTGACCAAGCCACATCCAAAGGAGTGATTCTGTACAGATCGAGCACGTACTTCCGCCCATCAGTGCCAAGCAAGCCCTTGGTCTCAACGCTGCCTTCCAGGTCGTGGCGCTTGTGGTCTTTGTCCCACACAGGATGCTTCTTGACGCGTAGAGCTTTCGACAGCTTCTCGAAGACGGGCACAAATGCTTCATTCTCGGTGACTGTATCGTGTCCTTCTACGCCGCCATAGTCGATCTGATGCTCTCCAGGCTCCCGTTGCTTGAAGATACCTGGTACGATGCTTTGAGCAACAATGCGCTTGCCAAGATAGTCGACGACCACAGTGCCAGGCGTGAACAGATCATTGATGTCAAGCTGATTCACCGCCTTGACGCCTGCAACATCCTTATTGACAGCGACTCTCGCAGCCTCATCACCGCCCTCGCTTGCGAAAGTCTGTACTCCGTCGCAGCCGAAAGAGAAGAAGATGTTGTTGTAGATGAAGATCTGGCGTCCTTGCCCTCGGTTGGATTTAGCGGCGCGACTTCTCCCCGAGCGACAGCCACAGCGCCTTTCGCCGCCGCATCGTTGTAGTCAGCAAAGAGCTTGGACGTCAAGCGTTCGCGAAAGACACGATCCTGGAGGGTATCTCGCGGTAGCTCTCTTGTGGTCTGGAACTCTTCATTCCAGTCTCTGAGGTTCTCGGCACCGTCAACACCACCCAGCAAGTATGCTTCTTGAGTCCTGGTCAAGTCTGACTGATGATGTGCGCTTGCAATATAAGAGGCAGGCACGAGCCACGGGTTTGCCGGGATTGCATTCTGGAAGGGAAATGTGGTGAGCAAATCTTTCTGGCCATTGGACTTCTGCAGGTCGACGAAGGCCTGATTGAATGAGGGCGACAAGATCGATATGAGGGAGAGTAAGGAATGGGCGGAGTGGTTCTTGGGAGCTGGTCGAGGGAATGGGTCGAATTTGTTGCTTGAGGACTTGTTGACGAAGAAGCCGGAGTTGGAAGCGGTGATGTGATGCTGTTCACCTTCGTTAGTCGTTAACAAAAGATAGAGCAAATGTCCTCGCTGCTTCAGATGGTGTGGTGGTGGGTTCCACTGTGACACAGACAATGATTTGATTGTCTTTGGTATTGTCTCCTGTGGCTGCGGAAGAATGGCGTTCAACGGTGGTCGTCCAGCCAGGTCGTAGCCGGCAAGAGCACTGGCTTCTCCCTTTTCTAGAGGGGAAGCGAAGCGCTCGTCGTGCAGTGAGACGCCAGCACAGATGCCCTGCAGCTGATCTGCGCGGTCTCCGGTTGCTCCGATGAGCTCTCGTATGCGCACGACATGCATGCGAGCCTCCTTCTCGGTATATGGATCTTGCACCACGACCAGTTCCGAGTCTTGCTTGAGATCCTTGACCTCGGACAACTCGACAAAGTCATTGATGCGGTCACCATTGTGCTCGAGATGGAAGCAGGTATACTGGAACGTCTCGGGAGTCTCAACAATGGACTGCCGTAGGTCCTGAACTTGCTCCTGCTGCGATACGGCCACCTTCATCTCATGCCCATCCGGCAGTTTGACCGAGACCTGGAAGACATTGTTGTCTTCATGGTTGTGTTCGTGTTCGTGCTCATGCTCGTGTTGGTGGTCGTGTGCTTGGTCGGATGTGCCGTTGACGCCGTTGGTAGCAGGCGCTTGTTCTGATTTGGAGCTTTGAGGAGCTTCTAGAAGGTCAGCATATCATGGCGAGCATCGTTGCACCTAGGCGCGACTTACCATCATCTGAAGCCATTACAGAAGTCTAATGCAAAATAGCTGTACAGCAATGGCCGGGCCGTGCGGAGAAGCAGAATGCTCTGAAATGTCAATGAATCTGGGCGCGAGCCACAGGCACACACGACGAATGAGTGACTGAAGGAAAGAGAGTGCTGTTGGAATACAGATCCACCGTGGGATCGAGAGAGTACTATACAGAGAAGGCTGAAGTAGGAGATGTAGCAGAATCAACGACGATACTTCGACCCGTCGATCAAAATAAATTTTGAGGGAGACTCGAATGCGCTCTTGCTTCCGACGGTTGCTCCCGTTGATTGGGCAAGCATAGCCGGGGGAGATCCCTAGTCTTCCCGATTGCAGCGCAGCGCGTCATTTTGTCTTCACACGACATTGCTAAGGTGATGCTTCGGCCGATGGCTGTACAGCTCATTCCAAAGCCGCCGTAGGTGACAAGAGCGACTCCATGGAGATGGGACGCCAACCTCATCGGACCGAGTATGATGACAAGGACACCAAAGAGCAATGGCAGGACTGAAAGCACGGGGAAGTTTGAACATGCTCACGGGCACTGGCAGGATTTAGCCTGTCAAACACCGAAATCTGGGGGGCGGAAGGAGGAAGCTTGGTTCTTGCCAAGGTCTTCCTGCTCACCACGGACTCAGATCGACGCCTTCCCAGCCGCCTGGACACGTCTACATATTTCACTTTTTTTCAATCGCCACGTCGCGCACCACTTTCGCTGCATTCCTATGTCTTGGGTAACTTGAACTACGGCGTTCCGGTCTGCATGGTAATATACTGGATGTACACGATATGTTGGGCATAGCTTACCCTTACCCCTGATCATTACTTGTCCCATACTCAAAAACATGAAGACTCTCCGGCCCATATGGCGGCAATCGCGGAGTACCAAGTCCAGGTTCAGACCTCTCAGATCAAATCGGCTGCCGCCGTGGAGATATGCCTCAACTCAATTCGGCCAAACAAGCATAGACCCAAACGTCGACCCAGGCCCAAACCCGCCAGAGGAGGATGAGTCGCAAGGCAAGGGCAAGTCGAAGAAATGGCGCATCAACCCCAGCATCTTCAAGATGCTCGAGAGTGCCGCCACGACCTTCGCATCCATTGCCATCCTCGGCTTGGCAGGCTATTCCTACCATCTCTACTACAAACGAATGGTCCTCCGGAAAATGGAAACAGCCTTCACACCAGGCGACCCCATGCTGGACCTCGCCGCTCCACCTCCAATCAACAAGGTCCGCATCCTCGGCGAGGAAGCCGAAACCATCGACATTGACGAGGAGAATTGGATTCTCCGCCCCGAACAAGCCAAAGTCGACGAAATTATCCTCGGCGCCAGAACCGGCCGCTACTACCTCATCGTCGGCGAAAAGGGCACCGGCAAATCCACCATGATCCTCGAATCCATGCGCAAAGTCGAAGGCGAAGGCATATCCATGTTTGAAGCCCACGCCGACCTCGAAATCTTCCGCATCCGCCTCGGCAAAGCCCTAAACTATGACTTCCACGAAGACTACATCGGCTCTCTCTTCTCCATCCGCGGACCCCGCGACACCACCGCTCTCCTCGACATCGAGCGCGCCTTCAACAAAGTCGAGAAGATTGCCCTCGCCCGCCGCGACAAAGCCGCCAGCTCCCCGTCCTCTACAAAGAAAAAGGGTCCCCTAGTCATCATCGTCAACTGCATGCACCTAATCCGCGACGACGAAGACGGCCAAGACCTCATCGAACTCATGCAACAACGCGCCGAGCAATGGGCCGCCTCCAACCTCATCACCATGGTCTTCAACTCCGACGACTATTGGGTCTACGAGCGCCTCAAACGCTACGCCACCCGCATGGAAGTCCTCCCCATCCTCGACCTGCCCAAGAACAAAGCAATCTCCGCCCTGGCGCGCTTCCGCGCAAAATACTTCCCCCACGAAGACATCGACTCAGACATCCTCAGACAAGTCTACGACCAAGTCGGTGGGCGCACAAACTTCCTCAATCGCGTCGCGAAATCGAGCGATATGCTGCGCATGTGCCGCACCATCGTGGAGGCCGAAAAAACCTGGTTTCTCAACCAATGCGGCATTTTAGGTGCAGAGATGGACGACGACGTAATGGACCAGCAGAAATTCGCTTCCGCAGCCATGGTCCTCGCTCGGGCCCTCGTCGAGAAGTCCAAGGAACTCGACACAGAGTACGACGAAACACAGGGGCACATCCTCCCGCAGATTCCCCTTTACATCGCGCGCCAGATCATGACCCGCGCGGACTTTATTAAACAGTACGACCATGAAAATATCTTCACCATCGACTCCCGCGCTATGGTCCGCGCCGATTCAGTACCAATGATGAATGCCTTCAAGGAGATTGTCGCGGAGGAAGGCTTCAATGAGTATTTGGAAGCAACGCTCGATCGGATCTCGGCCATCGAGAGCATCAATCGAACGAAGGAGCTGACGATGAAGGATCTGTGGTTTGAGCAGAGGGATGAGCAGCGCGGAAAGTATGCGTTTGTGACGAGGGACAACAGAGGCCGGGAGACGGGCAGTATTGAGATGGTCGTCAGACCCAACGAGGCCAAGGACGAGAAGGACGACGACTGACTCCTTTCGGCGGGATTAGAGGTTGGCATTCGAGATCAGGATAGAAGCACATTGACTGTCAGCAGTCTAGTAAAGCTTGGACATATATTCGGAGGATCTTGTCGTTATCATTTGCATGTACATACATCGCATAAAAAGAATTTCGAAGGCTCCTTCCCGAGGGCAGGAGCCCATGCACGAGCGGCTCCCGTTCCCTCATTAAGAAAGACACTCCCCCATGCTATCGATGTGCCGTGCGCCATTGCCTGGTGTGCGTGCTTGACCGCTGCTACAGCGCACTGTGTTCCGACTCACCAAGGACGTCGTATAGTCTCGCCTCGCGCCAACGCAGCCTTCCTGTCCGCCTTGCGCGAATAAAAGCCTGCTTGCGGATCGCGAATGACTGGCAACCGCTGCTCACTACTCACAGTCTTGGTCCGTCGCCCAAAGTCATCGGTCCACAACATCTCCACCACGGGTCGGACTTGGCGTGCTTCCAGCGCCTTTCGGATCTCTTCGCCTGTCGGCCCAGGGTCTTCGTCGTCTTGCGCTCTAGACAAAGGCACGAGGAGTGTGCGCCACACGGAGCCCTCTTTCGCCGCATCTGCCTGATCTCCTCTCGCGCCTGTTCTTTGGCAAGGCGGTGTATGGCCAGGAAGCGCTTATACTCTACCTCCAACCCCATCAGCTGCGGCTCTGCGTCTTCTTCCGCGGAGGATCGGCAAGGGCATGAAGTCGTGGAGGCGAGGCCACTCCACCGCCGGCATTCCGCCTTTGTTGGCGCCTTTGGCGACACGGTGGGTGTGTCGAAGCGCATCCATTTCTTGAGCCCGCCAAGCCGAGTGAACTCCTCGCTGTAGTCGCACAGTTCCTCGGTGGCTGGGTCGAGCTTCATGAGGCGGAACCGGATGAAGTCTGGCTTTCGTTCTCTTGGGCCGTTTGGAACAATTATTACCACCTGCTGGCCATCAGGAGGATTTTCGAGGGATCTCGCGTAGCTGCTACGCCGTGTTTCAGGGCGGTGATGTTGGGCACACTGCCTGCGCGGACTAGAAGCCCCGGCATGGCTTCTTTTCTCACGTGGGTCAATGCAGAGGAAGCAGACCGGAATTCGATCTGGAGAGTGTCGCCGCGGCTTGATCTGCCACTTCTGCCGGCGTGAGCGTGTGAAGAGCGGTACTGGTGGGTGGTGGTTTTGTTGTGTAGAGGTGAGGACTCTTTTGTTGGTCTTAGGCACTGGGAGGAGGATGCGTGGATGTCGAAGGGCTGGATTGTAGCCTCGGGAGCGAAGGCGACTTTGCGTAGTCGTGGAGGCGGTGATGGGGTTGACGAATGGGATGACTCGGTGGATATAGTTGAGGTAGACGTCGTCTGTGGGTCTTTCTTGGTCGGTCGGAAGCTCTGGATGCATTTCCGTAAGTATGATTGTTTCTTGGTCTTACCTTGAGGCTTGACGCAGCAGGGTGTTATACATTCGGCGATGGAGGTAGAGAGTATCTTGTCTCTGAGCCAGTGACGCTTCTTTCGTGGTTTAGAGAAGGCCTGCACGAAGATCGCGTCTGCGAGTCCTTCTTGCAGTGCGACTTGCTCGACCTGAGGTGTCGTTGCGACAGGCTCGATCGGGTTGGACGCTCTTTCTGTGCTGCGCTCTTGCTGTATTGGTGTTTGGGTTTGAAACGATGTCGACTCTCTCGTCGAGCTTCCATCATCCTGTATCGAGTATTGGCTCTTCTTTCGTGTTGGCTGCTTGATGCTGCCATCTCTGCAGTCTTCTAAATCGTGAGCCAGCAAGAACGCGGCATCAGCAGATTTGATAGACTCACTCGAGTTGCGCTGAGCAACCACCGGCTTTTCCTCTGAGATCGCTGCGCGTCGCCCGGAGGCATCAACTGGCGGTACAATACCGTTGTCGCGCTTGCGCAGAGTGATCCCCTTGCCACAATGGCTGATCTTGTCAAGTAGTCTTCCCATAATGGTGGTTCGTGCTGAATGGGTTTGTTAGTAAAGGGTCCGTGCATGAGGTGGTAAGTCAAAGCTCGACGGTGTCGATGTCAACAAAGGTCCAGCGTCTTTTGTTTCTTTGTACTAGCGTGGTCGTCTTTCAAGTGATGGCGACCTCTTTCACGCTGTCACAATGATGGCGGCTAGCGACGGCTTTGTTGTCTCCAGGTGCTGCGATGGCGCTAGTCGCCTCGATGGCGGCACGAGAGAAGCTGGCGCAACTGTAATCAGGTGAGTCCACGGATGCCACTCAAGCAGTCAGATGAAAGTCTCTGCCATAGCCAGGTATGGTGAAGAAGGCAATCCCGATGCTCTACCATCTATAACTTGCTCTTCTTACTCTTCTCCTCCATTTCCTTCTTCTTCAGTGCAAACCTTTCGTACGGTGCTCCTTCCACAAACCTCTCCGACAGTGCGTCCATCGCGTTCTGCACAGCGATCATCCTTCCGTCCCTCAATGGCGCGTTCATCAAGCGCTTCGCCTCCATCATACTCTTCCCGTCGTTGATCTGAAGCTTCTCCTCAAGATACTTAGCCACATCCTGCTGAAACGACGATGTCGGGAAGATCTGGTTGACAAGCCCAGCGGTTTCGAGTTCTTGCGCAGTGAGCTTGCGACCCATCATGAGGAACTCGTTAGCGCGATGCACGCCGATTGATTGGGCGAAGTTGATGGCCGAGCCAAACTCGGGCACGAGGCCCAGGGCGGAGAAGGGCACTTGTAGCCAAGCGGAGTCTGAGGCGAGGAGGATATCGGCTGGTCACACCGTTAGCATGATGCATCGACCGTGCACATGTGTTTCATGCCCATGGGAAAGGGCAAGCACGACAGTGTCTCTTCCTTCATCTTCGTAGACTTACCAACACCAGGAAACCAAGCAGCGCCACCACCAACAGCAGGCCCGTTCAACGCCACAACCAGCACCTTCTTGTGATCGATCATGCTCCGCAGCATCTCTACAGCAAAGACAAACCGTCCCATATGATCGAGTTTCTTCTGAGCATCACTTAGTGAGCCACTATTGGCGGAGTCGCGCCCGGTGGCTTTCACATCGGCGCCTGCTGAGAACTGGGGTCGGTCATTGTTAGTTGAGTGTTATTGACAGGAGCTGTCGTGCGCAGCAGCTCTCCTTCTGACTTCCATCTCGGTTTGCTTGTCTCGGCAAATTCACCGCCTCGGCTCCTCCCAGACAGGTAAGATGCGTTAGGTACTACTCACAAATCTTCCCTCCCCAGTGATAACAGTAAACACGGTCTCAGGATGCTCGTTCAACTCCCTCAGCCCCGCAATGATGTCGAGCATAAGATTTCCGCCGAAGGCATTGAGGGACTTCGGCCGGTTGAGCTTGATAGTGCCGACTTTGTTGGAGTGGCTAAGAGAGAGGACTATGTCTTGATAGTTGTGTGGCGCCATCTTTGCTTCCCTTGACTTTGCTGGTGGTTGAGTCAACAAATGGATGTCATAGGGGCGTAAAGGATGACTCGTTGCTCTTCTTCTGGGAAAATTGTAGAGATATACGAAGAGCTCGGTCCAAGGTACAGTGCTTATGTGCAGGGGTGATACCACAGGAGACATTGCGAGAGCACCCCTGTTCATGACCCCGCAGGGCCTTTTGCCTCGGCACGTTGACCCCATCTAACGTAATGCTTCTGAACAAATGTCTTGATTAGTGTCAAGCCTCACGGGGAGGCCTCTTCAAGATGTGACGACCTGAATGTCACCGTACGGCTCCAAGCCCAGACAGCAAAGCGAGCTAGCCACACTGCTTCTCAATGACCGCCATGGCCACCTTCCCACGAACAACCCTCCACCCAACCCGCCTCCGCCAAATCGCCCTCGTCTCCCCGGACCTGCCCAAAGCCCGCCACCTCCTCACCACCATCTTCGGCGTCCCAGTAGTCTTCGTCGACCCAGCGTCGGGCAATGGGGTCTCGAGAACTTCCTCGTCAGCATCGGCGGCGACATCATCGAGGTCGTCGCCCCTTCTAAGCCTGGCACTACTGCTGGGAGGCTACTGGAGCGGAGGGGTGAGGGTGGGTATATGATTATTATGCAGACTGGCGATGCGGAGGCGCGGAGGAAGGAGGTTGAGGCCGCGGGCGGCCCTAAGGTCATCTTTGGGCATGAGTTTTCGCACCAGTATGAGAGCTGGGACGGAGAGAAGGACGAAGGATGGTGCATTCAGTATCATCCGAAGGGTACCAAGGGTGGGATGATGCCTGAGCTGGATTCGCATGCTGTGTGCGAGCGGAACTCGGATCCACTTGGGGAGAGGTTCTCGCCGTGGCATGCTTGTGGGAAGGAGTATGAGCGGTATGTCGAGTTGATGGAGGAGTCAGGTGAGTTGCATCTGCTGGGGTGCACATTGAGGCTGGCTGAGGGAGATGGCGACGTGGGAGGAGCGGCGAGGCAGTGGTCGGATCTGTTTGGGATTCCGTTGTCAAGAGGCGAGCTGGCGTTTACAAACGCACGGGTGGGTTTCGTGAAGGGTCAGGAGAAGAGGTCGGAGGGCCTCACTTTGATCACTATTGGGGTTGGGTCCGAGAACAGGTTGTCTGGCATATTGAACCGAGCACGTGAGGAAGGGCTCTGGCGGGCTGCTGACGGCAGCTTCCTCATGCTGGGAATAATGTGGAAGGTCGTGTTGCTCGACGGTTATATCAAGGCGAGGCTGTGAAGTCTGCTTCTCTGCGGTCAAAACACTTCACTGCCAGGGCGCTAGCATCCTCCTTCTCTGACAACCTCTGGATTACTCCTCATTCTCGGCCCACAGCACCATACCAACACAGTCCCAACGCAGCGCCCAGCACAATCGCAACCGCGGGTGGAACTTTGAACCACGCCACCTCACAATATGTCACCGCCGTAACCACAACCCACCACGGCTCTAATATCATACATGTCAGCATGAACACGTATTGGAGGAGCGCCAGACTCGAGAAATAGATCTCTCAGATTTCAGGGGCCACCCACCTTCCGCCAGACTCTGCCCCTGACTCTTCTCCGGTGTCAAATAACCAATCTCCCACAACCGGTACACCGCCGTAAACACCAGTCCCACCGCCGCGGCATTGATCCCGCGTAACGCACTTACGACCACCGGCTTTGTGCGCATAAACGCCCACAACCCTTGCACACCCAGCGTCAACAGCAATCCCGGAGCGAAAATGCCGACGAAGCCTAGCAATGCTCCCAGCAGCGAATGATGGCCCGTCCTCGCCATAGCGAGAGCAGACAAATAGACGGAGAAGTTGAAGTTGGCTGTAAGCGCGATTAGCCTTGTCTCAAAAGAACGGCGTATGCTCGAAGGTAGGATTGAAACATCAAAGAGAGCAACTTCGTTGTTATCCCGAGACATAGGTATGCTCGGGCAGTCTGCAAATAACGCTCGTTTACAAAAACAAGTTTGATCATGGGAGAGCGACTTACGGCCTGGTAAAGCCTGAATGATGGCAAGGCCCAGAAGGAAGTCCCGGGAGGAAACCCAGCCCGGGTCGACGACGTAGTCGCGGAGCAGGGGGATGACGACGGGACCGCCGCCGAATATTAGGATGCCTGCTTGGTACATGCTTGCCAGGACCTCAAAAGGCCGTGGCTTTTCGGTGATGAGGGCTCGGGAGACGACGAGGGCGATGAAGATTGCTGTTCAGATACGTTAGCGACAGTCAAAAGCTCAATACGTGTTGATGGCCTCTTACCAAAGGTCAGCGCAATCAAGCCGATTCCGGTCGAGATATTGATGCCGTAGAATTGCGGGTTAGATGTGCCATCGGCTGTGTCTAGAAGTCCTCGGTTCCGACCGTGGCGTCTGTTGGCGTCAGAGTCTGGAGTACTCGCTGCTCTGACCGCATGCTTGTCGTCTTCACCTTGTCGTGACGGGATTTGTCTTCGCTGTAGATTCTGCCCCTCTGGACCGACCATACCGGTCATCTCGAACCCCTCCGTTGCTTCATTCGTACCTGGGTTTGCCTCTTCCACCCTCTGCTCGCTCCGTTTCCTGCTCCGGCTCCATTTCGTCCTCATCCTCCCAACCCACCTCTCCCCCCAAACATCCCACCCCACACAAACCACCCCACCCGCCACAATCAACACTGGAAAATACCACAACGCATTATAGCACAACCCTGCACACCCGCCCCATATCACCAATACCCTAGTCATCCTGTCCCCAATCGCCTTGCTCGCCAACTGCACCGCCGCCAACGCGACCACACCCACCGTACTGGCATTCAGCCCGCTCAGCAGTGCATACACCGGGCCAGGCAGCGTCTCGCCCATACGGCTAACGCCCAGGGAGAGCCCATACATCACGATTGCGCCAGGGAGGGACCACAGCACGAAGACGAATAGTGCAGCAACCCACCCGGCGTGGAGCAGTGCGATGCTGAAAAGCATCTTCGTGGATGCGGGACCTGGAAGAGACTGGCTGACAGCGAAGAGCTCTTGGAAGGTCTGCTCGTCGAGCCATGGTTCATGGCCTGTGGCTGTTCTGTTGTCGGAAGTTGCTGAAGTTGGTGAGGATGATTGAACGAAGCGCCGGTGGAGGATGGTGAAGTGCATGGGTGGGCCGCCGAAGGCGGTGAAGCCGAGGTCCCAGGTGCGGTGGAAGACGGCGAGGAGGCGTGGGAGGAGTGGTGAGGAGTCTCGGGTCGGTTGGGGAGGTGGTGTGTCGAGGGGAGATGTTTGGCTGCTTGGCCCGCTGGGGTGGGAGATGGCGGCTTGGAGGTGTGTTGTCATGCCGGCAGTTAGCGTCTGAAGCTTTGAGATTTCAGCTGCTGCTGGAATTTGATCACAAACTTGAAGCGGTGCAAGTGTAGTGGTTGAAGACAACATCGTGTTCAGATATTACTTGGTATACTGCCGGTGACGTGCTCGATGGGTGGAGTTGCCAAGGCCCCTTCGACGTGTCTCACAATCAGCAGCAACTTCCTGGCAATCAGCGACGCCGGAAGACATTTAGACTTGTAGTGAGGACTTGAAGAGAGCGAATACGAAGTATTTGAGTGGTTGTGTTTCAATCTGAGTATAGACGCTGGAACGCTGCAGGATGAAATCCAAATCAATTGTGCAATCTCCCGGTAAGCAGCAGCAATATCACCTGCTCTGATATCTACACGGTCTCAATCTGCTTCTCTTCCACATCCTCGCGTCTCTTTCCGTCGTACTCCATACCGGGCTCACTCGCACTGTGACGGCGGAACTCGCGGTCCTCAGCCTGCGCTTCTGCCAGGACGACCTTGTGGGCCTTGCGAGCAGGAAGATTCGGCTCGAAGAGGCGATCCATCTTCTCGAGTGGGATGCCCTTCGTCTCTGGAACGAGGAAGAAGACAAAGACTGCCGCGCACAGCATCATCGACGCGAAGAAGAAGTAGACACCATAGTAGGCGGCATCAAAGAACTGAGGCGTGAAGCGGGCGACGATGAAGTTCCAAAACCAGTTGTTCGACGCGGCGAAGGCCTGGGCAAGAGTGCGGACGTTCTGATCGAACATCTCACTGTTGAGAACCCATGGAGTGCCGTTCCAGGACGGAGTATAGGAAGCGGTCCAGAGGTAGAAGAAGACCATTGCTGAAATGCCACCACTTGAGAGCGAAGCATCAGAGGCAGCGACGGAACGCGGGTCGCAACGGCGATGTAGCCACCGATGTACCACATGCATAGACTGCCAGCGACGGCGCCGTACATGAGGAGCGCGCGGCGGCCGAAGTGGTCGATGAGGTAGAGCAGCCAGACAAATGTGATTGTTGTCTTCACGACACCGAAGACGCCGGTTGTGAGTAGGCCGGTGGACGTTCCTGTAATGCCGATGGACTTGAAAACAGTGGGCGAGTAGTAGTTGATGGCGTTGATGCCTGTTCCGTTCTGCCAGAAGAAGAGGGAGCCACCAAGGAGGAAGCGGTAGGCGACACGGCGGTTGGTGAAGACAGTCTTGAATGGCTGCCAGAAGCCAAGACCCATCGTCTGGGCCTGGTGCTCGATTGCAGCATCGATGGCAGCGATCTCCTCTTGCATGTACACATGATCTCTTGGGAGCTTTCGAAGCCATTCGAGATTGGTGATGGCTTGCTCGCGGCGGCCACGTTGAAACAGCCAGCGAGGACTCTCCTTGATGACGATGGCTCCAACAACAAGCATACCAGCTGGGATGAGCTGCACAGCGAAGGGAATGAGCCACTGAGTGTGAGACGGCTTCATCGTCTGGTTGACACCGTAGTTGATCCAGAACCCGACTAAGCCGCCGATCTGCCAGCTCAGCTCGTACAGGCCAACAAGTCGTCCTCGGATGGCAGGTGGGCTGATTTCACTAGTCCTTGAATTAACTTGTGTCCATGTGCATCTAGGTATATTGCATGAGCTTACCTGCAGAAGATCGGGCTAATATTAGACGCAGCACCAATACCGATACCAGCGAGCACTCTGCCGCCGTAGATGAGACCGAGTCCACGTTCGCCATTAGCTCCAAGCATCATGCCGGCGCCGATTGTAAAGATTGTGGCGAAGATGATCAATGCCCATTTTCGGCCGTAATAGTGTCCAAAGGGGTAGGCGAAGAAGGAACCGAAGAACGCGCCCGCCTGATAGCAGGACACGATATTGGCCGACAGAAAGCTGACCTCTTTTGTTGACATCTTGTCGAAACCAAATTCGGTTCTGAATGATTTGAGGGCCAATGTGCCGCCAATGAAGGCAGAATCGTAGCCGATCATGATGGCCGCCGAGCCAGCAACAGCTGCGGTGAAGTACACTCTCCAGTTGTAAACATCCTTAGGCGTAGGCCTGTCCTCAACAAGGGAAAGGAGACCCATGTTGACGTTCGGTAAGTAGTCGATAGCCTAGTCGTCGTAATTATTGTGTAGTGATGGAGTCAGTGATGTTTCGAGCTGCCTGGCGGAAGAAGATCTCAACCTGGAGGAGATTCCATCTGATATAGGTCAGATGCAACCCAGAGTGGCGGATCAAGCACCATTGGGAGACCAGGCCCATCCAGGCGAGGAGTAAGCTCTGGAACAAGCACTCCGCATCGATGCTAAGTTTTGCTTTGGTGACATTTTTCCGGGGTATGGATGAACGTGGCCGCGGAGGCGAGCTAGTAGTCGATCGGCAAGGAAATGCTTGTGTCAGACAAAAGAAGGGGCTTCGATCCCCGCTGATCTCTACCGAAGGTAGAGCCTTGAGCGGGGTGAATTCATGTCTGACCGAGGACGGGAAGCCTCTCGTGATGAATGGAGACGGTCTTGAGTTGAGCGGCAAAAGACTTCTCCGCTTCAATGTCAGATGGAAGCTCGTCCGATCTAGCCGACGGCACTTCTGGCGGAAACATAGCAGCAACGAAGCGGATCCGTGCCTTCACATCTTCATCCACGTGCGGTTGAGGCAGCAACGTCAGGCAGGCTTCCGAAAGGTGGAAGGTATGCGGGACCGTATGCGAGCCGATCCAACAGCTACCCCAGAGTCCCTGGAGAACGTCGTATGCCTTGATGCGCAAACGCCTTGGCATAAGCAATCGTAGGTGAGGTTATAGAACGTGAAAAATCTGAAGAGCAGGAGAAGAGCTTCCAGGCAGTCCACACGGGCAATAAGGACATCCTGAAGCAACTCCGATCGAGTTGAGCTGAACCGTGGAGTACTGAACGCTAATTGCACTACGAAGGCTCGAACACAGTCGACAGCAACATTGCTTGACACAAAGGCGACGAGGTGTCTGACCTACCTGATCCCCTACACACATACAGCGCAACCAAGACATCATGCCTGTGGCTATCGATACACAGGCTCAGCCGCCACCGGCTGGCAGCGATGCAGAGGCGTTCACACCTCCATCAGTATCACACGTACCTAACGTCGCATACCTGATCGGCCATCCCATCGCACACTCCTCCTCGCCAGCCCTCCACGATTCAATATCAGCGACATCAGAGTTCCCGTATGCTCAAGTTCTCGTCGAGACGAAAGACTTGTTGAGTTCTCTCAGATATCTGCGCGACCACCCGTCAACTCCACGACTCTTGGGCTCCGGCGTCACCATGCCCCACAAAGTCGCCGTGATTCCTCATCTGGACGATCTTACAGACGAAGCCAAAGCCGTAGGAGCTGTCAACACCATCTTCTTCCGCAGAAACGACATCAAAGATGGACCACTCCGATTCACCGGCCATAACACTGACACCATCGGCATCCGCGACGCGTTCCGCTTCAATGTGTCTTCCGAGACCCTCAATTCATGTAGAGGTCGACCTGGCCTGATTGTCGGAGGCGGAGGCACATGCCGCGCGGCGATCTACGCCCTCCAGCAGTTTCTTGGCTGCAGCAAGATATACATCGTCAATCGCGATGCCTCTGAGGTTGAAGCCGTGCTCAAAGAGTGCCGAGCAAGGAATGCCGCCGAGCATCTCGTACATGTCGCCACACTGGATCAAGCAGAGGGTCTCGAGGCGCCTGGACTCATAGTGAGTGCCGTACCTGACTTCGAGCCAAAGACGCCCGAGGAGAAGACAGCAAGAGCCATCTTGTCAAGTTTCCTGAACCAGCAACAGCAGCAAGGTCTCAAAGGAGGGCTGGTCGAGATGTGCTACCATCCGTCGCCGGATACACATATTAGTAGGATGGCTGCAGAGGCGGGCTGGAAGGTGATCGGAGGCATTGAAGCGATGATTGGGCAAGGCTTGGAGCAATCCAAGTTGTGGACGGGAATCGAGGTCACGGAGAAGTTGAGAGATGCGGCGAGGAAAGCCGTGCGGCCAAAGCACTGAATCGAGCTGGACGCTGCCTTTTTGACTGCGTTCGGGTCGAGGCATAATTGTGAAGCATGGTTTGGGCGTCTGAAACATTCTATCATGAACACGCATTGAGCATGGCAACGAGGTACAGTAATGCAGTGCTCGGTTGCGCCTGGCAACCAGACTTCTCTGACTCACCACTTCACTCAACATGCTTCATATATTTCAAACGCCAAATTCTCCTCCAACAATCGCACCAAATTACTCAAGGTCTGCGATATGTGTTGCTTGAGCCGAAAAAACTCTTACGATACAGCACGTGGAAATTCACCCTCACTTTCGCTCGAAGTGTGTGTCCTGTTAGGAGTTTCTGACCTTGGCATGTACCCTCTCGAATGTACCCTCTCGAGTTCATCTCGAGACCTGGTGTTTGAGACCTGGTGTGTTGGTTAGTTTTTGCTTTTTGGAAGACTGCGGATGGCTGGACAGCGTGGTGCGGATGTCATATGTTTATGCTGGCTTGCTCATGGGAAAGTCACATGGAAGTCACGGTGTGATAATAGATTACGAGTCCTTCAGCCAGTACGAAATCAATCCATACACAGTCATGAAAGCCGGTCAATTCGCTCCTCGAACTCGAATCGTGATGATTAGATGTTTTGTATCGACGGGTGTTTGTATCTGATCGACTCCGTACGCCATGCTATACTCATGCTGTAGAAATGCATCTTCCATCCCATCGCAATGATAATGCTTCAAGACCGAAGCAGGATAATATCACCTACCGGCTGTTCAATGCGCCTGCAACACCTGAGGTGTCGTCCAACTCTGCTTGTGTGCGGACTCGGGCCTCGATGTAGGAGTCGAGGCTCTTGGCCCTTGCGTCTTGAGAAGCGGCGAAGCTGTCCCAGAGGGAGGCTTTGCTGAGGCCTGAGTCGTGATATCGCAATCTTTCGAACTGTTTGCCGCAGCGCGCTCTTCGTTTGCGATGGCGGACGTGCTCTTGGGCAACCAGCCAGTCGCCCAGCGCTCCTCATACTCCCAGCCCATCGCTTCGCATATCTTTCTCCAACTCTTCTGCGCCCTCTGGGCATGCTCTATGGGCACATGCTCGCCTTGTTCGTGCGCAGTCCGCGAGAAGAATTCGAATGCTACGTAGCCTTCGTACCCGACGTCCTCAATAGCCTTGAGGATCTCGGTAACAGGCAGATAGCCTCTCTCTTCGAACGGAAATAGCCTCGCGTTCCGACTCCATGACATCCTCGGCACCTGATCAGCGTTGTGGAATGGGTGACCTTCAACGAGTGGCGCATCTAGCCGCTCGCCGTCGACAGCTTCGATGTAGAAAATCTTTGAAGGGTCGAGGCGAGTGCGTAGGTTGTGTAGCGTGGTGGTAAGCTGTTCCTCGGCGTTCGGCGTCTTCCCCGACGGTGCAGTAGGGTCAGCGTACTCCCGCCCCAAGAGGTTGAATGTGTCAAGGCAAGTCCCGAAGTTCGGCCTGTCGACTGCGAGGACGAGGTCCCAGACATCTGTCCAGAAGGAATGATGTGTTGCCCAGCATAGTGCCTCGTGAGCGAACCGGATGGGCGGCGTGTGGCTTAGCCCTACATCGCAGAGTTCTTGCAGATCGGCGATGATCAGGTCCCGCGATGAGCAGCATTCTGCGGCAGGTAGATATGAGGAGGGAACTTGAATCAGATCTGTTTTAAGATTCTGGGCAAGACGGATCCAGAAATACAATTCCTGTATGCGCGAGGCGTGGGCTTTGCGGTCTACGAGGCCCTCGTAGTTAGCGAAGGGCTGTAGACATATAATGAAGAGGTCGAGTTGTGCGCAGAGGTCGGCGATTCTGGTTGCAGCGGCGAGGAGGGATGACTCCTTGGTTAGAGAGGCGTCTGTCCGCCGAAGGTCTTGGGCGAGCAATTCGAGGTCTTCGTAGAATATCTCAACTGCCTCGAAGCCATACTCGGCACATAGAGCTAGCTTGTGCTCAATTCGATGATGGGGCGCGCGGCCAAAGGACTGTGATGCCACTGCTGGACGGAACCTAGGTGCCATGTCCGGTCACGTGGGACAGGATAGGACTCGTGATGTGCTCGAAGAGGCCTGGTTACACGATACTTTCCTGGGTACTGTGGCTTGACGCGGTTCAAAGGTGTATACTACGTATGCCCGTACACTGTATGCTGCTTCGAGCTTGGAACCAACAGTTCACACGTCTATAAGGAATACCCAGCGCCCGTGAGATTCTGCGCTTTTCTTACCTAGTGGCTGCTGCATTGGCAGTCAGGTATCGCGGACATTAGCAGATCCGCTGAGTATTGCAGCTGGAAGGCCATCGCGGCAGTGTCGCAGGAGCGCTCAGGCTATCGCCGGATATCGTTGCTCCTTTCATTGTGGTCGTTATCAGAAAATGCCTGAACGGAGCCCAGAATGCATTGCGTCAAAGCCAAAGAGTTGCAAAAGGATACTCCGGTGATGGAGTGGAAATGAGGTGCAAGCCGCCGGAGAAGACCTTAGCCGTCGCGGCTTCCCCAAAATCGAGTCTCGAACCAAGCTATGCCGAGTGAGCAGTTCACCACGAACGTTGTCTCAGGTTGTGACACTAGAGTCTCTCCGCCGTACTTGTGATGACGCGGAGGACGACGGTCCAGGCGATCAACCTTCGTGAGCGGTAGGCAGCTCCACCAGCTTCTGCACCAAATGGCAGAGGTGACTGTCGTCTTAAATTTGCGTTCAATCTATGCCGCGCACCATTAGGTTCGCCACGTTATGGGAAAGGTGGCAGGCGTCAGTCACCGGGGTGGGCCTCGCAAAGAAGTTGAGAATGAAGTGTAAAAGATACATTAAACAAGTTGTCTATGGATTGACGCACCCACTCATGCCTTCGTTTCCACCGCGGTCTGCTCAACACCTCCTGACGTCTCCCGGAACACTGGGCCCGGATGCGCGATCGCCAGACAAGTCGCAGCCAGGATGATCATGACACTCTCCAGTGCAATGAAAGGCGCCTCCTCGCGGATGATGTCGCTGCCAGGCCCAGTGTAGCCTCCCTTCAGCTCTGCAATTCTGTACCCACATCGAATGAGGATGAACAGGATTGCTGCGGCAAGGAAGAAGATGAATAGCTTGAAGCTTCTCGACAGAGGAATCGCGGTCTCAGATCCTGCTCGCTTGCGGCCTTTTGCTGCACGGATGGCGTAGTCTGTCGCCAGAGCGATGAAGACACACAGTGTGACCACCTGGAAGCTCAGACCGGCAATACTGACGTCCACGGCAACGTTGCTGCCACCGCTGGAGCTGGAGGAGAGCCCACCGCCTGTGCCCTGCAGGGATAAGGAAATGAGGTCGCAGGGGATGAAGATGTAGTAGTATGCCTTCGGTGGTATTCTCGAGTATTCTCGTCCGATGTAGACGATGATCTTGGCCAGGGTGAAGTATATGGCGGCTGAGAAAAATGCTGGACCCAGGGTGATTGTGGTGATCTGGAGCATGAAGCCGTTGAACGAGAAGGGGTTGATCCACAGCATAATCCTTCCGCCATAGCCTAGGATCTCACAGATGAAACCGAAGATCATGGCGCCGGAAAACCACCATGTTCGCCATCGGAACCCGCGGACGGCTTCGACTGCGAGGAAGAGGAAGAAGATGATCAGGAATATGATGTTGGCTGGCAGTGATGGTCGGTAGGCGTAAACGGAGGCGGAGGCAGGACAATAGTAGGGCGAGGACGTGTCCAGGACGCAATTGGCGTCGGGGCCATAGGAGATGAGATCGCTTTGGGGTACTAGCGTCGTCATGTTTGCTGATCGATCGTGTGCTATGTCCAGAGATTTGCGACTTGAGGCTGTTGTTAAGAGGACTTGTAAGTTGTTATCTGCAAGTGTTGTTTGGTGGATTGTTTGATGGAGATTCATATGAACGAAGGGATCACGGTGCGATACTTATCTTCCCACGAATTGATGCATTTCATTGACGTATAGCACGTATTTTGGGCAACCATGTGTTGCACATAGATAGATACAAGCAGCGCCTCAAGGACGACCAAACACAACCTATTGCGATTGGCCGGAAGCGCTGATCTTTGGAAGCAAAGCTCGCGTTTGCTGCCGCTTCTAAAGATACCCGAAATCAGGGGGTCGCGATCGAGCCCTCCTGCCATACAAAAAGACAGCAGTCAACCTTTATCATGACGACAGCAGTGGTCGCTAAGTCGCTGAAAGCGACCATACTTGATTGAGCCTCGATTGCGATTGGCTGAATGGGACGGGCGGTGCCAGAATTATGGGCCTGAGCATCTTGCTGTCACTGCAACGGCCGGGTGTCCTTTAGTTGGGTGCTTCGCGGCCGTTAGATCTGGTCAACGTTATATATGCAGTGTCTGCATGAAATCGAGACCATGGTATGCGTTCCCAGATCGCGAGTTTACCACTTGTTTGATCCTTGTATGGGGCTGGTTTATATCCTTTCGGCCCCCACAAGCATTGGATGGCCGGTGATGTGGTGCGTGCAAGTCCTGAGCAGTTTCTAATGGAATCAGCAGAAACGTTTCTTTCGGCGCATGTGACATGACATGATGGGTGCAGGTCGTCGAGAGACCCTACAACAGTGCAATGCACCGCCTTACTGACCTTCATGACCAGGCAACCTGATCAGCGCCGTCATCAGTTGTGGTTGATTTTGGCTGTGACGCCAGCACCAGCATCCTGACTGTTCGACGTCGCAGTCGATCGAGCATTGACGTCCAGAACGACGTGCAGCGAGCGACTGGCGGCAGGCATGAACAGTGATGCTTGTTGTGTTGTATCAGAATCGGGGCTCAATCGCGAGGCCCGCATGACGCGTTTGAGATTGGAGACGCGATCCCAGACTTGGCCTCGGGCGGGGAACTGATTCCGTCGCTTCAGAAAATCCGAGACGAACCTCGAGCGGCCACTGTTCCTTCCTCTGCACTCCCAGAAACATATTCCGTGTACTCCTTCCACTCTTGCACATCGCGCATCTGATAGCTTCGCGCGGGCTGCTATCGAATGTGCGTTGGCAATAGTCAGACGTTTCAATAGTGTACTTTCGGGAGGTCGTCACAAGGTCGACATGCTTAAGCGATGTTGGAGCCGCCGTGCGACACCTTTGGTGTCGTCGGTGATAAGCCTCAGCCTCGAGCAGACCGTTTCACTGTTCAATATGCCCATGGCGAAGTGACTCTGTGAATCAGCTAACGTATTGACGAATTCTGGCGTAGGGCGACTGCGCTGGGCTAAGCTGGGCTTCTGCCATGTAACAGGATGGTGCTACCGCGTCTGGCTGAGATGCACAAGGTACATAAGCCGAAGCATTCCTCGTGCGTCAAGATGGACTACTTTGAGCCGATGAATCATTAGATGGCGCTCGCAAACCCTGAGGAACCGCTGGAAGGCTTTGACGCAGATGGCCGGCCTGAGTCCGCTGATGTAGCGCGACAAGCCATTGATCGGATCAGATCAGATCGTGGACATATTAGTGATGTGGACGAACTGGAACTGACCAAGAATAGCGTCAGGTGGCGGGAAACTTACCGAAAGCGACAGGAGAAATATCGTCGGGTGTATGCTCGATACACCAAGACGTAAGTTGACTTCACGTACAAGCGCGACGCTGCTGACGCGGACTCAGAGTCGCCGAACAGCTATACTCCTCGCGCTTTCGATTTATCCACGAGATCATCCAAAATGCCGACGATGCGAAATTTGAACCTAGAGTGGTGCCTTCGATCAAGTTCCGGATCCAGGCTACAGAGCTGATCATTGAATTGAACGAACGCGGCTTCACTCTCGATAACGTTGATGCCATCTGCGACACCGGTAAGAGGTCTAAAGCCGGTGATGCTGAGACCACTGGTGAGAAAGGACTTGGATTCAAATCTGTTTTCGCCGTTGCACAGACGGTCCGTATTCGTTCAGGGCATTGGTCGTTTCGTTTTGAGCATCACAGGGGTCAGGATGGCGTCGGAATGATTACACCTATCTGGACACCATTCGAGAATGAGAGCGAGGGACTCCATGGACGAAATGGAACCCGATACAGCCTCACTTACGCAGACACACGCGAGCCATTTGTCAAACTCCTGATCGCAGAGTTCGAGAAGCTCCCCAAGACCATCGTATACGCCTTACGCCAGCTCGAGCGGCTGGAAATTGTGATCGAAGATGTCGCTGGCCGCAACGATTTTCTCGTGCTCACCCGATCAGGACGACTAAACGACGAAGTGATCCAGATCAAGAGCAGCCTCAGCGGAAGTTTCGGCGAACACCTTTCGCACGTCGCCGTTTTCCAAAACTTTCGGAAGACGATCTCAAACCTGCCCACGGATGAATTGCGCCCTTGCGGCCAGTCCGATATCAACATTGCCTTCGAAACCGACCGCGATGGAAAGCCTGTAATTCCTGCAAGAGGCCAGCACGTGTTCGCTTACTTGCCTGTTCAGCGGCTGCTGCAGCTTCCAGTGAGTTCTGAGGCCAGAGCAGGTGCACGTGAGCTCAATGACTGACTATGCACAGTTCATGATCCAAGCAAACTTTGTGCTCGCAGCTAGTCGAGAAGCAGTCCCGGACAGCGAGTGGAATCGAGCACTACTTACCGGCGTGTCCAAGCTCTATGTCGAAGCCATACAGCGCTTCTGTGCTACTCGACACCGTCTTGCATTTGAGTGGATGCAGTACTGGCCCCATCAGAACATGGAAGGCATTTGGGACTGTCTCAGGCCTGAAATGCAAAACGTGCTGGTCTCGGCGCCCGTGTTATACACTCGCAGCAATCGCCTGGCATCCATTGCGCATTTGAGATCCTTGCCCGAGTGGTTCCTCCATGACGGCAGCCCCTTAGTGCCGGACACGGTTGCAGACGTGTACCTTGCGAAAGATTACACAAAGGCAGCCGTCAAAACCTTGCATTCGCTAGGACTAGTGCAATTGAGCTACGACATGATCCTCGAACGTATCAAAGCTGCTCTGGTCTCAATGCAGCAGAAACCACTGGACGATGCCTGGCATGATACGTTTGTTGAAGTCGTGAGAACACTAAGGCAGGGGCGGATGTGCAAATTGTCCGTTGACGCGATGGACATCATTCCGCTCGAGGATAACAGCTGGGTGGCCCCGAACTCCATCACTCAGAATAGGGTATATCTGCCACTCGTCGTCGACGAAGACGCTGTCAAGATTCGACTTCCCAAAGGCCTCAAATTCCGGATTCTCCACCCTACCGCAGCAGCTGTTGGGGAACGATTGACCTTTTACAATATGCTTGGAGTGTGTTCCTGCGATCCCAAGATTGCATGCGGAAAGATCATCGACGCGCACAATAATGCTTCGAGGTCTGGCTGGCTATCTGATTGGCTGGGCGATTTTGAGATTTTATTCTGGTTTGGGGAGCGTTTCGAGTATCCGGTCCCCTCTTGGTCCGCCGCACACTCCTCGTACAATTTGTTCGCGTACTGTTCTGACAACAAAGTTCGCAGGACTCGTCAGGTCCTCATGCCGTCCGACAAGACCGGCGACGCCCAAAATCTTCTCGCACGAACCTCGAAAGCTGACTATGAGCATCAATATGGGTTTCTCGACGGCGGTTATATGCTGTCACGCGTACGTGATCAGATCAGGCACCGTTGCGACTGGCAGTCGTGGCTGCGCCAATGTGGGATCAGGGCTTATCCAACCCTTCTGGATCTAGGGACAGATGGCACCCTCAACATGCTGCTGAAATTTGCAGCCCGCGATCAAAGTGAGGTATTTCTTGAGAGTCTGAAAGAGCATTGGCTGGACGACTATCGCTTCGAGTATCGCAAGGTTCTGCCACAGCTTCAGCAGCTTGCAGTCCAGTGCCAGAACGGCACAAGCTCGCCACTCAAGGACGGTGTCCTTCCGACCAAAGAACTCGTCCAAGTTGCCTCGTCGCTTGGATTGTCTGACAGAATGTCATTCCTGAAAATGTCTCAGCAATCACAGGATCCCAATCCGTTGGACTGGGGATGCCTGCATGACATCGGTGTGACCTGTAAACTCACAGATGAGTTCTATCTGATTGCCCTACGACTACTGAGTGATGGCAATCTCCCCGGGGGGTTCGATATCACTGGGACGGCAACAACCATATATGGAGGCATTGGAGCTTCAGTCACGTTGGGAGATAGTGCTAGGCTACAGGTGAGTCTAGCACGAAGATCGTATGCACAGCTAACCGAAGACAGCAACACTTCGCGAAGAGTCGTCTCGTGTACAACGGGTCATCGTGGCAAACTCTTGAGAGGTGCGTCTGGGACGGAATTGCCATATTTGTCTACACTGCATATGCTGGCCCCCATATACGGGCAGAATGCAGGTGCAGCCGGATTCTTCAAAACAATTCTGAAGCTGCGGGATGTGTCATGTGACGATCTGCTGCTAGAACTCTTGTCTCTGTCGCAGGCTACAGTAACCGATCAGCAAGGTCTCTTGACTTCTCTGAAAAGAATCTACAGCAAGCTTTCAGATATGATGCAGCAGAACAAGGAAGCTATGAGAATCATCAAGTGAGTGCGGTCTCGTGTCTCTGGAGGTATTGAATGCTGACGAGTCCAAGGAATGGGTTTGATACACACCCTCGGATCTGCGTCCGAGACCGTTGGTACAAAACGTCCGAATGTTTGTGGAACTCGCCTGTCGACCTTCCCGGGAAGACCCCATTGGATGGCCTCTACCCGACGTTGAAGGACTTCTTTGTTGACGGTCTGAAAGTCCCGATCATGACACCAACAGTACTAGTCAAGCAGCTGATAGAACTGGCCGAAGCTCAGAGGCCCGATTCGAATGTCGGCAAACGGCTCACTACAGCTTTGGGCCAAGTTCTGGGACGTGACGCAAGCACAAAGATAGATGCCACGACTTGGGACAAGTTGAAGCAATCTGCATTCTTAGCTGTACATGTGCCGGGCCACGGAACGTGCTTGAAGTCGATCAAGGACGAGTTCTGTATCAATGACCATAAGAGATATGGTGAAGCTTTTCGCGAAAAAGCGAGAATTCTCGACTTCGAATACGAGGACATGGGCTACATCCATCCACTACTACAGAAACTTGGCTTGACCAAGCGCTACTTGTCAACGGCTGTTCGCTTGGACACCAAGTTCAATGGAGCTACCCTGAACGATGACTTGACCAGACAGATGAGAAGCCTAGCTTATGCACTATCATGGTCAGTCGAATAACCCATACGCGACGGCCATCTACTGACGTTCTCCAGTTGCGCAATCGCCCGCGACAGCCACAAGTATTTCAATCGGGAAACCGAAGTGCATAAGTCGCTCCTCAAGGCTGAAGTGTGTGTTTGCTCAGAAATCTACACGGAGCTGTCCCTTACACAATCCGCCGGTGAGATCACAGTGCGAAGCGACCGAGCTGTGGTAGAGTGCAAGATCTCCAGTGGCGGTCTATCGCTCTATGTTCCTAGCGATAGGAACGGCCTGCAGTCATGCTATGAGACAGAGATGCCAGGGAAGATTGCAAATGAAGTGCTTGGCATTGAAGACAGAGGAGCCTCCAAAATAGTGTTACGCTTACTGAACGACCCGAGCAGAGACATCGACGACATCATGCGCGATGAGGACATCCCTGACATCGCTTGGATCGAAAAGCCCTCATCCCTTGTGCGGAGGCCGCTGACAGAGCGAACCCTTCCCACGACCACGATCACGACGAGTCAGAGCATGGTCGAGCCCGCCACTGGCACGATGGTTGAGCAGCTCCCGTTCACGACTGCCATCACCACCCAAACGGCTGTTGCGGTGAGGGAGACCACGACTTCAGCACAGGCGCCGCGAAGGCCAGTTGTGCTCGCCCAACCCATGCCTATCGTCACGAATCTGGAAGTGGAAGCGCCTTGGCGTAGAGTTGCTCGATCGGAGCAATACAGGAAGATTCTGGAAGAAGTCACGCGACAGGCTCGACGTCTTCCTCGCGACTCAGGAGCGGACCTAGGAATCGGCGCCATCAATGAAGCTCTCGAGGACTTGAGCCTGTCCATAAACTATGCCGATCTCACGACAGCTTTATCGGCCAATCTACATTCGAGAACAACGCCCGAATCGGTGCTGCTGGGGAGCTCTTCGTGTACGAGCGCCTCCGTAGCCTGAACATCCAGAACTTTACCATCGACAACTGGCAAAGCAGAATCCGGCACCATATCAGAGACCACCCTGACTACCGGGACCTGGCTCCTTGGACAGGGCAAGAGGTCTCTGATCTAATGTATACCGGCAACAGTTTTCAGCTCACGACCTTCCTCGTCAAAGCATCCCAACCGCACGCCCATCCTAAATTCCTCAGTCAATTTCTCGCAAGACCAGTCAAGTTCCATCTGGAAGTCAAGACCACGCTCGGGCCATGTACCACGCCTTTCTTCATGAGCCAGAATCAATACCGTCTCATGCGCGAAAAGGCATGCGACCAAGAGTCCTGGGACACGCCAGAAGAGCTGTATGTTGTGCTGAGGGTGTACAATCTGCTCAGTAAGCAGATTGGTGTCAGGGCGTATGTCAATCCGTGGCACTTGAAAGATGGCGTCCTGGAGTTCGTCGCCGATCCTTACAAGGTGTGCCCGCGACCGGATGAGGACATCGATGGCCGTTTGAGGATTCTCTAGGAGACGAAGTGCGCCTCTGAAGCTATTCTGTGTGCTCTAGCCCGAAAGCATTCAAGAAGTGATAAATTATGTATGGCCCGTTCAGAACACGTCAATGGAGATACACTCGTAACACACTATAGGGTGCTAGTAGTAGCTACAGGACGAATGAGCTGATAATCTACTCGGCAAAGGATTGAGCCGCTATGTACGCAGGTCTCGCATCTTCACAATCTATGCCTACAACCTCGGAGGTCTGCTTCATAAACGAACGCCCTATTCAATCATGAAGTTTGGAGACCCGACCGTGCGGGGTGAACCATATCTATAGTTCAGGAACCCACTTTGGTCCTGCAAGAAGGACGCCTCGACTCGAGACAGCGGCACCAGACAGCGTGCATCATGCTCAACATCGCAGTCGTGGGCGGCGGCGGTCTGATAGGGAAACGGCATTGCCAACACGTCTTGGGCAACCCACGGACGACCCTCTGCGCCATCGTTGACCCTACCGATGCTGCGTCAGTTCTCGCTGATGAGCACGATGTTGCTTGCTACAAGAACGTAGCGGAATTACTTGGAAGTGTTCACCGTCCGGACGCGGCTATCGTCTGCACACCCAATCACACGCATGTCGATGTTGGGATCCAGCTTGCTCGTGCAGGCGTACACATCCTCTGCGAGAAGCCAATATCGAGCGATCAGGCAAGCGCAGCATCACTAGTGAAGGCTGTCGAGGAGTGCAATGTCAAGTTGCTGGTCGGACACCACAGGCGCTTCAATCCATATATGCAGGCACTCAAGAAGGTCGTTGACTCTGGAGTACTCGGCCAGATCATAGCCGTGAACGGGCTTTGGACGACGATCAAGCCTTCAGAGTACTTCCAGGGCATCAACAGCTGGCGACGAGACAAAGCTTCCGGGGGCCCAATCCTGATCAATCTGATACATGATGTCGATCTGATGCACTTCTTGTTCGGGCCTATAGCCAGTGTGCATGCTGAGAGTACGCCAAGCCAGAGGCCGAATGGAGTTGATGCCGCTGAAGAGGGTGCTGCGATTCTGTTCAAGTTCGAGAGCGGTCTGGTTGGGACGTTTCTGATCAGTGACAATGTTGCGTCACCTCATAGCTTCGAGCAGGGGTCTGGGGAGAATCCGCATCTGCCAAAGACTGGCAAGGACTTTTATCGCATCTTTGGAGCAAAGGGGACGATCAGCTTCCCTGACATGACGCTGTCGAGCTATGATGCGTGGACGCCTCGTGGAATAATGTGATGACGTCCAAGACGCTCCCAGTGGAAGGCGTCGAAGTGGCACCATTGGCAGTGCAGCTCGATCACTTCGTGGATGTTTGTGCTGGGCAAGCGCCTTCGACATGCACGGGCGTAGATGGAATGCGAGCACTCGCGGTATGCGAAGCAGTTCGTCGCGCTCTCGAGACTGGTGCCACGGTCAATGTAGAATTGAGTTCTTGAATTCCTGAGGCTCAATGAGGCTGCAAAAAAGGCGATCGAGGCACATCTCAGTGCATGACCAAACCTCCATCGACATGAATGTCTTGGCCCGTGACAGCCCTAGATTGTGGACTAGCCAGGAAAAGCACGACGTCAGCCACCTCTTCTGGCGTGATCACTCTTTTCAGTGGTGTGACATTGCGGATCAGCGAGAATACTTCCTCCGGCGTGGACTCACTAGCCCGAGTGATGTGCAACAGTCCTCCGGAGACCATGTTTACATTCACGTTGTACTGGCCGAGCTCTGCGGCCGAGGTTCTCGTGAATGCCAGGAGTGAGCCTTTGCCAGCGACGTAGTCGTGGTAGGGCACAACTGGGTTTGCCAGTAGATTGGTTCCGATATTGATGATCCGGCCAAACCCCTGTTGCTTGAAACCCGAGAGAGCCGACTTGGTCGTATTGAGCGTGCCTCGCAGAAATCCCTGGAGCTGAGTGTCCATGTGACCCCATTCCAGATCCTCAACCTTCGGCCGGGCGTCCCCGTTGAATTTGAACTTACCAGCCATGGCATTGTTGACAATTGTCGTGATAGGATAGCCACGCATCCGCATGCGCTCGAATATGCTCTTGACAGCTTCTGGATCAGTAATGTCTCCTTGTTCCAGCCATATCCTCTTCCAGCCATCGTCCATGGAATCATGTAGTTCATGGAGCACCGGCTGGACTTCAGCATAAGGTGTTGCGTGATAGTTCAGCACAATACGAGCACCTTCTCGCGCAAAAGCTCTAGAAATGCTAATCCCAGGCCACGGCAAGCTCCGGTGATCAACACAACCTGATCTTCAAGCTTCAGAGTCTTGGCCATGACTTGAGAAAGCCTTTCAGCTCGAATGCGTATAGGTAGACTTGAGAATGTTGTATCGAACGATGTGACAGAAATGTGAGCAACTTCGAACATGGCAGCCTCGTCGCCTCGTGACCAGCCTCGTTGGAGATTGCCCTCCCCAACTCGTTCTCCACCTTAACATCGAGCTGGTCCGAGGTCGGCACCTTACCACCACTCACACGCTCGATGACATTGAACTTAATGCTTTGCGACAAGGAGCGACTGCTGGGCCTCAGTAGCATCGGTGTCCTTGCCGATTGTAACCGTGGACGAACATCTATAAGTATCGATCTTGTCGGCCCCCCTCCGGCTGCAGTACACGTCTGAATCGTACGACCTTGAGCCGTGATCACAAAGTGCAGCGCTCACTCACGGAACGCGTCGATTTGCCCAAGCTCACAGCATAGTCCTACTGACCACTAGCATACCCGCCACACAGAATCGTGCCCCAGATCGTCCACCCGTTATGGCGACCAACGGCACCAGCGGCAAGCCACGCATCCTCGTTCTGGCTGGCGACCATGTTGGGCCGGAGGTCATGAAAGAGGCTCTCCGAGTCCTCGAGGTGGTGACTAAAGCCAAAAACATCTCTTTCGAGCTTGACCACGATCTTTGCGGTGGCTGCAGTATCGATGCACACGGCACATCTGTCACGGACGCCGTGCTTGCCAAGGCCAAGTCTGCTGATGCCGTCCTCTTCGGATCAGTTGGTGGTCCAAAATGGGGTACTGTCTATCCCAACCCGGAGTCTGGGTTGCTACGTCTCCGGCAAGCGATTGACGCATTCGCCAACTTGAGACCTTGCACATTCTACAGCCAGAGCTTGATCGACAGAAGTCCCTTGAAGCCCGAGATCGCGAAGGGCACGAACTTCATGCTCTTGCGGGAGAACTGTGGCGGTGCTTACTATGGCCCGAAGAACGAGACCGAAGACAAGGCATCGGATACCTGGCTGTACACTCGACCAGAGATCGAGCGGTGTTGCAGGGTAGCAGCTTCGCTGGCGAAGACAATGGGGAAGGACGGCAAGGGAGGCGGCGGTCCAGCAACCGTGTGGAGCTCGGACAAAGCAAATGTCCTTGCCAGTGGAAGGCTATGGAGGCGAGTCACCACGGAAGTCTTCACGAAGGAGTTCCCAGAGATCGAATTGAAGCATCAATTGGCGGACAGTCTGAGCATGCTGATGTGCACAAGTCCGACTAAGTTCAACGGTGTCATCCACACAGACAATACATTTGGCGATATGCTATCGGATCAGGCCGGTGGTGTGGTCGGCACGCTTGGCGTTCTACCGAGTGCCAGCTTGTGTGGTGTTCCAGGAGCTGGGCAGAGGTGCAACGGTATCTACGAGCCTGTACATGGGTCTGCACCTGATATTTCTGGCAAGGGAATCGTCAATCCCGTGGCTCAAATCTTGAGTATGGCGATGATGTTGCGATACAGCTTTGCTATGCACGAGGAAGCTCTGGCAGTAGAGGCTGCCGTGGAAAAAGTCTTAGATGGGAAAGACATTGGTGGTTTAGAGATCCGAACCGGTGATCTTGGTGGAAAAGCGACTACCAAAGAGGTTGGCGATGCGGTCTGTCAGGTCTTGGAGCAGTTGCTGCAAGTTAAGAAGGCGTGAAAGATCTTGGTGCGTTCGTGGTCATGACCACAGGCAGTGGCGATGATGGACGCGATCTTTTCGTTCAACGTATGGATCATATATCTACCATACATTTCAGTAGTACCATCAAAGAAACCTCGTGCTCGTGGTCTGCTTAATTCTCCGATTCTGGGGGACCAAGCGGATCTTTTCTGCTCAGGCTTGTGATTCCCATTATTTCTCATGCCTTCAACTCTATCATGTCAGGGACGTCAGCGCTTCAGAACAATTACGACGACAATGCTCGAGCATATAATCAATTCCTCGCGACACCTCTTGGAACGCTCGAAGCACAGCTATTCGAGCTCTGCATCCCACCCTGCAAGGACTGCGACGTCCTGGACCTCGGCGGAGGGACTGGATTAGGTGCCAGAGATGCAATTAACGCCGGCGCTCGCCACGTGGACGTCATTGATATCTCGCCTGAGATGATGCGGCAAGGTCAGGACTACGAGCGGTCAATTGGCAGGAGTGATGCTATTGATTGGCATCAAGCGGATGTGTCACAGTCATTGGACAGACAGCTGGATGTAGGGAGGTTAGGACCATACGACATGGTCATAGCGAATGGCATCTTCGACCACGCACAGTCCAAAGCAGAGCTGAGGGCCATGTGGGCTAATGCTGCAAGGTTCCTGAAGCCCGGAGGGAGAGTTGTTGCGAACAGGAACGACCCCTTCAGCCAAGCGGTGGGTGATGGCGTGTATGGCGTCAAATTCACGGATTTCGAGAGGCTGGAGAATGATGAAGGGTGGAGGTATACATATCGTGTGGTGGATACGGATCTGGTCTTTGAGAGCTATGCGTTGGATTGCTATGTCAATGATCACACGGAAGTGGCTAGGGAGTTCTGCGAGGACTTTGAGACGGTGAGATGGGAGAAGACAGCCGTTGTTAGAAGCGACATGGCATTCTGGGCAACATATCTTCAGCACCCGATCTTGTACATATTCACAGCGACAAAACGCTCGTGACTGGGGAACTGCAACAACAGCTGGCGAGCCGGCGAGATTGTCCGCGGAGAGACTTCGTACGCTGTCCGATATACGCCTCATCCAGCCCTCATGGCATGTTGCTCATGTTGCCATTGGTCCACTGCAATGATCGGTAGGGAGACTGCTTTATGCCAGGACTAGCGTTCCGTGGTGCTGCCTTGAGACTCCCAGACTTATCGATGCTGCGAGGGCTATCGGGCTTTAAAGATCCCGGTTTCCGGCACGTTTCGCTGTCACTACACCTCCAGTGGTTCGCACGAGGACGGGGTTCCAACAAGTCAACCAAGGCTGGCCGTCACGAACTGCACGCGCGGAGTGTATTCATCGAGAAAAGCTGAATTATTAGTCCTCTTGCTGAATTGGTAGACCTCCTACTCGAACTAGAAAACATGTGCTCAGACATGACCTCCGAAGAGTTTAAGGTGCAGCACTGCCGCTAGCCTCCACCCACTTAAATGCATGCCCTCTCACCGAAAGAGCGGAAGTGAGTTTCTCGTATGCACGTCAGAACATGCTCGAAAAGAAAAATCACATTTCCTGCTTGCACGACTGATGTGACGTCTTCTTATATCGTAGCAAAGCGCCTCCTGGTGCCGTCTTAGCCGCGTTGAACATAGGGCAGAGCTGAAATCTCGCCGGCTTCCCGGCTTGGGGATTGCAGACTGGAAGCAAGGTATTCAATGAAAGGGCGCAGAGCTGCATTCTGTTACGGTGAGTGCTGAAGTGACAGCCTAACGTAGAGTTTGCGGCAAATACTGTCGGACAACACTCGCAACAGTTCGCCATCATGATGTGGTAGTTCACATCGTCTGGAGCTCCGAGCTCCAGCTTCTGGGCTAGCAAATTGATGCAAACGCGGGGCCGCGGTAGCTTGCCGGGGAACCAGACCCATGCGCCTGGGATTCCAAGACAGGCGAGGATGGGCATGCCCGGAAACAGATACCGGGCCACTTGCAAAGTGTTGCTGGGATGTTGGCGAATATTTTGCTGGTGCTTGTTCGTGTAGCCTTGCTGCCTTATCACCTACACAGTCCATGAGGGACGATCTGGCATCGAAATGTCTCAGACACCCAGCATCGAGTTGAGAGGCGAGTCAACGTGGTGACTCAGGTCCAATCGTTCCGTTCATCGACTCTAGTGGGAAATATACTCGATAGAGACCTCTGCAGCAGTCTGGAGGTAGCAGGCCCGGTTTGTGCATCGCATGTTGGCCCGCCACTTAGGACGATGCGAAGCACTAGGAAATTTCTGACCATCCAGATGGCGCTCTTGCCTGAAGATGGAACGTTGCACTGCTCGTAAGATCTGCCGGGGCACGTCGGTACAGCAGATCTGACGATCAGTGGCCCACGGTGGAAGGTCAAGAAGACGGCTTCGGGACCCGTTCAGGGCTGGGCGCCTTCGCCCCACTGCACCATTTGACAGCACTTCAGGACGCCTTCGATTCTCACTCCTGGCTGACTTTTGACCAACATCGCCAGCCTGAGCACCCCTCGTGTCGTGCTCAAACATGATAGTCCGTCGTATCTGCTCTACAGACTTTCTGCGCCCGCTCTGATTGCTTCTTGCAATGGCACTTGCGACGGACTTACCTTCCATCACACCTTCCGTGCGTCAGCGTATCGAACACTAATCGATGCGAATCACTCGTGGCAACTGCATATGTTTTTGTCTGGATTTTACATGACCTGATCGGACTGCCGTCTGTTTCGACGAGGCGATAGACTACCAGGACTGTTCATCGCCAGACGTTCTGCACTATACCTAGACACGCTGACAGCTCAAGGCATGTCCGCGTGAAGCTAAATGGCTGCCAGCAATGCCATTCACAACAGCAAAGTCCTCAGCAAGAGGTTCACGAAAGCAGTCCCATTCGCGTGGAAGTGACTATGCTGCCGCTCCTCGTGGCAGAGCCGCAGCTCCAGCTAATATTTCCGCAAAGCGTGGACGACCCACAACATCGCCTCATATGGTCCTGACTGCAGACGTCCTGACAAAACGACCGTCGCATGTGGTCACTGAGGTCCTGCTTACCCCGCAAGTGCTCTTCGCCGCGCAGACCTTACCGCCTCCAGATCTCAAAAGACCGATCAGCCGGCTTCATCGACCGCCACAGCAGCTACCAGGACGCACCAGCAGTTTTACCATGCCAAGCCCGTGTACCGCCGATGCCACCACGGTGAATAGTCCTTACAGTCCATACTTTCCATTCGACAGCCCCAAATCAACGCCAGAGACAAGTGATGACAATGATTCTCCGACGTACCTATTCCCCGTCACTAGTCGCACTGGCTCTCCGGACGATCCCACCGGACCAGCTCCTGCCACGCTACAGACAGCTCTGGGTGCTGGTCGACTTGATCCGTTTAGTGTTTATTGCAAGCAGGACTTGGCGTTGGAGGTTCACGAGATGATTGACCACAACCTCCAGCACGTCTGTTGTTCCTTCACGCTGGCAACAAAACCAGTCGAAATAGACAAGGTCAAAGCCTATATCATGGGACATGCCATGTCGGACCCTATTACCTTCTACGCGATCATCCTCGCAGGTGTCACACATTACATATTCTCTCACGGAGAGAATGAAGTTTCCCCAGAAGTCCGCATGCTTCGGCTATCTTACAAGACACAAGCCATGGTAGAGATTCGGAAGGACATTGAGCAACGACAGGGCAAAGTGTCCGACGCATGCCTCTTCGCTATCAACACATTGGCTGCTCATGGTGGCGGCGACTTCGGCAAAGGAGGGTTATCGCTTGACCGGACTCAAGACGGTAAAGCTCTTGGCAATGCAAATGCTCTGAACTACTATTCTGCCATCGAAACCGAGTGGGATCACTGGAACATCTTTACAAAATTGATGAGACAACGTGGCGGCCCTGGTACACTTGAGCATCCAGCCAACGTAAGAGGCTTTCCGCCATCGCCTGGGCCAGGCTGCATGACCACCACCGATGTGCTCATTGCCTGGCGCAATTTGCAGTGCCCGGAGTTTCCGTTGTGGGTCAGCACAGACAAGGTCATCGACCTGCAAAGGCTGGAACGAGACCCGCCTGCAGCATTGTTGATGCAGAAATTGCTGAGCGGCTTTCCTGCTATGCCAAGAAACAACATGCATTCAAGACGACTGACGGCACTTCTGAAGAAGACACGAACCCTCCTTGTCGATTTCGATCAGTACCAGCGCGACGTTCAGCAGAAGCCAGCCAAAGAAACCAAAGTAGACATCAGACTACTTTACTGGACTCGACTCATGCTTCTACACGACCTGCTACTCCTGCCAGATCTCAGCCTTAGCGACAATCCCCTGGAACTCATGTATGAGCTCTGCCGCAACGGCTTGCTGGCTTTTGAGCAGCTAGTCCTGGTTCCCGTTGCCGCAAGCAATCGGTTGCCTGAAAAGCTTCTAACGAATTTACTGCCACTTCTCCAACGCTGTGTAACTTCCATACATGGCCGCACTCTGGATCGTGAACATCCCAGCCTGTTCCTATGGGCGGTCATGATGGCAGGTATGCTCGCCATGGAACACTATGTTGCGTTTGGAAACTCAACTTTGCTTGACAAGGTATCAGCGTTCTTCGACCGAGTGTCGATCAAGCCTGAGAAAAACGCTTGGTCCATGGCAGCCGCTATGCTGCGCAGCTTTCTGTGGCTGGACTCCGAGTGCGATACGCCGGGGCAACGGTATTGGAACTATGCTTGTCTGTGGTTGGCGGAGCGTACGAGAAATCAAGCTCAAGCTGAAGCAGAGGCGGCAGAAACGATAGAAATTTTCCCAGGTTGAGGCAGCGACCATCGCCAGATTCAGTTGGGCGAATAAGCAAATCTTGTTACCTCGAGTTCGATCGCTGCGCCGAAGCACAACGGCCTCAAACCTGTTCGCCGCCGCCACAAGTTCGTTCCCCGCTCAAACTCCGCCGCGCCCCGGAACAAAAACGGGTACTTCAACACAAACCACTCCGCGAACTCCCAACTTGCCGCAGTCCACGGCTCACCCCTCAACCAACACCCCGGCCCCTCACTCCCACGTTTGTCCAACCTGCTCCTGGACCCAACCAGATCGAAGCAAAATTCATCATCGTCCATCCTCCCCTCGTCTGCACATGCAATCCAGTTATCCCGGAATACCGCATCGGGGAAGACGTCGATCTCGGGATGATGCGCCATCGTCTTCTGCGACCGGGTTGGCATCAAGCTGTCTGGGAGAAATGCTATAGCGGATGATGCCGAGGAGGATAGTGGTAGGAACGGGGATGGGTACTCGTCGAACTGCATCATGTCGTAGTCGAGACCGAGCAGAGCGATGTTGGAGAGGATGCCGCGGAGGACGTTGAAGTATACCAGGGTCAACGACAGATGGTCGGCGGACAGCTGAAGACTGCTGCTGCATTGGCCCGAAGTGCAACGTCTGGAGGAAGTGTGGATGATGGAATGGTACGGCAGGGCAACTTTCTGCCACTTTTCCCGCCGTACTGAGCCAAACGCCAGCGACGCACTGTTTTGGAGCGCTGCTCCTTCCGGACTGCCAAGCGATGCTGAAAAATCTGGTGGCGCTAGCCAGTCCTCGACCACCACCATGCGCTCCCGCCATCGGCATTCCACTGCGACGATTCCGTCACGACAGCCATCGTCGAGAGCAGTCGTCCTACCGCAATGACCGCGCGAAGCATCGCCAAGCTCACTGTCCTCAACTACCAGCTCCAACGCCGCTCTTCTACGCAGTCGACTCGCCCGCTGGTTGTGCCGGTTCTGCAGCTTCCGACGCCTTCTAGGGTCAGTGATGCCGCGCCAGTCCTGGCTCTGTGGCAGCGGAGGGCATGTCATTTAGATGACCTGGGCAATCCAGACACTGCGTGAAAAGATGAAGTGTTCGGAACGTGGGCCGAGGACGTACTTCTACAATGCGGGTCGTCCTTGATGAGCCTTTATGTCCGATAAGTCCGTGAAGCATATATATGTGAGGAGCAGATGAGATGATCAGCACTAGGAGAGTTTGGATCAAGCACACAGCGGCGCTCATATGTTCTGTCTACGGAATTCATTCCCATGTATGCTATCTCGCTGCCAGCCTTCCTAGGATGCTGTCTCCCACTCATATTAGATGGACGAAGTAGGGCCTTGTGCGGCCTATAAAACTGTTCTCCTCCTGTGCTTCCCTAATGCTGCGTTTCAATATCCTATGCTCAAAACATTTGCTAGAGTCTCGCTGCTAGTCTGCATTCAATTTCTCCTACGTTCATCATGAGTCGATTGTGCGTAATGCCTTTGTCGTGGTGTCATTTTTCCTGCGCTGATCATGCGTTCGCTCGTGAGTAATGCCTTTGTCGTGGTGTCGTTTGTGTCATTCTGTCTGTCATGGTGTCGTTTCTATAAATCTAGTTTTTCGTTTTCTGTTCGTTAGTGTAAAAATGCTTGCATGTCTAAATGTGGGTTATGCCGTGGAGAGGGTTATATCTCAGAACAGCCCCTCGGTCGGTCCAGACGACTACTGATCGTGGGTCGAATCTCAGAGTCCGGATCAGACCGACGAGCTTCACGAAGTAGATGTCGTTGTCGCTGTGGAGTCCGTGGAAGTCGTTGGGGAAGGATCTGTCGTCGTGGCTGGTTCTGCTGACGCTGAATCTGTCGTTGTGGCAGGCTCTGCCGACGCTGTATCTGTGGTTGTCGCAGGGGTTGCCGACGCTGGATCGGTTGTTGTGGCTGGTGCTGCCGACGTTGAATCGGTTGTTGTGGCTGGTGCTGCCGACGGTGAATCGGTTGTTGTGGCTGGTGCTGCCGACGGTGAATCGGTTGTCGTGGCTGGTGCTGCCGACGCCGGATCGGTTGTCGTGGCTGGTGCTGCCGACGCTGAGTCGGTTGTCGTGGCTGGTTCTGCCGTCGCTGTACTTGTCGTCGTAGCCGCTGAGTCTGTCGTAGCAGCCGGTACATCCGTCGAAGAAGCAGTTGTAGATCCTGGCGCAGGAGAGGTGCTCGGGCCGAATGTTACCGTGTTTTCTGCAGAAGAAGTCGTTGCAGTAGCGATGCCGAGTCGGTGGTAGTTTCGGTAGGTGCTGCAGCAGTAGGTGATGCCGAGTCGGTGGTGGTATCGGTAGGTGCCGAAACAGCAGTAGGTGATGCCGAGCTTGTGCCGACATTCGCGTTGGCGCTTGCGGGACTCGTACTCGAGTCCGAGGTTGCTGTAGGCGGGCTCGACGAGAGTGTCGTTTCGGTAGCTGGGCTCGAGCTGGAGCTGGTAGACTCCGTATTCGGGTCAGTGGCGGTCGCAGAGGGGTCAGCCGATGCAGGTCGGCCAGTCACCGATGGACCAGATGACGCTGGTGTGCCATCAGTGGAGGTGAACGGACCGCCGTCTGTGGTGCCATTACTCTGGGGCGGAAGCGTTGTGAATGTTGTGTTGCTTGAGGCCGGGACCATGGTAATCGTTGTCGGAGACGAGTCTGTCGTAACTGTGGTTGGAGATGTCGAAGTGATTGTATCACTGGTGTTCGTTGGCGAAGCCGTGGAGAATGCTTCTGTGGTTGTCTCACTCGAGCCTGCGGGACTGGGGGTCGCGCCCGATGCTGTTGAATTCGCAGCGGTAGCTGTTGCGTTGACGAGGAAGACTGAGGAGGTGTTATTTGTGGAGCTCGTCGCAGTAGGGCTTGGGGATACGTCGGTCGAGGTAGAGTTTGAGATGACTGTGCTTGTATCATCAGACGAAGCCGTGGAGGCAGCATCTACCGTCGAATTTCCGAAAGACGTCGTGTTGTTTCCGCTTGACGTGGAGGTCGCTTCCGACAGGGTAGTTGTCGCGTTAGATACGACCGTTGATGAGGCTGTAGTGGCCGAGACAAATGTGGCGTTACCATCTTGAGTCGAGGTAGCTTCTGCCGAAGTAGTCGTGGCATTGGACAATGTATCTGATGACGCCGATGTCGGCGAAGACGACGAAGCATTGCCATTTGTATCGGAGGCCGTTTCTGTCGGATCAGTCGTCGCATTCGACGCGACTGTTGATGGAGTCGTTGTGGGCGACACGAATGTAGCATTAACTTCCACGGTCGAGCTGGTTCCCGCCGGCAGACTTGTCGTGTTGAACGCCGTTGCTGACGAGGCCGGAGTGGAGGATGTGACCGTGGCATTACCATCTGTGGCTGAGCTGCTTTGTGCCAAAGAATTTGTTGCATTTGCGACCACATTTGATGACGCTGTACTTGATGCAGTACTTGCGAGACTTGCATCTGTACTTGACGTAACTAAGGTTGACGAAGTAGTCGTATTTGACCCCACAATCGATGGAGCTGTTGTAGACGAAGCGAATGTTGTTGCATTCACAATGACGGCGTCCGTTGTGCTGACAACAGACGTGGGCGATGATGATTCTGTGGTAGTGTTGTTGAACACTACTGTTGAGGAAGATATGGTCGTGTTCGTCTCACTGACCGTCGTCGACGCTGAAGCGAGAGTCGGAGATACACTGGTCGCCGTAGTCGTCGAATTCACAAAGTCCATCGACGAGGAAGTCGAGGGCGCAGAAGGCGTGAGCGACGAGGAAGCATCTCTAGATGATCGCGAGACCGTGCTAGTTGTGTTCTGGAATGCAGTCGCCGAAGTGAAAAACGATGTACTCGGATTATCGGACGTCGTGAGACTTGCGACGGTCGATTGAGACTGGGTCGATGGATTCAAAGATGTAGCATTCACGACGTCAGTCGCAGATGACGCGAATGTGCTTCCTGGGTCCGTGCTTTGCAGCTGAGTCGAAGTTGTGTTCATCGCAACTATCTGCGATGAAGTGGGTCCTGCCTCAGTAGACGTGGCGTTGCTCATGAGTGAAGTGGAGCTATCGGATGTTGTCGTTGACATCTCAGTCGTTGTGGAAAGAGCAGAGGCTGAGCTTGGAATAGTAGAAGTGGTCTGGGAATCTGTCGTCGTCGTCGTCGTCGTGTTGAAAGTGGTTACGGTTGTCGAGCCCGGCGCTGATACTGTGGGTGTCGTACTGTTTGCCACCGACACAATGGTAGAGGTTGTTGTAGAAGTCGTGTACACGGTTGAGACGACAGAAGAGCCCTGCGTACTAGATGTGCTATTAGTATTCAAGTTAGAAGTAGACCCACTAGCTTGTTCAGTAGAAGTGCTTGATGGCATAGCCGATGATGCTGTGACGCCTGTGGAGCTGGGTACATTGATAATAGCACTGCAAGATGTCAAGGTAGCATTGGATAAGGAAGATAATAAGCTCGAAGACATAGTCTGAGTCGTTGTAGTCAAGCTTGAAAATGCCGTCTCGGACGACTGTGTTGTTGCACTCACGGTGCTTGAGCTCGATGTGGCTGCTGCAGATGCAGAGTTTGACGAGTTCAAGATGCTGGTCGTTAAGGCGGATGAAAGAGCCGAAACTTGAGAAGTCACGGTCAACGATGACACAGTTGGAGTCGATCCTGTGCCCGGGCTATCTGAGGATGAAAAGACCGTGCTGACAGTGCTGCCGCCGTTCGAGACGTCCGTGGCTGATATGTCAATGCTAGCCGATGATGAAGTTACGTCTGACGTTGTCGGCTGGACAGAGGAAGTCAATAGTGTACTATTGACAAGTGTGCCGGTTGTGCTGGTGCTCGTGGGGGACAGCGTGATGCTTTGGTCCGATGAGCTACCGGACGACGCTGTGATGCTCCCATTGACAACGATGCTAGACGACGCTGAAAGCACACTGCTGCTCGTGATGGTATCAGTTGCGGAGCTCGAGGTCGATACGTCACTACTTTGAAGAGATGTCGGACTTGCTAGCGTCAGAGTTTGTGATGTGCTTGGGGAGTCAGTAGCACCGCTGGAGGTGGACAGGGCGCTTTGATCGCTGGTCGAGGTAGAAGAGGCAGTAGTACTATTGTCCGAGCTCGAGGTAGCAGATGCCGGAGTCGGCGCAGCAAATGCCTCATTGACAGCACGAGTCCTCGCCACTCTGCTGGAGCAAGCGGAACCAGCTACAGCGCCCAGAGTTACAGTACTGCAACTTGCAGTGTCGCCGCCAGAAAATGCTGCGACCAGTCCACTGTTGCAGTTGTAGAACTCCGCAGCACCAACGTCGGTCGTGTCCCATCCAAGGTACCCATTGCTGAGGAAGAAGGTTGTATTGACTTCAGTTGTTTCCGATATTACAAGTGGGACCGATCTCGCGCCCAGGGCTTTCCCGATAATGGTGCCGTTCTGAAGAATCTGATCACCACGAAGTACGAAGGTGGTCGCATAGTCACAGCTGTCTTGATCTACGCTTGGCACGACACCATTAGAGTCGGAGAGGTCGACTACCGTGATAACGGAGTCCGAGCCGTCCGAAGCCTGCCTGCGTAGGATGTTCGGTATGCTTCGCCTGACTCCACCTCCTCCGCCAGCAAGCGCAAGAATGATGAACTGCTCTTCAGGCAAAGTAAAGACCGTACCTGACGGCAACCCTTCACCAATGAACAGACCAGGCGCGGTCGAGTTTGTCGCATTTGATGTCGCTGTTGATGTTGGACTCGAGTTGGATGTGGAGAGGGGGGAAGACGTGCTTGAGACAGTGGCATTTGTAGCCGTAGTAGAGTCGGACACAGCTGAGGCTGTTGTACTTGGACCAGCCGAGCTCGATCCCAGGTCGATGCTAGTACTAGTACTCGACGCCAGGCTTTTTGGCGCGACGGAGGCTTGTATAGTAGTGGAACTGCTGGCTGAGACTAATGACGTTGCGGTGCTGCTTGACAAGCTTGTCACTGTTGCCAAGCTATCGTCTGAGTTCGCTGAGGTCGAAGCGCCAGTGACTGTCGTCTGGAATGAAGCGCTTCCGGCACTTGTCGACGATATTGTTGTTCCTAGAAGACCCCCGGAGGTTGACACAGTAGACAACGTGCCCAGCCCCGTCGCAGTGTCGCTGTCTGTAGAGAGATACGACACTTCCTCTGTTGTGACTGTCTCCGTGGCATAGAAGGTACTACTTATGGTAGAGTAGATGATAATGGTGGTCGGGCAATTCGTGACGGTATAGCTTTGCCCACAGCCAAAAGGATCGATTACCGTGTCGTACTCGAAGTATCCGCTGTAGTAGACTGGCTGGACATGCACGGTCGTGGTAGGCACTGCCGGACAGACCGCCGCTTCAGCATTGAGCACGTCGCGAGGATGTTTGCGCGCATTATTGAGTCGGACATGTTGAAGACTGGCGGTGACTGCCGGGACGAGGAGAGTGAGAGTCAACACACGCATGGGCATGGCAGTTGCGATCGCTGTAAGGGAAGGTGGGATGTGCAACAATGTACCTGCTTGTGCTTCAACTTTTACGCAGTGTGGGAGCAAGACAAGATGGCACTGCTGGGAGTACAAACCGAGCCTGTGTTCTGTACCTCAGTCCACGCTACTTACACATTACTCTTCTGTGCAATAGCACAAGGGAGAGGGGGCTGGACTGCGGTGCGTGGCCATTCTTGACGGTCGAAAGACCAGGTCGGTTGCTAGGTCAGGTTATGCGGTGAAGCTAGCCATACTATGCCTGTCAGCGATCGCAATGTACCATTACTGACATCGCCCTCATGGTTGGCAACAAGGGCGTTTGTTCCGCACAAAATTCTCCGAGAGGTCTCATTCCGTCGTGAAGTTAATGTAACGGGGAGCGATACTTCGGCCAGCAATGCGGCTTATGAATGATGCGATGATAGGCTGCGCTTGGTTTCCATGAGTATGAAAGGCTGTTCGATAGCCACAGTCTACGCAATAAACATGAACGGAAGGTGAGGTAGAGTTTCTGATCACCATCAGTCGCGGTATGGCGTGGTCCTATCGCCCGGGCAGCCGGAAGTCAGTGTGGTGGCTCCAAATATCGGATCTTCGTGCGACCAAAGTAGAATAAACAGCGTCGTTGCGACAGAGCTGGCAGCGAGACGATGTTCATGCCCACATTCGAAGCTGTGAACAGGAGTGAGGGAGTCGCGTATGGTCAAACCTTCTCGTGCCAAGCTTCTGGCTCCTTCCTCTATACCCCGGTGCCAAAGAGCACCTTTCTTCCAGTGTTGGTTGAGCAAGTGCTGTAGACGTTCGTTGGCTTCTTTTGAACGATCCGAGCTGACGTTACACCTCATACATCCCCAGCTGAGCCTTATCTCGCGAAGAAAGACTTCAGCTCACCGGCAGTGCTCTGCCAATTAGCCTCGACTTTGTTCACGGGCAGAGATTCTTGAATCCATCCCGGCAACTTTTTCTTGATTCTCTCGGTCCCGAATCTTCTGTCCACAAGCAGCACGGCAGCATAGTCCTCTCTGTGCCGAATTGCCCTACCTATGCTCTGATTCACTGCCCTCATACACACGTTCTCGTAAAAGTCCCGACCTGACGCTTTGGCTGCGGTCTTTGCTTCGGCATCCGAGGAGCCTTGTTTGACGCACTGAGCATGCTTTCGGGCTTCGATGTACTGGATCTTAGCCTTCCATAGACCAGACTGTGCGTTGGGAAAAGGAAGACCGACGCATAGCACAGCCCGTCCAAGAGCGTCAGAGAAGTTGATGCCTTCTGAGAGAGAACCGTTTATGACAGCGAACAGGAGGCCTCCACGCTTGGAGTTGATTGCCTCCGTATAATTTCCAAGAAGAGTGTCCGTGGCAATGCCTTTCGACTCTTCGAACACCGGCTTGTGCTGTCGGAGTTGTTGCATCACGCTTAGGGCGGCCGCGTTTGGCTGTTGCCATGCCTTCGTTACTTTTGCAAGGTAGTCATAGCTCGGAAAGAAGACGACAACGCCGTCAGGAACAATAGCAACAACCTGAACGAGGAGACGGCCGAGATCAGTCACTGTTGCAGGCAGACCTCGCTTGTCAAACGTGAAGTCGAGGGCAGTACCGGATGGTCCAGAGGTGATAGGCCGTACAAAGATGTTGTCTTTTGGGATAACGTGCCCGAAGCTGAATGTCTGTAACTTATTCGAGGGCAAGTATGAGAACAAGTGCTCAGCATAGTCCGACATGGGCGACATGGTGCCGCCGGCTAAGATGACAGCACGTGCTTCCTGCACTATGTCTCGAAAATGCTCTCGAGGGTCGAGCAGTGTATAACGAAGAGACATATCTGAATCCTCCCTCGATGCAAAGAATCGTCCCTCGGCATCTGGGTTCATCAAGGCGACAAGGAAGCTCTGGAAGAGCATAAGAAGTCCACGGTCCGTGGCAGAAGCAACCTGAGCTCCTTGTAGCTCGTTGTAGCCCTCAATCTTGTAGGCGAGCTTGCTTTGATGGATGTATTGCATCAGCTTGTGAGGCGTAATTTGATCGACACCTTTTCCGGCCATGAGTTGTGCAGCAGTGAGCTGGACATCCTGCTGCTGTGCTGTTCTTTGCAGCCGTTCCAGGCAATCCGTCACAGAGTTCATCAGCCGAATAAGCTGAGTGATGTAGACACGATTCTTGCCCTTCAATTTGTTCTTGAAGCGCTGAACGTATGCGGTAACCTGCCGAGTGACAGTCTTGAGCTGTTCCAGTCGAATAGCAACAGAGAACGTGTCGGCAATCGCATCCATCAGATTGTGGGCTTCGTCAATGACAACCACGTTGTCTTTGACCGATACGCCCAGCGCTTCCCGTGCCGACTTCTGCAGCAACAAAGGATATGGCAAGGTCAATACCTCGCTGGGATTGATTGCGTGTCTTGAGGCGTAGTATGGGCATATTTTCAACTCTTGACCAAGCTTCGAGATGTCTTCAATATCCCTGATATTGGCGATAGCTCGATCCCGAAATGCGTTCGTCTGTGCAACGTTCTCCTTGCTCAATACATACGGACATCTCTTGTCTTTTGCCGTCCCAGGCTTTTGTAGTTCCAAGCATCCCTCGTTGATGGCGGCCGTTGACTGTAGTCGCTTGACTTTCTCGTTGATGCATAGATTCTTCCTCGAACCCAATGCCAATTGTTTCACAGGCTCACCGTCACCACTATCGCTGGTATCTTCAGCTGGCATAGAGTTGGGCAGCTTGACACGGCGTAACTCATTCACAAATTGGCTCAGTTGAGAATGTGTGCGCGAGCAGAAGATCACCTTCATCTCTTCAGGCATCACAGAATCCTCTTCGGTGGCGGGAGTTGTACCCTGCAACTTCTCGAGTAGGGATCGAGTCGATGCAGAGAAATGCGTCTGTCCGTTGCTTGGCTTGCTTGACTCTTCTCCAGACTCATACTCGTCCAGCAAGAAATCATCCTCATTTCTCCGGTCGGCACTCTGACCTAGACGCACACGCTTAGTCGGTCTGTCGCTCTCCTGGCGGCGTTGGGAACGTGCCTCGTCGCGTCGAAGCTTGGCTAATTTCTGCTCAAACTCCTCTCGATCTCGTAGCAGTGCCTTCCGTCGATTGACCTTCTCCGCTGCTGCGAGCCAGTCGCTGGTGGCAGGAGCGGTGCCGTTGATGTCCCCCTCTAGGCTGTGCCGCTTGTGATCTCGAAGCCATGTCAAGGCGCCACAAATCAAGCTCAGAGATTTGCCTGTTCCTGTGGGCGACTCGAATATGCCGACGTTGCCTTGTTGTATTGTGTCGTACAAACTGCTCATGAATTCCAATTGGATGTCGTAGGGCTCGTACGGGTGACTAAATCTGGGGTCGCTGGGTTCCATCTTGGAGATTAATTGCGATGTTGACGTGGACCAGCGTCAGATGAGAGATGGATGAACACAATGTCCAATTTCAGACGCGTCATGTTCATGACAAGTCGCGACGCGACGCCCGTGGGTACTGGCAACGACAAGAGCTGCAGATCGCTACACAGGCTGTAGGGGCGTGGACTGACTGTTTACACGTGAACGACTCTTCTCAGCCACGCAAAATCCAGCGTCGGGTGCCCCTCAGATAGTTTGCTGTGTTTTTACAGAGCATATTGCGTCCATTACTTACGAAAAGTGCTACTGAGACAGCCTAGATCTCCCACTACCTACCGCAAATGCCATAGCTAGTCGCGCCTGCACTCGTGAGGCAGCGTTGTTGGAAGGTCCGCCGGCTGCCCTTAGGACGAAGCTTTCTTCTAAACAATCCTGCTTAGGTGCCAAATAGCACGTCTATTGCTGTTCGTGTCACGGTTGAGTTTGGAGATGGAAGTGGTGACAAAATACTCCGTCTCTAGGACCGAGGACATGACCAAAATTGGAACAAAGGCTGGCGCCGAGCTTCCGTGCTCTGTCATCTGTCCAGTTATAATCTCCCGCCCGCGATGGGCACTCCCCACTGCGGATGCCGCCTGAATGCGAGGCGTTCCTTGTAGGCGGTGGCTGAGGCCCGTGGTCATCGTTCGGGTGAAGCATGTCGTAGCCTCATCAAGCGCATTCCCTGATGGCAGCAACTTGAACGACGCAGCACTACAAGTTGGGTAGGCTCCCCTTGGGGCGGCAGAGTCAACGCTGCTCACAAGCCCTGATACTTACACCGTCTTTCACTATCATTATCTTCACAGTCTGTTGTTTGCTACTTCACCACTGTAAGACGTCCAGGGTGGCCGAGATTGAGATCGTCACCTACGACTCCTCCACGGTCCAAGACATCTTACTTCCCACCCGTGCTTTGCTGCTCATCCGGGTCTTGATTGTCTCAGATCACCGCAGCGACTTACTACCTGCCTCTAACCGATCATATCTGCCGGCCCATACCTGCCGACGCAGGAAGTTGGCAACTACTTACTTTACTACAATCAAGGCCTGGCAAAAGAACGCCCGCCATGGCATACAACACATCGGCTACATTTTATCCGGGCGGCGACGACTCCTACTATGTGCCTGAAATGGTTCAACCTGCTCCGCACCGCCCAGGAGACCATCCTACCAATATGCCACATAATGTCGCCCAGATGGAGAATGCTGCCCAGGGCGGACATCATAATCAGTCCTCCAATGGCTGGCACCAAAGCCCAATGCCACCAAGAATCGACTCGTACCAACCTCCACACGACTCGTATGCATCTCCCGCCAGCAGCGGATACACCACTGCCACACCGACTAGCGTCTACTCGCAGCAATCGCCGGCGACGTATCAGCAGCCAGCACCTCCTGTCTCACAGACATATCAGCAACCTCCAACGTCTGGCTACCAGCAGCCATCCCCTCAGCCACCTCAGACCTACGATCACGGGCAGCAGTACTCGACTGGTCTCCCAGAAACGCCGAACTTCTCGCCCTTCCCTGCACTCCGAAATCCTCCTCCAAACATTCCACCTACAGACGAGCAGAAAGAAGATACACTTGAGAAGGCAAGACAAGCAGTTCTAGCCTGCAACGATCCAGAGGTCCAGCTGACGTGGGCGCAAGATGTGCTACAATATGCTGAGATCGCCCAACAGAACGAGCAGAGGATATCGTTGACACAGAACCCAAGACCTAGAACTCCACGGATAGAGAAGCAGCTCCGAGACGATGCACTGAAGATCACAAACTTCCTGGCGGATCAGCATCATCCCAAGGCAGAGTTCATGCGAGGCACATGGCTCGAATTCGGCCGCTTTGGGGAGAGAGTGGACAAGAAAGAAGCATTCCATTGCTATTCGCGAGCAGCAGAGAAGGGCTATGTCCGGGCTCATTATCGCATCGGCATGCAGTTTGAGGCGTCACAGGATGCTTTGAAGGCCATCAAGTACTACCAGCGAGGTGTAGATGCTGGTGACGCGGCATCATGCTACCGACTGGGTATGATGACCCTTCTAGGCCAGCATGGACAGTTCCAGGACTTCGAGCATGGCATCAACCTCATCTACAAATCAGCAGAGGCTGCTGATGACAACGCTCCGCAGGGCGCATATGTCTACGGTATGCTGAAAGCCGGAGAGCTCAGCCAAGTCCATGTACCGGAGAGATTCTGCCCGAAAGACACCGTCGCCGCCAAGACCAATATCGAGAAGGCTGCCTATCTGGGTTTCTCGAAAGCTCAAGTACGAATGGGAGCCGCATACGAGCTTGGCGAGCTCGGCTGCCCATTCGATCCTGCACTGTCACTCCATTACAATGCCCTTGCGGCAAGACAAGGCGAGACCGAAGCCGAAATGGCGATTAGTAAATGGTTTCTGTGCGGACACGAAGGTGTGTTCGAGAAGAACGAAGAGATGGCCTTCACATATGCTCAACGAGCAGCTGTAAGCGGACTCGGAACAGCACAATTCGCTATGGGCTACTTCTACGAAGTCGGCATATACGTCTCACCCGACTATTCTACAGCTCAGGAATGGTACCGCAAGGCTGCCGAGGCAGGCAATGCGGATGCTGCAGGTCGTGTTGAGGCCATCAAGCGATCGAAGACGCTGTCGAGGAAAGACCATGAGGCTCAAGCTGTCAGTCGGATCAAGCAGAGTCGGCCAAACGTAAATGTTGGGTCGACCGCCGCAACGCTTGACATGCCTGATCCCTCGAGACTCAGCCTCAATACCAACAGCTCGGCACCATACCCTTCTGGTCCACCAGGTATGCCTCAGTCGACCTCACATCCTGACTTTCGCCCGGCTTCCGCTTTCGGCGTCAATCCCAACTTGCGACCGAACAGTGCCACTGGCTATGGTTCGCCGCAACAACAAATGTATCCTCCGCAAAATCGTCCTTCACCACAGCCATACGGCAACGGACAAGGCAGCTATGGCCCTCCTGGTCCCGTCCGCGGCTCAGCGCCTCCACAACAATACGGCGGTCCTGGCGGTGGTCGACCAAGTCCTCGTCCAGGCACAACTTCTCCACACCAACAACCCACAAATCGCCCACCAGTCGACATCGGCTATATCGCACCACTCGAGCAGCGACAGCCACGTCCACCTCACCCAGCCGAAGCTCCTCGACCTCGTCCTTCACCAGGTCCTGGCATGCATGGCGGTGGCCCAGGTGGACGCCCGCCACCGCAGCAGCGGCCTATTGGTCATCAGCAACCAAGTCCTGCTCCACAGAAGCAGCCGCAGAAGCCACAGCAACCACAGCAGAAGCCAATGCCCCAACAGCAGCAGAAGCCCGTTCAACCAACAGGACCACAACAGAAGCCTAACAAGGTTGCGCCATCGCGAATTGAGCCAGGCAAGATTAGTCAGGGTCAGGGTCCAAATACTTTTGAGGCGATGGGGATCCCGAATAAGAAGGCGAAGGGTGATTGTGTAAGTCTTTTCCCCCGTCCCTTCCGACAGGCCTACCTCTGGTGGACAAAGAGTGAATGAGAAGTAAGAAAGCTGACATGCATACCAACAGATTGTTATGTAAAGGCTCGCCTCTCGAGTCGAGTGTGATACCCCTTATTTGATTTCTGATGATACCCCTACGATGTTATTGGTCACGAGCGCTCTCTGATGCGCCGTTGAATGAAAGGGGACGCGAGATCTGCTGTATGCAGTTGTGGCGCACAGATGGCAATAAGAACGAGAAGCGTTTCCGGATGGGTGGAAGAGCGTCACTGCATACCTAGGTAAGCGCAATCTTGGCAATGGCTGTACTGTACGATCATGCGCCGCAGGGTAGGAAGGCGCATTCAACACGTCACATAGGCGTCTTGCCGGGTATTCACATGGAACACCTTCGACGCATTATGTAGCAGTGCCATCTTCATGTCAGAGCACGAGCTCGTCTGGCAGCCTTACCATCATGTCTGACCCCAGGTCGGTCATACCCTGACTCTTCGAGCGCGGTAAAACGCCGAGCCTCGCCAGCTCGCCCGAGTGGATCACGAGCCTGCCGACCCAGGCAGTCTCTGCTGTTCGAAAGTATCTCGGTACCTACAGGTCACCTATCTCTACCTATGCACAGCTCAAGTTAGCGACATTTCGAGTCCGCATCAATGGACCAAAAGGCCCATGCAGACGCTGAAGCCCCGCACGATCAAGAGGCATACGCTGTTCGCGCTGCGCCGCTGCCACGACCCCTGGACCGCTGGCCGAAATGGCGGCTAGAGTGGCTCATGCAGCATGAAGGTTGCATCTCGTCGTTCACACCCCTGCTTTGCAATGTAGCCGAAAGGCAGGCCACAGTCGTGGCTGAGACGCAAGCACCCCCACGGGCGTTCTCAAGCTCGTCGCCAAACCTGCGAACGCTGCACATCTTGGCTTATCATAATGCTGGCCGCTTTCTTCGACGAACCCCCGGAGAGACATTACTAGGAGAGCGGATAACCATCGCAACCTAGCTCAAAGTGCACTGAGGACTTCGATACATCGATCCTGGTATCAGACCATAACGCAAACAAGGCACCATCTAATCCACCGGTTGCTGAGCTTGCATGCAAATGGGGTCGGCGCGAACCATGGAACAGCGCGGAGCCGGCTTCCCCGGCGCTTAGTGCTGGTAGACATCCATGTAATAGTCTCCTCAACCTTGCCCTCCATCCTGCTGGAACAAGGCTGAGAGGCAGAAGCGTCCAGGGGTGGACTGTGAGGAGACTACGCCCAAGCTGCTGGCGCCTTGCTCCGCCCTCGAGCCACTCATAGGACACAATATGAAGTGCTCTTGCTCCCCAGATCCAGCCGTACCAATCTGGCTCATGACCTTCGACAGTGTGGTCAGAAAGTTCTTCCCGCATCCAGCCCGCAGCTACCTTGATACCATCATCCTCGTCGGACGCTCGACGCAACTCGTGGAATTCGCCAAACCTCTTCCTACGGGAAATGGCAGTGCCTCTAGAGCAAGAGTGGTGGCACGCTCTACCGTGTACTCCAAAGGCAGATGCAGCTACTTCTGCTCTGACGCCATCTTCAGAGCTCAGTGAAAAGGATCTAGATCTTCCAGCCACGCCGACAGACGACAACATTCGTTGGCCATCCGTATCAACGGAAGTTGACAAGCATGTGTCCTCGGGAGATAGCTGTACGACTCCAGATAGCGCTCCTCGAAGCAAAAGAAGCAGAGCAGAAAGATGGGATGCTACAACAAGCAGGGCAGATTGCCCAATATCTTGTCAATACACTGCTTCCCCTATTCCTGTCACCAAAGGCTGGCTACTCTCACATTACCAACCCTTGACCGATACGGTTTTGATGAATCCCGCGGCATCGATCCGGATAGCCTTCTCGGACTCCCTAACTGACTTCAATTTCTCGGCGAAAACCCTCACTCCACCAAGGCGAACTAGGGAAACGTCGACAGCACCGCTGATCTCAATATCAACAACCACTGAAGTCTCCAGACCGCAAGACCAAAAGCGTTCAAAGAAGCCTCTACATTATTGGCTCGAGCGAGCGTTCCCGCACGATGTGTTCACTCGTCTCAAAGCGAACAATACCCGGTGCGTCGCTGAAACCGTTAGCAAGCCACGTCGACAGTGCGAGAACTCGATCCCTCCGACGCGAGTGCCAGTGGTCAGTGCGTCTACCACCATACGTACAATACGCGCAATTGGAAAGTCGCTTGACGAGGACAGAGTCTTTGAGAATGACGAAACTATTGAAGAAGCTCTGGCTTCGCTGCGCGACACCGTCATTCCACAGGTATGTTGTACGAGGGGCCAGCATGTCAGAATCGCCATAGAGGCTCTTGGAGAGATCCGTACCCGTCTGAAGATGGCGTCTGGTCATACACAATTAATCCATGCGGAATGCTCTACCATTGAGTCCTGGTTGCGAATGGTGACTGGTACTCGCACTGTCGATGTGAGAGGATCTCCACCGTCGCCAACATCATCATCGAGCTATGCACCGACAGCACAGAACGATCTCGAGGCCCGCAGGGCATCGTCCGATTCAGTCAGCCCTGCGGATACATCCGCCAAGATGAAGGTCCACGACATCCGTCCATCCACAAAGTCGCCAGCCTTTGCAACCCGTAGGACCACGCGGTCGACCAAAACCTCTACCACGGCCCCCGCCACCAGAGATGCGAGCACAACGATAGTGCCCTACCACGCCCCCAACTCCAGTATTGCCAAAATGTCCGTTGCTGACCGCCTACGCCGAGTTCTCTCCCGCCCGCTGTGCAAATTCGACTTGGACAACGGACTCCTCTATATGTTTTGGCAACGTGGAAGTTTCGGCCTGGCGAAAATCGGGTATACCACTCTGGAGACACGAGAGAAGCGGTTCAAAGGCTGGCAGCGCCAGTGTGGTATCGACCTGGAGGATTGTTCTGACGACAATGGACAACCCGTCAATGGCGACGACGGCGAGTATGCTGGCACAAACCCACCGCCTATTCGTGTACGCAATGTAAGACGTCTGGAATCGCTTGTGCATGCGGAACTTAAGGACTACAGGCGCACACAGCTCAATTGCGCGGGATGTGGGAAAACCCATATCGAGTGGTTTGACGTGCCTGTCAAGCATGCGCAGCAGGTGGTGCACAAGTGGACGACATGGCTGATGGCGGAAGAACGTTATCAGAATAAGGTGGGTGGCAACTTATTATTGTCATCGCGCACAGGGTTGGAAGAGCTTTGTAAGCCAGTCGAATTTGTTCAAGCAGTACAGAAGAAGAGAATCGAGACTGGCCGACGTGGCTCCGGATCTCGTCGTCCTAGTGCTGGTGCTGGACGGCGGGCGTCCGTGCCAGTCAGCGCGTCACTTTCACCTGTACCAGAGACGAGGAGGCGTTCAGCTCGCATAGCATCGCAGCAACGAAAGTCTGGGACGCTCGGGGCCTTGGCTGCGAATCCATGGTCTGGGCTGACTGTGGAGCACTGACTTGTGGTGCTGGAAGCGGAGCAGAAGGCATCAGGTGGTAGCCAATGACTCGATGTTCACTATGAATCAAGAGCACAGGTCTCTTCCAACCATCTACTTCTCTTCCACCCACGAGCCAACGAACTTCAGTGCGTCCACAACAGCACTAGCCTTGGCAGATCCTGCAGAGAGCGACCTCTTCGGTGGCTTGTCTTCCAGCCCAATCGGACTTCCTGCTCCCAACACCGGCCACTCGTCATATGCACGACGAGTCTCATCGATTCCGAAGCCGTTTCGGCGCTCTCGCGTGCCGCCAGCTATCAAAGCGAAGCTGTTGTCACCAGTGACCCAACGACGGGTTTCGTTGTATGCTTGGCCTCCAGCTGGCTTGGTTCTGCGTTGCTGCTCCGCAGTCGCGGTGTGTGGGCCCCCGCCGGGCCTTGATGCCTTCTCATGTGTCGCTGGGCTGCCATGTACTGAGGAGGCCGTGTTGATGTTCCTGCGAGGATTCTTGTCTGGCGTTTTGCAGGGCTTGACATAGCTACATATCTGCGCCGATGCCTGTTGCGTTGCAGCTACTCCATCCTGCTCACTTCCTATTTATCCTTTGTCAGACGGCGGCCATTGACGATCAATGCGCAGCTCGGACGCCTTACCACCATCACCTCCTGACTTGTGGCTGCTGTGCGGTTGATCCATGGAGCAGATACTTGCGGCAAACCGAGCTGATACTCTATATCTGGATGTGTGGTCTGCTGTCGTGGACCGAAGAAGAAGAATGCTCGACCTGAGTCGCGTCTCGCCACTGGGTCTATATACATGTACAATCTGCCCATCCGCAGCATACAGGACACATTGAAAGGGGCTCGGCCCCCAACGGCCTACTATACACAGAGTCGGATCGGGAAGCCACTCCCAGCGGCCTACTTCACACGAAAAGAGCTACAGGCACTTGACCCTGACGGCCTACCGCGCACAGACACAAGTCCAGACAGCCAGCCCGGGCGGCCTACCTCGGCAATCAGTCTGCCACCAAGCGGCCTACCTGGACCTTCACACAAACTCTCGAAGCTCAAGTCGACGAGCCTGGTGGCGACAGCCTACCAATCCGCGTTAGTCCGTGCGGACCAAGCCAGAACAAGGTCGCAGGCCGGGCTGTATGCAAGGTCATCAAGCCTACTTCACGCAGCGAGTAGAGTAGAGTCGAAAACGAAAACTAAAGCCAACGGTACATACATCGTGGGGGCCTCCTCTTTCATTCGGGCCGACTGACAGGATCTGGTAAGAAAGAGGCTATGGTTTGGGAAGTATTGTTGGCATATTTTACATGAGAGGCTATGATCTGATAGGAAAATCGTAATGGCGTCGCCGCGAGGTGGTATACCCTCTATCGCGGCGGTATACTCTATTTCATTAATCAAGTCCCGGATTGTGACCCGCCGGCAGTTCGGCCAACCGCAGAAACCGCCATCTAGCCATATATTACTTTCGACCTTCAACAATCCCAAGGTCATCGGCGAGACGGCAGGGGATGCTTCCAGAGGGTTCAACCGACGCGATGCTTGTGCACGGTCCGCACATGGCGATGCATAGTGTCCGACCGCTTGAAGCCTCCACGCTTGCCGCCCTGGCCCCAATCACAGGCGGCGTCTGGACAGGGGAATCGTTCGACATTCCCTTGTCGCTGTTCGGGATGAACAGCTTTCACATGTCGCTCAAGGTCCTTGCGATATTGGAGCCGCTGCGGGCACACGGTGCATGGGAATGGCGGTCTATGCTGTCGATTGTGGATTCTGAGGCGAGACTTGCTTGGAAATGCCTTCGGCGGCTGGCATTCGAAGCATTGATGCTCTTTCGACGTTTCGGACGCCCATGATCCAACTGACGGCGAGTCAGTTGTGTCTCCAGCCACGCTCAGCTTTTGCACAGAGTAAGCTGAGTTAGTCCTCGTCGATAATCGTGGAGTCGGCGGTATCGGCTGCGTGAGTAGGGGAAAGTCAGGCGCCTGTTCAGCGACAACGGCTTGTTCGCTGATGGACGAGAAAGCAGATGTCGCGTGGTTCGTATCTAAAGCATCAAGGTCCCAGGCTTGTGCGAGGGGATGGTGGAAAGCGTACTCTCTGCTGCCAAAGCCTGTGTCAGATGTCACAGGTTCGTCGTGATGTGGTTGAAATTCGTTAACGCCTAGGCCCCAGGCCTGATCTGTTGGTTGTGACCATTCATGGACTTTGAAAGGTAAGAAAGTGCTTGAACAGTGCGTATCGATAGCCTCAAGGAAACTGTAAAAGTGTGGATCCCAGTACCAGAACGCAGAAGTCTCAAGATTGAGTTCACTTTGGTAATGAAGGAACTTGTGTCCTGGCGAAGAGATTGAAATGTGAGGGGGGAGTCCTTACTCCCCCGGCGCGGGCACAGTGTTGCGTCCTGCCTATCCTAGGCAGGAGTCGACAGGTTCGTCCTGTCCTGAGGAAGTTGCTGTCTGTAAGTGGGAGCTAAGGCACTCCCGCCCGCAAAGCTGAGGAAAGAGAAGCAAAAGCGGTTGACTCGGGCAGGTGCGCTTTTATGAATCTTTGGCCGAGTCGCCTCGACATTCCGGCATTGGCGGCGGCCTACCCATCGAGCGTTCAGTGGCCTACCCGAGGAGTGGCCTATCGAATAGCGGCCTACCCATGTCAGCTGAACAACCAAAAAGTCGGGCGCAATGCCAACGATCCATTCTCTTGGCATAGAGCGTGAAGCGCTTCATTGGCTAGTCATTGAGTGGCCTACCTACGGTCAGACTGGACCTTATCTGAGCTGCTCCGGCAAGGCGTATGCTGTAGACAAGGAAACCGAAGTTGTGACGATCAATCCACCGTTGTGCATACCCATTCCCAGACAAGAAGTCCACCTTTCCACCTACAGCAAGTAATCCAGCTTTCATCAGTTCATCCTGGCTGTCCAGAACTTATATTTCCCATCCCCACGTGCAATACTTCCATTTGCTTCCCATTCGAACTCACAAACGTTTTCTTATGCCAATGCCCCACTCATATTCCAGGGGAAGCTTGGGGGAGGCAAGATCGATCTTGAGGCGGCGAATCGAAGTTTTGGTGGGAGAATGGTTAAAATCTCCGCCCATCTTGGCGCTTGGAGATGCTTAAAGCGTCCCCCGCGACTCCCAGCGCAGAGAGCTGTCGACCCAATCAACACCTAACAAATGCGATAAGTACTCCGTATTGAGTCTGCGACTGCATGGGCAGTAGAAACAGCATCGACGACAACGACCATTTTGTCTGCTTTGGGCACAAAGGTACGATACCCGACGACCCGTTTCTTCCTCACAAAGCCTGCGAGACAAGCGAGGGTACATAAGTACGCACACACTTGCAATGAGTCCACCGCCCTCGAACGCGCGCATGTCCATGCGGACATGTACATGCTCTGTGCAACGATGCGCGGAGGCTCCCAATGGCAACGCGGAAGAGTAGCAATGTGTTCAAGAAACGTGCGGGAAGCTGTGTTGGCGCCTGGTCCACGCGTGGCGACACAGGCAGGGAAAGTCTCCGCTCCACCCCTCCCCAATACTCCGCTCAACTCGAAGGTACTAAAGTACGGCCCAAAGGGCATGTCAGCTTCCCGATCTGCACTTCTATCTGCTATTGCGGAGCCACTTGACGTCATGAGCAGTTGCAGGAGGTTGTGTATTAGTCGTATGAGCCCCTGATAAGGGTTCAGCGGAGATGTTGACCTCAGTAACATCCGCCCCGCTCAGGCGGTCCGTTACGGGCCAGACAATGCTGCATCATGGGTCGAGGATGATGACTAACAATACTGACGCGCCTAGAATGCGGCAGACTGAGTCATGTAACGATCAGAGGAGAGCCGTCCGCCAATCTGGTTTGACAGCTACAAAACACTGTCTTGTGATACAGAGCACCAAGATACTGCCGTCTTCAACGTTGGAGAGGACTGGGCTAGGATGCTAGCACCGCGACTGGCCTAGCGCGTGCGAAAGACGTGTTCCGCTTCCCGGACGGATTGACATTCAGAAGCCTTTTCCTCTTGCGCCACGCTCAGACCTCATGCTTGACGGCATGCGCTTATGACTTCTCTCCGGCTGTCGCAGAGACGCAGAGACCAGTACGCACGGTCCATTGTCTAAGATATTGCCAAGAGTGGTGCAGGTTGTCCGGAGAAGAGTTTGGCAATCGAAGGTACCCATGAACTCAAAAACTTTCGGGAATGACTCACGCGGACTGGTAGGTATATATAACGACCATCGTTCTCGGTCAATGGTCCCTGTCCACGCATACATCCGCTCTTACAATTCCGTACTGTCACTTCCACAGCCGTCAACCACATACACAACAACAACACAACCTCGCCCTCGGAATTCACCGCCCTTCACGATCTGAACTAGCTCAGCCTTCGTTGCCCATTCTCACGGTCGACAACACCAACGATGTCAGAAAAGGTGCCAGAGCATACTGGCCCCATCGAGGCCAATGGCGAAGCCGAGCATACCGCAAAGAAGCCGTCAACTCTCTTCCCAAGCATCTCCGGCAAGGTCAGGGACTTCGATTCTTCCATTGCGAGGCATGTGCTAGAGCCTGAGCAAAAAGAGCTAGAGCCAGCAGCCAGAGTCTTAGAGCCTCCAGGGCGAGTGTTCCGATTCACGGGCACTGTCAAGCTCCATGGCGCGCATATGGACATCGTCGTGCACCAGGACGGGCATACAGTGTGCCGGTCACGGAATGTCGAGGACCTCGCTCCAGAGACGGACCACTACGGCTTTTTCGCATTTATTTCAGCTCGACAAGCTGCAGTCTCAAGCTTCGCAGCGAAACTGAAGGCACGATGGTTGGACCTGCACTCAGATGCTGAGATCGGAGCAAAGCCGATGATAATGGCGGGCGAGTGGATTGGTGAGAAGATCCAACGAGGTAAGCAGTTATCGGTAACACAAGACGAGCTACTGCTGACGGTTTTGCAGGTGTCGCTATCTCCCAGCTCCCGAAATCGTTCGTCCTTTGCTCCCTGAACATTGCCGACACGTGGGAGGCTATCGAGTCCTATGCCGGCATCGAGGAATCAGAGCACCGCATCTACAACATCTCCAGGGGCGGCTTCTTCCACGTTGACTTCGACTTCACCGTCGAGGGCGCGGCTTTCTTGGAACAGGCAAAGGCCCTCACGGCGCAGGTCTGCTCGAGGTGTCCGTTTGGCGAAGCCTTGGGTGCAATAGGAACCGGTGAGGGCATTGTTTGGACACCAACACCAGACTCAGGACTGCCGCATACTTCAGATTTCTGGCTTAAGACCAAAGGCGACCGATTCATGAAAGTGTCCAGAGGCCCAAAGCTGCCGGACCCGGCAAAGGCGGAGCAGCTCGAGAAGGAGAAATCGTTTGCTACAGAACAGTGTACCGATGAGAGACTCGAACAGGCGTGGGCATACCTGCTGGAAATGGGCATTCCGCGAGATAAGCCAGGTGGCAACAAATACAGAGAATGGCTCGTGGAAGACATCGAGAAGGAAGAGAAGTGGGAGATAGGAGAGCTTGGCATCGGCAAAACATGGAAAACCCATGTTGGCAGGATCGCTAAGAGGTCGTACGACGAAAGGATGAAGCAAAAAGAAGCACTTCCGAATTGCGACTGAGTCGCAGCATTGCAACAAATCATCGGTGATGCGAGCTCAGCCGCGTTGATGAGTCGTCGATGAGTATGGTGGCTCGGGTTGTTCAGCAGGCTGTCTGGTCTGTCCTAGCGGGCCATCCTGTTGCTGCCGCAGCGGATCATTTAGGTAGTTTCTGTCCCAGCAGATTACACTGCTCCCGTTCCCCTTTAAGATGTCGATCAGTGTTGCCGTATTGTCAGTTCGGTCTTCCTGTCCAGTTGAAACAGACTGTCCAAGTCGTCAAAATCAGTGTCCCCGTCTCGTCAGATCATGCTTTTTGCCTTCTTGGACCAGTCTCTCCATCTTGTCCAAAGAATCATCCCATCTCATCAGATTAGTCCTCCCGGAACCACATACTTCGAGATCATAATGGCATAGTGCTTTGACATGGGAATAGCGTTCATCAGTATAAGCAATTTGTGCGACAGTCATGCTTAAGGTTGCTGCGACTTCCTCTCGTCGGATAGATCTAGATCTCCTTGGCATCGATTTAGGATTCACTTGGCATCCCTACCTCCACTCCTCCTCTGCTTCACATATTTAGGCTCATCGAGAAGTGAGCGTACGAGAACCAAATCCTTAGCTCGCTGCGACTGAAACCCCAACCTTAGCGGTACCTGAACCCTGATCAGTGTCTAAGCACGGCATTGCCGTCTTCGACTGCCAGCGAAGAATACTTCGAGCCGCAACCGGACCTGTCCGCATCAACGGCAACAGGATCAGTAGTCCTGAGTTGCCGCACTTTATCCAATCGCTGCCCGCCACCCGGGATAAACGCCATGCGACAACATAGAGCAGCGCTGCTGAAGCTGTTTCTGTGTCGAAGCGGCGACAGCATCTTCGTATTCCCACAGCGCGATTACTGGAAGAACATGACCTGCGTCGCCTAAAATGGCCGCTAGATTAGTGGCATCTTCGACCCTAAGCGATGGTTTAGCGTTGGAGTATGAATGGTAAGCACCCTGGTGTTCGCGAGTGAGGGTAACTTCTGCGCTAGCCCATCGACTCCTTCCAGGCATGTGAAGGGGTTCGACGGTCGTGAAGGCCCGCACAAAACCGATGTCGTTGACTGTGGCTTCGACACCTGGCAGCTGATGCTGCGATTGCAAGGTTCGTCTCTGAGCTCGTGCCCGGGAATCATGCATGATAGGCCTATTGGGCTGCTCTGCTGAAGGCTGGCAGGGGGCGAGATTCTAGACTCTTCACTGCTTGGGTTGGCAACGCAGGCAGCCTCGTCAATCCCGGGATGGTCTTTCATTCAGAAGGTAAAGGCTTTTATCGAGGACCACAGTTCTGTACTTCGCGATTTATACACTCCCTGCCCTCACGGGCCACCAAGCACTCATTATGGCAAGCATCGGGGCGCGAGCAACGCGCAGAATGCTTGCAGGCGCAGTGCTTGCGCTCATTTTCTTGTCGTTATGGTACATAGATACTCCAGGTACTTCGGTGACAGTGGAGGGGCAATCAGGCTCACAAAACCCCTTGATGCACAACGAGAACGACAGTGACAACATCAACGATAACGACGACGATAATAACGACGACGACGACAACAAAAACGACGGACACGAGAAATGGTCGCATATCCCAAGCCATCTACACGGCAAGACTCACGATCTCACCAAACTTCCACCTCAGATTTTACACCTACACAGCGATCTGCATCATCTGCACAACAACGATGAATTTCTCCCATACATCGCTGGCATCAGCAGTGTGCCCAATTTGACAGTTAGCACTGCATACGGGACTTGCAAGTTTACTGATGAAGAAATGGGCTCATTCGTTTACAACAATGATGCCCCGTGGGTGCTCGAGCCCACAGCAGACGACCAGATTGTGTCGTTGAGAGAAGCCTGGCAGTCGTACGTGAAGCGAGGTCTCATTCCCTGGGAAGCAGTCAAGGACAGGTACAGCGGCAAGGGAATAGTGATTGTTGGCGGTAAGGGCGCGGATGTTAAGCGAATTGTGGTCGCTTTAAGAGCGTTGCAGAAGCACGGAAGCAAGCTGCCTGTCGAAATCAACTACTTTGACGATGAGCTGGTCGATACCACACGTCAGGCGCTCACAGATATCTACGGCGACAAGCTACTGTTCAACGACCTGGCGGCCGAAGACCAACCATGGGCAACATTCAAAGTGTTTAAAGACAACTACCAGCTCAAGACCGCAGCGCTGGTCAACAGCAGATTCTCAGAAATGCTACTACTCGACTCGGACAACATCCCAACAAGGGATCCTGCCACACTCTTCGAATCCAAAGCCTACAAAGAATTCGGCAGCGTCTTTTGGCCAGACTTTCCAAGAACACGGAAGGAGCACCCAGCCTGGGCAGCTTTCAACACTCCCTGTCGACGTGGCGAGTACGAGTTCGAGACTGGCCAGGCTCTGATCGACAAGCGTAGACATTTCTACCATCTACAGTTCGCGGCCTGGATGAACACACAGCCGTACTGGAGGGAAATGCTCCTTGGCGACAAAGATCTCTTCAGATATGCGTGGCATGCGTTAAAGACAGATTTCGGCACGCCATTCAAATGGCTGACCAGCATAGGATTCTATGCCGAGCAACAGGACGGCGAGGGCTCAAAGCTGGCTTACTGTGGACATACCTTTGGACAGTCATTCCCGGATCATGACAAGGACAGTGCTGGCAGTGGCATCGCGTTCTTGCACGGCGGCGCGCTAAAGACTGTTGGAGGACCGCTGTTGGCTCGATTGAGGAAGTTGAAGGGCGGGATCTTCACGCATTTCAAACGGGTCAAGGTCGAGACGCTGGAAGATTGGTCGCAGGTTGAGTATGGTGTCACTTTGGAGCATTGGCGGGCTGGGTGGTATTACAATTTCACGAAGGAGATTAAGGCTGCAGACCTGCTGAGCCCGTCCGATGATTTCGACCTTGATGGCAAGCCGATGGGTGAAGCAGGGCTACAGGCCATGGAATTGGGCGAAGCAGATATGAATAAGGTCGTGTTGTGCACGGACTTTGCGTTCGTGGAGCCAAGACCGATTGCGGAACTTGGTGAGGATGCGACGAAGTTCGAGCAGCTGTATGAAGATATTGGTGGCTATTGGGCGATCGAATTTGGATATCATGGCTGGTAGAGCGCTTCATGACCTTGATGATGAGATGAGTGTTGAAAGCTTCCGCCGATCATTTCTCGTACCTTCGAAACACTTCTCTGCAATGGTGGAGTGTTGGCTAAGCACGAAGTACAAGAGTGTTTCGTGTTTGTGAAAGCATCGACTGGAGACCTCCCAAGACGTGTCAACGTTGGGCAAAGAACAATCCGATACTCTACGTAGCCTTCTTCCTACCCAAGCCAACACTGTCCGCAAGACGCTTGCTAAGCCGCACTGATGGCTCATCAATGTATGATGTGCCGAGATGCGCCGTGAAAAGGACCAGAGCCAGAATGCTAGTCCATTCTACCAACCATCTCAGCTGGATTCCTCCCGGCCCGTGTTCTGGCACAAGAAGCACACTATCCCACCACTTCGGCTCAGACATATAAGGGGTATTCCCAAGTGCTCTCCTCCATCGATCTCCAACACACATGAAAAGGGGCATGTGGACAATGTACAACATGAAGCTGACCTTGCCGAGAAATTGAATCGGCCGCAAGCACAGAATCGTTTGCAGGAAGCCAGTGTACAACAGACTAAGCACACATAAGGCGGCACCACAGCTCTGCCAGAAGCGATAGTAGTTCGCGCCGTCGTAATTGCTAGGAATGAGACTGGTCAGAAAACTCCAGCCCGTTGTCTGGGCTGAGATATCTTGGTGGCCATCATCTGCAGGCTGGCTGAGAAGATAGAAACCCCCGCCAAAGACAACGTAGGCTAAGCATGAGCGTACCCAGACTCTCGATCGCCATGAGGTCGGTGAGCCGCCGCTGGTGTCGCTGTGGATCAGGGCTATAGCAACGCCTGCAATGAAACAGGCCTGCCACCAGAGCGCCTTGTACAGCAGCACCAGTGCCACGCTTATCAGTGCACCTGCTGCATATGGCTTCGGAATCGGTCTGGAGGTATATAGCATCAGCAAGCCGTACACAAGCATTGATCCCTTCAGCTCCACAGGAATTGTCCACATGACAGGGTTGTAATGATAGTGATTCGGCACTTGAAGCCTTGGAAAGGGTTGAAGAAGTCGACGGAATGCTTGACGAAATGTTTCATCTCATGCCAGAAGGTGTCCTGCCGGTTGTACCAGAGTGCATCAGGATACACGTTGTGTGGTAGCCGCATCAGCAGTGCGATGATGAGTGCTACAGCGATACACGGTAGGTATAGCCTGACCGGCCGCCGAACAATCGCGGCCAACAGTTGAAGTCGGCACTGCTTCCATTGTGCAAGCCCAATCGTGCTGAGAGCCGATTGACTGAGAACAAAGCCTGAGAGGACGAAGAAGATGGCAACAGCGGCAGGTCCACCTTGGTAGATCAGGCGCAAGAAGGCTGCTCGAATGATGCCGTAACGCTCGTAGCTGGCGTACTCATTCGACTGGCCATTGTCACCCAGCAGGTGTTGATGGAAGACGCAGAGTGCCGCTATGCCGCGTAGACCATCCAGAAAAGCTGTGCTTGGTCGCTCAGGCTTGTTGCGTGCTGTTTTGCGTGGGGATTTTTCCTCGGCCCCGATCTTTTGCTGAGCCTCGATGTCCATACCCTCACTTGCGAAGGGGTAGTCTTTTTTGCTTGTGATTCTGCGCGGAGAGATCGTTGTTGCTGCTCACTTTGGTGATGTATTCGCCAAAGCGGTAGAGCACACTAGTCGTGGCTGAAATGCCGGTTTGTACGGCAAACAGGCGGAAGCTTCTGGCTTGCCTGAGTCGCAGGTCCCGTCCGCTGCATGATGCATGCATCAACCACATTATTCGCTATCGGCAGGTGAATCGCATTGTCCCACAATAGCGTCAACCACGTGCATGCTTGACACTCTGGCATGGTACATCTGGACACTGGGACATCTAAGGTTTCGAGGCTGGCTGAAAAGCGTCGTGCATAATCGATGTACATATCCACATCGGATGCTAGGATTCTGTTCGCTAGCTGCAAATCCGTATCGACGTGCCCAGAAACTTTGAGAAGACCAGCTTTGGTGGGCTATCATCCGAATGCGGATGAATACAGCTGCATTTGGTATCTGCGGCCAATCACTGAGTGACAGCTGTCATGCAACGGTCACTGTATGTCAGGCTTGAGAACGTTCACACATGAAACTCGACAGCGGCGTCATATCGATGGTGACGAAGTCGTCGCGAAACTGCTGAGGTACCAAAGAACATAAATTTGGTGTATTATAGGAAGTCGAACTTGAGGTTATCTCAAAGGCCGAACCCTGGCTGCTGGCTGAAGCTACTACAACACCCTCAGACAACACATGGTTCAAGCCACGCCGTCTGAGCTTCACTCGTTCTCATACGAAATTAATGCGCGCGCATCTACGACGCGGACCCCTACCGGCTGCTGCATCGATGGGATCTTATTAGACCGGACACTAGCACCTCGCTTGGATCCAAGCTGTGCCGGAAGCGTCAGCTCATCGTCCTAGACGGCATTCGGTGCTGCTTCTGGGTCACCGAGTCTAGAACTCATCGCTTTGCGCAAGTCCTATCATAATCGCCCCAGTACGATCAGGACGGCTAGACAAGCGTTCACGTCCTCGTGTCAACCCAATTCGTCGCCGGAACCTGATTAGGATGGCGAGCTGGCTGCTTTTGATCATCGGGCCTAGGCTTGGATCCTTCAGGCTTCATACTTCGGGCGAGATGGCACGTCGGTATTGCCGCAACCCTGGCCTATGCTGACGCAACGGTAACGCCATGTGTGAAGCCAATGCATGGCTGCTGGAACATTGTCGCTTGAGGTACAAGTACTCAGCAGGGCAGCCTGTGGAGACAAGTACTGAGCGTTTTTCGTGGCCAAGCCTCTATGCTAGCAATAACGTATTTTTTGGCTGGGGAGGGCGCTGCAGGCCTCGCGTTCTTTTGCTGATCAAGTTGACGCATTGAGATGAGCCTTACTTGAGCGTTGAAAGACTGTTAACAGGATGTCAAGCAGCCCTAGTCAAGGAGCGCGCTGTAAGAAAACTCATCCCGCAAGCTGGAGAAAACGCCCGGCTCTTGCTCCCACAGCCCGCTGGACGACAGCGATCGAGAGAGCGTGGATCTCCATTGCATCGTGATAAACGCAGCGCCGGTGAGAGATGCCTTGAACAAATCCCTCGGATGTCCAAAATCCTTGTCGCCCTGGACCGAGACGACTACTCCAGCATTGAGAAGCACCACGGCGCCATTTGGGAGTCGATAAAGTCCTGGAAGCAGTGAGGGACCCAGCCTATGGGGTGGTTCCTCGGCGGAGGTAAACTTGTTGATCTTCAAGGCCCGACTTCCTGTCGTCTTGAAAGATGGCGATGGTTTAGAGGCCGTCCGTGACACCTTAGCTGAACCCTTTCCTTTGCTCAAGCCAGCACCAGAGCGCTCGGCACCGGAATGCTCTGGTGAGCTCGGAAGGTGAGAACGCTTGCGCACGGTGCGTCCGCCGTGTGCGCCCTTCTGAAGGTTGCGCGCCGCGCTTGGTTGCGGATGTGCATTTTGGGGGAATCGTGTGCCGAGGCCAAAATCGAGAGACTTGTCAAAGTTGCCGCCCACAGCAGGTTGCGCGTGCCGTTCTCTCAAGGACCGTTGCAGTGTCTCGTCTGCCGAATCCGCCAAAGGGTTGCGCTCCATAGAGAGTTGCGCATTCTCTCCCTGAAAGTCGGCGCTCTGATTCAAGGCTGCTGCTGTTCCACCGTCGTCGCCTGGTGTCTCATCATCCGCCACGTTCGAAGCCGAGCTGCTTGCCGTATCGAGTTGCGCGGCCCCTTCTTCTTCATCCGAATACCATCCATCAAGCATCCTGACCCCCCGAACCTCCCACGACGCACCGGTACTCTCGCAAGTCGCGACTCACAGCCCCTTGGAATAGAACGGAGCATCTTGCGCCATCTTTTCAGCCCCTTCTCCAAACTGAGATAGTGGGCGTCCTGCTCCTCCAGTGCGTAAAGCTCTCGGAACTCGCTGTAGCGCTGGACCGTTGCTTCAAAGTGGCGCAGGGCCTCTGCTCTGGCGCTGGACTCTTCCTCCGAACCCCCATACAAAGAGTAATGCAAACCGCCACAAGCATACTCTCTCCTCTCTGCCAGAGCACGAACGGCCTTGTGCGCCCAGTGTTCGCTGCCTTCCAGAGAAATCTGTTGGCATGCCTTCTTTGCGCGGTTGAAGTAGTGCCGTAGCTCGGGAACTTCGATATCTCACTCATCTCAGAACGGCGTCAAGATCTGGAGGAGAGTTGCGCGCACAGCATGTTGCTGAGCAAGCGGCCATACTTTCGTCTTGCAGTCTTCAGCAAGCTCATCTTCGGTCACTCTGCCGTGCACAGAGCCAGTAAACTCCGTCTGCCACGCATCCTCTTCGAGTTCTAGCGGCAGGTCGAACTGGTCGTAGGCGAGACCCAGCAACGCAGCTCTCTGAGCGGCAGCTTCTCTGTTAGCTTTCCTGATCGCAGCGGCCTTCTTGGCTGCGACGCTGCGCTCCTCCGGAGTTCGTGGAGCCATTGTGAGCAAGATGGCGTGTCAATCAAGAGCCAAGGCATGGTACCGTCGTCGATCTGAAAAGGGATCAGCGTAGGAGAAGTAGTAGACGTGAGAAATATTTGCGAAGATCAGTGTTGCTCATTTACTTGCGGTACCCACAAAGTCATTCAACACAACCATCGTAGTGAATGAAACTTCAACTCGATCAGTCTATGATCAAGCCACCGTTATGCAGCCTCTCATGGTGCGCAACCTAGACTGGCAAGTGGAAGCTCATCTCGGTTGCAAGCTCGACTTTGGACGAAGTCGCAAGTTCCAAACTCCGCATGTCGCACACGACGAGGGACGTAGCATAACATATAGGTTGCGAATGGCAAAGGATGCCAGTGGCGCGTGCGATCTTGCGAGAGCAGCTTCGATCCAGCTCAGTCGTTGGTGACTTGCATTTGGCATTGTGGCTGGGCGCCTCAGTTGGTTGCCTTGTGTAGATCTGCTCAAAGGTTTGCATTCTCGAAGTCTTTAGCCAGTACTTTCGCTCGCATGTCTTGGCACACGAGCATCTCGAGAAATTTCTTGCCACGACTCCGCCCGGTAATTTGCAACTTGAACTCGCGATGTGGTTGCGCGCCTCAGTCGGTTGCTTAGGCACTGAGACGAAGATGTCTTCGGCAGGTCAACAAGAAAAGGGGGAGGTCGTGCAGGAAACCATTGGTGACGACTAAGAGCAATCGATTCTTCGCAAACGTTCCAAAACATTCTGCTTCCTCTACTGTCATCCCAAAAGTATTCACATCAACGAGTTGCTCGTGCCATAGCAGGTTGGGCGCCGAAGCTACCACATCTGCTGCGCTAGGTACGAATCCTTGCTCGGCGCAATGTCAAACGTTTCCTCCATCCCATCAGGGCTCGTTCCATGACAGGTTGCGGCGTCAAGTCGCACTGGCATGTGCGTCACTCCAAAGTCAACATCACCTGCACTCAAAGAGGCTGTGGCGAATGTGGAAGAGTCCCGACGTCTACTGCCGCAACGCATCGAATGACATCAGTCTCACGTTAGTAGTGTGGCGGATCATAACAGGATGTCCACACTCTCGACCCCCGATTCAACTCGATCAACAGACTGTACGACGCTCATCGTTCGTGCCCGAAAGAGCAGAATCTGCTGCACTGCTATGCAGTCTGGCATGGCCTCGTAGTAGCGCCGCTGCACTCCCGACTCAAGAGACAATGGCGGCGGGCGCCATGTAGTGCGCGTACCTTGCTCTTTACAGCAGATTGCACTCTTCGCAGGTGGCAGAGGAATGACTGGCGTAACTCAGTCTGCGGTACGTTCGGGGTGACAGTCAGATATCCGATCGCATGCTTTTGGGAGGTGCCCGTGGTTGCTGGCCGTAACGGGGTTTTCTCCTTAATATATGGAACAGCTGCGACTGCGCGCGCCTAGCTTGTGATGCGACACGCAGCGATGTTGTGACGTGCACTCGGAAGCCTAGGTCGCTTGGGCTAGCAGCTTGCGTGCTTGGGCTCTGTGGAAGTTGTGGCGTGAGCGATTGACTGCCTGCAAGGAAGCTGTGAACGCAAAGGCGCTGCATCCAACTGATGGAGCACAGGTCGCCGTCCATAACAATTTTGCGCAAGCAGTGAGCGCGATTTCAGAGGGTTCTGGAAGGCCTGGCCTGGGGATTTATTCTTGGCATGAATCTGTGAGTGCAAAGCCGACAGGCTGGATCTGAGTAGCAGCGGCTGTCGACCATAACAGACTTGCGCGAGTCGAGCGGAGCTGTCCCATGGTTGGCGTTCGGGAATTTGTTGTGAATCTGCCAAAGACGTATCCTCCACCGAGGAAATCTGGCTGCTTGCCACAGCGAGTTGCTCAGCCTCGCCCGGTGGAGGTCGATTGTAATAGAAGCTGCACGGGCACTGCCGCTCTCTTGCCTTGAAGAGTCTACGAGACACCCTGATCCTGTCTGGGCAGCATCAGGGATGCAGGTCCATGCCACAACAGGTTGCAGATCCTTGATGGGCGAAGGCAGGCTGTGATGATAGCTGCATTGCCGTTGGCAGTCTCACGCACTGAATGCTCTACGAGCCCGACGGGTGATATGTGAGTTGTAGTCTCCGGAACGCTGGACCTTTCCACATTGCAATAGCTCAATACTTAGGTATGCTTCTCACTCGTTGCAACACATCAATGCCAAGCCTACCTAGTATCCTTCGCCCCGTCGGGCATAATAATGGCGAGAGAGCTGGCGACGGCATCAAACATCCTTCAACGACTCGCATGCGCTCCTGCCACCAGCTCTCCGCTGCATTGGATCGATCACGCCCTGCACGTTTGATAGTAGTCCTGTCGCAATGATTGTGCGAAGCGCTGGTCCGAAACTGTACCCAAGTCTAACTTTCTCTGCATCTGCGCAGAATAACAAGACTCATGGAAGGCAGGAATTGCCAGCTTCGTGGTCAGTCCCTCGTCGCCAAGGGAAAGCCAAAGCCAGATCCTGCCCACTGCCAGAGGTGCGAGAGCTGATTCAGAACGAAGGCAGAAAATTGGGAGTCGATCGCCGCCAGGCAAGGGCCCGCCATATGTGTGCGGTAATGAGAGGCAATCATGCCACAGGCCCTTGGTGTTTATGCGGCATGGAGGACTCGGGTCCGGCCTTGTGCTATAACGGATTGCGGGACATCAGTGGGCCACAGTCGACTGTGAGGGAAAAAGTGTCGCCGCTTCCACGCCTCCCATCCCATGGGCTCGACGAGCCGGACTGATCGAATATCATTGTAGCCTTCGCTGTGCAATGAATGTACATAATTTGCGATGACTCAGCATAAAGCTTCATTCCGTGCATTGTGCCATGCGGCTGAAAGCCTCATTCACAACTTGTTCTCGCATTTGTTGAGTCATCCAGCCGTGTATTGCGTATTCACGTGCTTCAGTTCGCGTGCGGCAGTCTCGCACACGTTGGGGGACATAGCGATGCTCTATGTACCCTGCCGCTTGACGATGGTCAAGTAATCGAGCTCGCGGCATCGGTGAACGGTCCTTGCTGTGGACCCGGCGGAAATGACGGCACAACTGCTGCTATCATCAGGCTGGTACGGTCGAACAAAGTTCGTGCGGCCCTCGATACAGTGAATGGCGAACACAGCATATGAGTCGGCCGAGACACCCCTCACCGCGCCCCAGGCTCCAACGCCGCTATGGATATTGCCACAAGCAGCCAGCGGAGGCCTTACGCATGGGCATATATTGCGAATATCGCTTCATGCCAAGATTTCGTCGTGTTCTAGCGCAGTGATGACAACCTGGATTGCCGTAAGCTCCGTAGTGACCCAACCGAACGCAGGTATATACAAAGCCGGCGTCGTCAGGAGCATCGACCACGCCTCCAATCCATCCAAAAGTCATCATGGTAGCCTACGAAGGCTCCTTCTACGACGCCACGGTCGGCATGTCCCTCGGGGCTCTGCACGCTCTGCAAAACTTCCTCCTTGAGGCTTCCGACCACACTGACCCGACCTCGCTCCTCACCGCTCGCCTGGCACCCGACATGTGGCCTCTATCCTTCCAGTATCGGTACGCGTGTAATGTGGCCGAGTACATCAGCCGACTCCTGTCCGGTCATAACATCAAGGACGAACCGATTCCTGCCACTCCGACTGACACGAGCATCACCTGGGACGCAATTGGAGCACGTGTAGCTCAAGTCATCAAGCGGCTGGACGCGGTCGATAGAGACGAGGCGGGCCGTCTAGGTGACCAGGTGGTCGTGGAACCGTGGCGAGGTACAGAGCTGCCGCTGAAAGCACTGGTAGGAAACGCGAGTATGCCCAACGTGTACTTCCATACTGCAATGGCCTACGCGATTCTCAGGGCCAATGGCGTCAAAGTGATGAAACGGCACTGGGCGCGTGCTTTTGCGAGGAACTTCTTGCCTTCTGGTGCTTCGGCGAGGACGGTGGAGGATAAGCCCGGGGTTCCGACTGCTGGACATAAAGATCTCGGTCAAGGCTGAGTACCACATAGGATTCATACAGCCCATTCTCATTCTAGCCCGAGGTCTTTCGTGGCAAGGTCTTCTGCATGACGTATGGCTCGAGATTTCGCGGTCCAGGGGAGGAAGATCCACGTGAGCCAGCAGCGGAATTGGAACATCAGCCAACCTGAGTCCTTTTGCGTGCTCCAGCCCCACGTTGATTGTGCGTATGCCTCGTCCACACGGGGCCGTCGCAGGCGCTCGTATGCGGCGAAGCAGGAGCTGATTTTCTCTTCGCTGCTATCGATCAGTCTTGAGAAAACGCGACCGAGTACGATCGAGTCCTCGAGTGCGATACCAGCTGATTCGCCTTGAGGCGGCATCTGTAGACAAGTCAGTGGCTGGGTTTCTCCGCATCAATGAATGCTACGTACAGCATGAGCAGCATCGCCGATGAGGATAGTTCTCTTCGTAGACCACGTGCCCTTTGGTGGCAGCGTGTAAACTGGCCATAGACTCCAGCCATGACTTGCCTTGACCAGTTTCGAGACCCCTGGCATCTTGACATCGCCACTTAGATATGCCTTCTCGACCCTTGCCTTCAGAACCTCTTGCTCTCTGCCCGCGGCGTACCAACCTTCCTTCGACTTCACGTCCTCAGTCTCCATGACTGCACCCAGAAATTGCTTGGTCCGTGAAGGCTCGAAATAGCTGCACAAAAGGCTCCCACTGGTAGACTGGCAGAGGCCTGTGTCTTCCCAGCTGAGGTGGACACCGCCAGGCACCTGTGAGAAGCCACTGACGCCTGCGATGCCGGTGTAAGTCGGCTTGCGGTCGGGCTCCACGTGTAAGGAACGCACTGTCGAATGTATGCCATCGGCGCCAACGACAACGTCACTCGTGACCTGAGAACCATTCGTAAATCCGATCGTGACACCTTCAGCATGCTCGGTGAAAGTCGTGATGTCGATGCCGAATTGGATCTTGACATTGGGGAGTGCTTTGGCCGTCCGCATCAGAGCATCGAGCAATTCTGACCTGAGGATGCGTAGACCTTTGAAAGGTGGGTCACCAATGCCATTGCCATCCGGACCCGTGAACGAGATGGCGCCAAGGCTAGATGCAGTGTAGACGTTGAAAAGCTGAATGCTCCCGACGCTGTTGCCGAATCGATGCTCCTGTATGTGCTTGAGTACGTCAAGATGGTGCAAAGCCCGAACAGCATTTGGTGTGAGTCCGATAGCGCCCCCTATCGTTTGCGGTTTTGACCTGATTTCAAGGATCGTGATGTCAGGTGGTTCTTGCATCCATTTGGTAAGCGCAATGGCACATGATGTGCCTGCAATGCCTGCTCCGACTATTGTTATACTCATACTGGAAGATGTCGATGATGGTAGGCCCGGCGCCTGTGGTATCGGAAGTTGGAATCATTTTCGTGCAATTGGACATGAAGCACTCCATATACTGCGTTAAGATGCGCTTGTTGACGGTAGCCTTTACTGTGCTTCGTGCCATTGAAGTGCTCGTGTTCGGCTTGACTGCATGGTGATTGGCAGTCAGTTACGAGCTCCGGAACAGGCATGAAATATATTTGCCAGCTAAGCCAAGACCGGAAGCGTGACCCAGCAAGAACGCCCGTTTACACCATGGTGCGACTAGATCGCAATTCTGTCGCCATACTGCCGCAAGACACTCGCAGAGAGAGCATATATTTGGTGCAACAGAGCAATGAAGGTGCCAGAGTGCAACTAGAGAGAGGGCAGGCAGTACAATGTCTCTTGTCCTGCCACTATGATCGGGCGATTTGCAACTCTAGCTAGTTACAGCACGCTGTGTTGCCTCAGCTCTCCCAACATGAAGGGTCGAAGGCTAGACCGATCGTCCATGCCCTCCGACAAAGCATCTAGCCCAAGCCGGCCTTGTTGGTCTTGACAACATGCTTGATGTTATCGATACTGCCCTTGTTTCCGGCAGCGCCAATACCCATACCTGCCGACCAGCCCATCTTCTCCAGCAGGACTCGGCCCCTGTTTTCAGCACCGAGCTCAGGCGCAGCAGCACCGACAATGGCGCCATTCATGTAAGAAGCCGCTGCCACACCACCGCCACCACGACCGCCTCGAGGGACTGCCCCAGAACGGACAGATTTGGCAGCGTTTTTGTACGCATGCTTCCCAAAGAACTTGCGCAGATTCATAAGAGCGTCGACCTCCCAGATATCCTCGGCCGTGTATTGCTTGGTGAAGCTTGTCTTGTTCAGGACAGGATATCGACCAGCACCCTTGCCTTCCTTGCCGTGTGACCGAGATGTCAACTTCAGTGACTTAGCCAGACGATGCACGCCGGCACGTAGCTCAGCATCCATAGGCGTCAGCTCGAGCTCCTCTGACTCGCTGACCAAGAAATGTCGAATGCGAAGCTTGATGGCGTCTGGATTGCTGCCTTCAGCGTTTTCCAGCAGCATGGCCTCTCGCTCTGCCTGCTTCTCTCGCTTCCTGCTAGCCTTCTTCTCGCGATCTTTGGTCCAGGCGTTGACAAGACCTGCCGCCAGCTCATCATCGATACCATCCATATCATACGGAAAGTCACTCTTGCGGCCCTTTCGCTTGGGTCGTAGACTGGGCCGTTCCCACTCCATGACATCGAAAGCACCGTAGGGATCCTGCTCGAGTGCATCTGCGAATGCCTCAGCGGGTGGAAAGCTGTCTCGACCGCGCTTGTTTCTCTTGCTTCTTCCACGATTAGACGTATGTTTGGACGTTGAGAACGGGATGAATTCGTCTCCATTCATGAATTGATCGATGGTGAAGTCGTTCTCGTCATCGAGATCATCCAAGTCGTGGTCATTCCACATCTTGACCTCATCGCCGCCCATACCGAGTCGCTCTTGTCTGTCGAGTGCACGTGCGATCTGCTCGTCTGTCATCCTCGCGGTTCTCTCCATGATACGATTGTTCTCGTCTTGCTCGGAGCCAATGTCGTCGATAAGATCTTCCTCGTCTTCATCTTCTTCGCTCGAATCATCGTCGTCGGACACAGCCAGACGTTCATCGACCGAAATATCGTAGACCTGTATCAACTCCCTTACGCGCGCTTGCTTCAACTTCGCTGCAGGAACCCATCTAGCCTCATCGACGGACGTACCGGGTGTTGTCACGAGATACTGCTTGCCTGTGACACGCTCGCGATGTCGCAATATGCGTTCGGCGTCAACATCATCGGTCTCGTCTTCGGTAGTGCTGATATCATCGAAGGCATCCAGGTCTGCAGAATCCCAGCCATTCAGACCAGTCTCGACGATTGCCTTCTTCGTGCTCTTGACAGCTCGTAGCTGAACCTTGGCGTTGTCCAGACCATCGCTCTTGTTGAATCGAAAATGTTCATTCCGACGGTGAGGCTTTGCGGTCGTCGGATCTGCCTCTCCGTCCTTTTCACCACTATCCTCGTCTTCCTCGTCGTCATCCATGTCAAGGTTCTCGATGTAGTCCTGCAGATACGCATCTTCGTCCTCCTGCTCCTGACGTTTTCTCCGCTCATATCGAGTTTCCCATCGTCTTCGTGGGCGAGCTGCTGAGGGCTGTTGCTGAGGCATTGGCAAATCGGAAAGGGAAGACATCGGAGGGTGAGTGAGTACTTCAGGTGATCGAGGAATTGGTACTGGAACAGGTTGCTTGATTGATGGTTCGTGGTCGACCTGTGACTTCTTTTGCTCCTTGACTGGCATGCCTGGTTTTCGTCCCACGAACACCACCTCGTCCTCCGAAGAGGAGGCATTGCCGTCGGCGGAATTATCCACAGGCTGTTCTGTTGGCCCATCGGTCTGCGGGGGATCTTCTGTGGAGGCTGGCTGCACTGCCTGGTTCTCGACGAGCGCAGGCGATGGCTCAGCGTCAGATGTGTCGTTGTGCAAGCCATTGTCTACCTCGGACACGTTCTTGTCTTCTTCTAAGGACGACGATTGAGGCTCTTCACGAACGAGGTTTCCGGCACTAACGAAGTTCAAAGGCTTGTCTCGCAGGCGTGTGTTGGCCCATCCGAAAGCACCGTGCCGCTCTGTGTTCCTAGCTTCCTGAGCGAGACTGTGCGCAGGTTGCGGAGAGGAGCCATATTGCGAGGAGGCGAAACTCTGCCACTCGTTGACTGAGGATCGAGAAGAAATGCCTGTAGGAGGTCAGTCCGTCGTGTTCTCTGCTTGCAGAGCCGTCCGTCAATACCTTTGTGCGTGTACTTGTTGAAGCCTGACGATGGCGTACTCTTGCTACTGGACGGCTTGCGAGCTGCGCGAGACTTCGCCTTCTGCTTCTCGCGAGCACCCATGGCGATGGCGGGGTGTGGCGAGTCCTGTGGTACGCACGCCTAGGTCCCAATTATTCTGCAGGAAATTCTTGAAACAAAGAAAGAATGCCGCAGGTCAACGAATGAACGAACGTCGAAGTCTATGAACGGAAGGAAAGTTAGTCGCTGCCGTATGTGCGAGCACTTCGCGGTCCTACAGCTCAACCATTGTTTGAGTCATGATGTGACTGAAGATCGTCAATGCAGGCGCCAGATGCGCCCCCAATTCGAGCTGCACAAATCCGCTTAACTTTCCACTTCAGGGGCCGTCCTATCGGCGCTCGGGAGGGGCATTCCTGGGACCCAAAGGCCCGAGGCCACCTTGACCACACCCCAAGGCTCCCATCCACAGACATCATCGTTGATTGCCCCCATCACTTCTTCTCTATGCATCTGATCTCGTGCTTGTTTGCCGTCCCAGGTCAGCAATCGATACGCTGTGCTAGGAGCGTGCCTGTATACGGAAACCGACGAAGCCGATCCGCACGTATAGCAGCTGTCACCGCTCGTTGCCTATCGATTCACTGCCTGAGGTATCCCTGCCGCAGTAACTTCACTTGACCTCTCGCCCAGGCTGGTGTACTGGTACCCAAGCAGTGGGCTGCGACGAGCCTAGCGGACGAATACTGAGGTGGTCCCTCAAACAACCACTGCCTGGACTCGCCCATGAGACCGGTGTCATGAGTGACTATACGAAGCGCTTCGTGCGCTACTTCTACGACCCTCCCCCGAAGTATGATGACATGTCAGGAGCCTCGATATGGTTTCTTGGAAAGGAGTATCCTGCTATACCACCAAAGCCAGTGTCAACAACAGATCACGAAGACATAGTCGAGATAGAGTCTTCGGCAGACTCTCGCGACGCTTCAGAAGCCACCGCCTCCACGCAGGACGAGCCACAGAACACACCGGTACTACAACAGTCTTCAAGCGCGTTTCATGATGTGCAGCATGTCTCGAGTGAGAACTTGCCGTCACTGTCAAACGATCCAGCAGACGGAGGCTGGCCGCAACCCTTCCTCGATGACTTCGAATCAAGGGCATGGATGACATATAGATCCAACTTCCAACCAATACCCCGTTCGCAAGATCCGTCCGCCTCCTCTGGCATGAGCTTCTCCGTCCGACTACGTAGTCTAGCAGAAAAAGAAGGCTTCAGCAGTGATACCGGCTGGGGTTGCATGATCCGGTCTGGGCAATCACTGCTCTCGAATGCTCTGATTATGCTACATCTGGGCCGAGACTGGCGCAGGCGGCGGCAATCGCTACTGCAGCCTATATCGACAGAGAGCATCGACAGTACAGCACCAACGCAGCCCTCACAAACAGAGTCATCCATCCTCTCACTCTTCGCCGACGACCCTTCCGCGCCATTCTCCATCCACCGCTTCGTCTCCCACGGCGCCACCGCCTGCGGCACCCATCCAGGCCAATGGTTCGGACCTAGCGCCACAGCATCCTGCATCGAAGCGTTGACTTCCTCCGCGCTCCCCTCAGCTGGCCTGCGCGTCTACGTGACCCCATCGTCCAGCGAAGTCTTCGAAGACCGCTTCCTCAGCATAGCCTGCAGCGATGTCACCAACCCAGAGCCCTCCACCATACAACCAACCTTGATCCTTCTCGGCATTCGCCTGGGCATCGACCGCATCACACCAGTCTACCACGCCGCCCTAAAATCCTTCTTCACCTACCCACAATCACTCGGCATCGCCGGCGGCCGCCCTTCCTCGTCACACTACTTCGTCGGCACGCAAGGCGACCTCTTCCTCTACCTCGACCCGCACGAGACACGGCCTGCGCTGCCTTATCATGCAAAGCCTGAAGAGTACACACAAGAAGAGATAGATACATGCCACACGCGCAGGCTACGAGGGCTGCGGATATCGGAGATGGATCCCAGCATGCTGATCGGGTTCCTGATTCGCGATGCGGAGGATTGGGAGGACTGGAAGAGGAGGGTGAACGAAACGCAAGGGAAGGCGATTGTGCACGTATATCGAGAAACACCACCTGGACGAGAGGGCACGATGACGGAGAGGAAGGAGGCCGTTGATGAGGTCAGTACTTTTGATGACGAGGAGGCCGAAGAGGGCGATGATGCTGCCACTGTCACTGGGAAGGATTGAACGGCATAGTATTGCATACGCGCTCATAATGGGTGGCTTGATGGCGCTGGCTTCATGGGTTTACGATAGGATGAATACAGCATCAGCTACACAGCGAAGGACAACTGCAAAGAATGCAAATGCTTCAAATTCTGCTTGTTCACCGATCCAACGTTCGCTTTCTTCCAGCAGAGTAGACCACTGACGCTGCGCGGTCCGAAATGCTCCACCACATCCATCTGACCTGACCTTGGCCCAGTTTGGCCGGCAAAGTCGGTGGCGCATTCACTCCGGCTAGCGTGTCAGGACGCGTCAAAATCAAAACATTGCGAAGCAAGGCACAAAGAAGCAGATCAGGACAGTGACGAGGATGTATTTTCAGAATTCATGCATTGATTTGGTATCTCTGAATCTCAGCGAGCAGCCTCCAACTCCCATGAGAATCTATCTGCATGCCGTATGATGGTTGTCCATATCCGATATTGTACAGCTCGTAAACCATCATGTTTGCGCTGCATGAAAGCTGAAAATGAATGATGAGGCAGAGTGTGTGGTATTCTGATGAGCCTTTTCTTTCATCGTTGAGCATACTCTCCATAGCTCAAATCAAAGACTCAGATCCATCTCCGTGTCGCATTCGTAATAGCTGAAACCCGCAAAAACACCGTGTTGATCATTTCGATCATTGTTCCCATGTGCCACAACCCCATTGCATGATGAAAAACCCAGAACCCAAAATCGAAAGCAGCAATGCAATGACTTGCATCAGCTTACTTTGACTGAGATGAGTACTTGGTGACAGCTTGGTGCCCTCAGAGACAGCGTGCTTGGCCAGCTCACCGGGGAGGATGAGTCTGACGGAGGTCTGGATCTCTCGCGAGGAGATGGTGGACTTCTTGTTGTATGCAGCAAGCTTGGAGGCCTCAGTGGCGACGCGCTCGAAGATATCTGAGATGAAATGTTAGGCCATGTTTTGATACGCGTTGAGATTGGACGCGACTTACCGTTGACGAACGAATTCAGGATGGACATAGCACGGTTGGAGATACCAGTGTCGGGGTGAACCTGCTTGAGGACTGTTGATGACGCGTTAGATGAAATTCTGATGAATTGAGATGGCGATCAAGCTTACCCTTGTAGATGTACGAAGAGTAGGTCTCCTTCCGGGTCTTGCCACGCTTCTTCTTGTCGCCTGAGGGAGCAGCGGCGGTCTTCTTGCCGGCCTCCTTCTTCTCAGCGGGAGCCTTGCCAGCTGGGGCCTTGCCAGCGGTGGTGGGCTTCTTCTCAGCAGCGGCTTTGGGAGGCATTTTGATGGATTTTGCGATTTGAGAATCGAAAAAAGATCTGAGTTGAGTAAGAGGATGAGTCTGATATGACTTGATGGATGGATTTGGTATGCGATGTGGTATGTGGATGGATGAAGAAGAGAAAGGGTAAGACGCGGTGTAGAGATGGGAAGAGGCGAAGTCTTATAGCGGGAGGTGCGACTGGCAAGTTGATCGCGAAGGTGGGTTGATCTGAGTGCAGGCAGTTGCGGGTGAGGTTGATTAAAATTTGCTTCAAATGGCAGGCACATTCTTTTGCGGGTGGCAGGTATGATTAAGAGCTAATTCGAGTCGCTATCAATACGCCCCTGTTTGATTAGCGGATATCAGGCTATCAGAGCTCATTTTGCTTGTATTTACGCGCTATTACTTACAATACTGGGCGCTTTGGGTGACATTCAGCCAAAAGACGGAGATCAGTGCGGCCGCGGCCCCGACTTCCCTTGGAGAAGCACTCTGATTGGCCACAAATGGTGTTGATTCAATCGCGCCTTCCTTTTTCATGATCTCTTGCACCTGCACCCTTGGCAAATCGGGGTTGATCTTTTGGATTGTATGCGGCAGGCACGTCAGCCCGCGCTCGTGTTTATAACTGCTACTCTTCTCCCACCACACTCGCCCAAGTCTTCTCCCTTTCCCATCCATCACTTCTATCGCCAAACTTCATCGATCAGTCTTACACGTCTTCCATACACATCAACCTTCTACTTTCAACCCAAATCCAAAACCAAACTCATTCAAAATGACTGGCGGCAAATCTGGTGGCAAGGCCTCTGGCTCCAAGTCTGCTCAATCGTAAGTCTACACAAGCGTTGCGCGCATTTGACGCGTCTTCTACCTCAAACAACACATACTGACTGCAATCACAGCCGATCCTCAAAGGCCGGCCTCGCCTTCCCCGTTGGTCGTGTCCACCGTCTCCTCCGCAAGGGCAACTATGCTCAGCGTGTCGGTGCTGGTGCCCCAGTCTACCTCGCAGCTGTCCTTGAGTACCTCGCTGCTGAGATCCTCGAGTTGGCTGGCAACGCCGCCCGCGACAACAAGAAGACCCGTATCATCCCTCGTCATCTCCAGCTCGCCATCCGCAACGATGAGGAGTTGAACAAGCTCTTGGGTCACGTCACAATCGCTCAAGGTGGTGTCCTGCCCAACATTCACCAGAGTAAGTTTGAACCACTCGATCATGATCAGCAATCATCTAACATGTTCTTCAGACCTTCTCCCCAAGAAGACATCAAAGGGTGGCAAGAACCCCAGCCAGGAGTTGTAATTGCCTTTTGATGTTCAAGGTGCTGGGTTTTTTCAAGGAGTTCACGAAATGCAATCACATGGGGTTCCGGGGTTGGGTCAAGCCGAAAAGGCTTCTGAGATTTGAATTTCCAATGGGTTGTACATCACATCCAAGCTCGCTTCATGAACGGCATGGGTACAGGATGTGACAGACGGAAGCATGATGAAGACATGCAGATCGAGGCAGCAATACCTTGCTATGCTTGATCAAACAACACTCAATCGAATGAGCCATAGATACCATTGCTAACGATTCGTAAATGGCACATCATTCATCAACCTATTCATGAGACTCTCCTTGATCCTCGTGCGCTCTTCTATCTCAGTAGCATCTGAAACGTGGAACCTTGGGAACAGTCACGAGGTAGCCATATCAGCAATGCGAGAACCGTTGTCACACAGCGTGAAGACTGGACGCACAGATCGCTCGGCGTGAGTCCACGCAAGGGTTCTGACGGGAGGATATTCCTGTCACGAAGCAGATGACCGACAGAGGTAGCGCAGATATTGGAAGTTTCTGTGTGTCAAGGATGAGCATCATGGACAACGCGGAGTCCACGCGAGCATGAAAGGGTGTCGGCCGCATCGATGACGTGTTCCTAGCCTTGAATATAACATGAATGGGAAGCACATAGGGGTTCGACATCTGAGCTGTTGAGGCGGACAAGCAACTGAACGTCGCTTCCAATACATCCACCGTCTCAGTAGCAGCCAAATGACAGTTGCCGAGCCCACGCGATGTGGCGGTCTGGTCATGTAAAAGCGCCAGCATTGAAACCTTGGAGTAGACCTAGTGGCGACAGCATGTTGGAGCAGTAATGGCCGTTGGTAATGATTGCGCAATTCATTGATTCGGTATGGCAGTATTCCCCCTCGAAATGCACTGGTATGCTGCACAATGCGATCTCAAAGCCCATGTCGCCCACAACATCTGCCACTCGCTCGTCTACCACCCAGAGCAGTCGTCCAGTTCCCTCATAATTCCTTGGTGATTTCTCTATCCGGTGGCGGCAGATCTGGCGGTGGAAGATTGCGCTCGTATTTCGAGCCTATGATCGAAGTCAGAGAGTGCCTCTCGGTCAATAGCAGCAGCTCGATCTTACCTCCTGGTGCGCTTGGGGGTCTGTATGGGTCGGGATGCTTCCATTTCTCTAACAGCTTTTCTGTCTCAACGAAGAGTATCTATGTATCTCGTCAGTCGCATTGCCTCTCATTGTATGATCACCGGTCTCGTCGATGGCTTGGACGTACTCTTCTCTGTCTAGGATCATTGATGTTTCTGTTGGCATCGAATAAGGAACGAATGTAGACCGCCTGCCCTCGCCACAGGTTCCGCTGGACCGCCCAATCCAACGCCAACTTGAGCGACTTCCTGTAGAGACTCCTGTATGTCCTGTCAGCCCTTCCATGCGACTGAGAGCAGTTTCTGTACGGACCTCACAGCCTTGACGTGGGGAGTGACTTGTGACATAGTGCCTGCCGGGCCGCGCTGTAGCTGGGCCGCGCAGCTTTGAGCGACCACAAAGGAGCTCCTCCTAGAGCCTCCAGATGCCACAGATCCACCTCCACAGTTCACCAAGTCGTGCAGGTGGTATTTTGTGTATTGGTGCAAGCTTGAGTGATCTCAAATTGGGCGACTCGGATTGGAAGGACCTCTGAAGTCGAGGTTCTGGGGTTGCGTCTTGGCGCGAAATTGGAGCTCAGTTCCGCTGCCAGTTGCAGCCAGCAGCGCGGAGGCTCGCCGAACAAACACCTCCTGTAGCTCAGTTCAAGAGCTTCCTGTCCCGGCTCATATTCGTTGCGCGTTATTGTTTTGGTGTTGAAGCCTCCCTACATCTTCACAGGTTTTGTACAGTGCAAGTGTTGAGGTGTGCTCAATTGTTGCGATTCTGCATTTCCTCACATCTCCAGCGCATGCCCGGGAAGCGTGTATTGAAGCTCTTCTGAGCCCGGACGTCTCCTCACTCTGCAATATGGCCAGTCTACGGTTACGACGGGTACCTGCCCTCTCTTCGAGCATCGGAGTACCACGGCGGAGCTATGTTAGAGCATACAGCATTCTCAGAACCTCAACAGTCGCCTCAAAACCGCAGTTTCAGTCACTCAAAAATGCCTCGTATCCAGCCTGCTCGTCAATACCACAACTACGCCTGTTCAGCACCACCCTCACACAGTATGACACCACCGTCAAGGTACCGCAGATGGCCGAGTCTATCTCGGAGGGCACATTGAGCTCCTTCTCGAAACAGGTCGGTGACTACGTCGAGCAAGACGAGGAGATCGCGTCCATCGAGACCGACAAGATCGATGTGTCGGTCAATGCGCCCGAAGCCGGCACGATCACAGAGCTACTTGTCGGCGAAGGAGACACCGTTACTGTCGGTCAAGAGATCGCCAAGCTAGATCCTGGCTCTGGAGGTGGCGGTGGTGCGAAGGAGGCTTCATCAGAACCAAAGGAACCTGCATCGAAAGACCAACCTACTAGTTCAGATCCTGAGCCGAAGAAGGAGGAACCTAAGAAGGAAGAGCCAAAGAAGGAAGCTGCTCCTCCGCCGCCCAAGAAGGAGGAGAAGCCTGCGCCGCCCAAAGAAGAGAAGAAGGCTCCTCCACCAAAACAGAGCGAGGGCAAGCAGGAGTCGAAAGGCGTCGAGTCGCCGTTTGGCAAGGGCAGCCGCAATGAGGACAGAGTGAGTTCGCCGTTCTGAGTACAGTACATGGCTAACATCGCAGGTCAAAATGAACCGCATGCGTCTACGGATAGCCGAGCGTCTCAAGCAGTCACAGAACACCGCCGCATCACTGACAACATTCAACGAAGTCGACATGTCCAACATCATGGATTTCCGCAAAAAGTACAAGGATGAGATTCTAAAGAAGACGGGCGTCAAGCTGGGATTCATGAGTGCTTTTGCCAAGGCTGCCGTACTGGCATTCAAGGAGGTTCCCGCAGCAAACGCTTCCATCGAAGGACCTGGTGGCGGTGACACCATTGTCTATCGCGACTACGTCGACATCAGCGTAGCCGTGGCTACTCCCAAAGGTCTCGTCACTCCTGTGGTGCGCAATGCCGAGAGCATGGAGATGGTTGAGATCGAACAGAGCATTGCCGATCTTGGCAAGAAGGTGAGTAAGCCGAGCCCTGGTTGTGACTAAGTTGACCCCTTTTAGGCTCGCGATGGCAAATTGACTATTGAGGACATGGCTGGCGGCACCTTCACGATCAGCAATGGCGGTGTCTTCGGCTCGATGATGGGTACTCCTATCATCAATTTGCCGCAGACTGCTGTCCTCGGCTTGCACGCTATCAAGGACCGACCGATGGCCATCGATGGCAAAATCGAAATCCGGCCGGTACGTGTGTCGCCTTCCGAGAAGTGGCTCCGCTGACTTTGGCAGATGATGTATCTGGCTCTCACCTATGATCACCGACTGCTTGATGGGAGAGAAGCGGTCACCTTCCTGGTGAAGATCAAGGAATTCATCGAAGATCCGAGGAAGATGCTTCTGGCGTAGACTAGCCCTGGCCGTTCATCCACTGCTGCCGCTCATCCCTGGTGCTGTAAATAGCGAAGCGAATCGGGTCGAGCATGTGCACTGGTTGTTTTATTCTATCAGACTCGCACTGACCCTGTCTATCCAAGATCATCGGATATCTTCGCAGTGGCGGGAGCGCGATCAAGCGGCGGCAAATGCACACTTTCAAGCGTTTTTTTATTCCTGCTCCTTCCTCAGCCTGCCGTCGACTGCTGCTGCCAATCCATACAAGCAGTCTAATGTTGGCGTAGCGACTCCTAGTCTCTTGCCTTCCCTGACAGCATGGCCCAGAATCACTTCAACTTCCATCGGCCTTCCTGCTTCCTTGTCCCAATACATACTGCTGTATAGCTTGCCAAGTGGCCTCACCCTGTCGAGCAGCTCGTCTGCTAAAGAGTCATCAATGTCAGGCACGCCCGATGCCTTCGCAACAGCGACTGCCTCCAGCATCATGCTTCGTGTTACTGGCGTTGACACATCCGAAGAGGCTAGCCAGTACTCCGTGTCGCATCCGGTCTGTTTCCAGATCAGGTCAGTATACGAGCAACGAACGTCCAGGGAGGGGGCGAATGAAGCAGCTAAATGACGGCACCGCGTCCGCGTTGACCGCTATTGCTTACCAAAGAAGTGATCGAGTTCCAAGCCATGTTCCAGATCGCCTTCTTCCACCGCGCGGTCTGGATATGCTCCGGCACAGCGATCGGTGTCCCACCAGTAACGAATAGCTCCTCCAGCTCCTTCAGCCGGCTAGTTTCGGTCTCCGTCGGGGCGTCGGGCCTCTGTGGATGCAGACCCAGCTCTGTGTACTCCGATGATCGGTGCTCAACGAAGCCAGGTTGGACCTGCCGTCCACCGACCCAGACCACGCCACTCAGAATCGTACTGTTGGGATAGGCCTTTTGGTAGGGAACCTCGTTACCGACACCATTCTGCATAATGGCGAAGGCAGTCCGTGACTCGTCCACTGCTGGCTTGAGCTGTTCGAGCACAGCTTCCACATTGACGGCTTTGTTGCAGCAGATGATGTAGTCATACGTCTGCTGCGCCTCTGCTGGGTCCCGAAGTACTTTGTGTGGGTAGTACGTGTGCGTCCCGTGGTTTGCGGAATCGATCGTCAATCCGTTTGCCTGGACCGCTTCATAATTCGACCGGGCACATACTGAGAGCACCACTCGTGGATTTCGTGACAGGATGAACCCGTAAAATGCACCGATTGCACCAAGGCCGTACAGTAGGACCTCGACGGGTCGCCGACCTGCATCGCCCATGATGGTTTATTCAGGGTAAGGCGATAAGATGCACTTAGCCTCGACTGGTTTTGGCCGTGTGCTTCTTGGTGGTGTGAGTCGTCCGCGAGGTTGACTATATATGCTGGTGCAAGAGGCGGATTGCTGTTTACTTATCTGTGAGATTCCTGACGATGACAGTGTACGTGTACTGGGCAAGGCGCGCCTTAAAGTGCCTCACGATCTCTCTGGTCCCACAATCAGATTCCCGAAGTTGCAGACGTTGGCCAGTGGTCATTGGGCTGTCGTATGGCCGTTGACAGCTCTCGCTACTTATGCGGACTGGACACCGCTGGCAATTCGAGCAAGGTCGAATCGGACGTGTTATCACGGTTGGCATCGGTACTATGTTCTTTGGTTACATTTATATTCCAAGATAGTACAATTACATCGACACCTTCCGTATTAGCTCAGCCTTCAAGCTACTATGCTGGCTCGAAGCAAGTGATTGAGGCTAGAATTGCTCTTCGATCGTGCACACAACTGAACGACAATCATCCCAAGGGTGCACAACGTCGCCGCCATCATAGCGAGCGATGACCACGCCGGACACAATATCCGACGTCCCGAGGCACGATGAACGGCATCGGTCATCCTTCTCCAACTCCTACCCACTGATATCGAGCGCAAACTTCCAACAATCAGCGGAGATGGCATCTCGTCGTGGGCTCATACGAGCGGTGCTGCAGGAGGTGTCGTCAAGATGGTGCTGCTCAAGTCTCGACATCCGGACCTCGCATGTGGGCGATACCTGACCTCTCAAGATCGAAGCTGACGTATCACAGATCCCACAGATGTGACGACCTGGCAATGGCTGTTTGAAGACCCGAGATACTCACCATTATTGAACAAGACGCGGTCGAAACCGCTAGGAGCCTACATCAATGCCGTGACTCGTGAGCAGCTCGACTACCAGCAAGTGAAGGATAAGGCCACGGCTCTTAGCACCGTCCTGGTGCGCAAATATGGCCTCCAACCCGGGGAGGCCGTCTCGCTATTCAGCACCAACTCAATATGGTACCCAGTGGCGATGTGGGCAGTGATCAGACTAGGCGGACGCGTGAATGGTGCATCGCCAGCGTACACGGCTGAGGAGATGACACATGCCTTGAAGACAGCCAAGTCGAAGATACTCATCACGCAGCCAAGCGCTTTGACGGTCGCGCTCGCAGCTGCCGATAGTGCTGGTATACCTCACTCGAATGTGGTGTTGCTGGAAGGGACCGCCGATGGATTCGTCTCGATACAGGACCTCATCGAGCAGGGACAAGGCATGGATCCCATCCCGTCATGGCGAATACCCGCCAATACGGACAATCGCAAGGTCTGCGGCTATCTCAACTTCTCTTCTGGCACGACTGGTCTGCCTAAAGCCGTTATGTTGTCACATCACAACATCATCGCGCAATGTATGCAACTGCAACAGCTTCAGCTCATACCGCCAAGCGGCTATTCCATCCTTGCCGTCATGCCTTTGTTTCACATCACTGGTGAGCAGAGCCCACTGCCGTACCCTCGTTTGACGAGTCCATACTGACACAGCCAAGGTCTGGTGCGATTCTGCACATACCCAATCCTCCTCAACGGCGATTCCGTCATGCTTCCGTCATTCACACTCCCTGGCATGTGCCAAGCTATAGTCGACTTTCAAATTCACGAGCTGATCCTGGTTCCGCCAATTCTCATCCGCCTCGTCCGCGACCCTATCGTTTCCAAGTATGACCTGCGATGTGTGCAGCGCTGGAGCAGCGGTTCGGCGCCGATCTCGCCGGGCATCATCAAGGAACTACAGCAGAAGTTCCCCTGGACAGGCTTCCGACAGGGATACGGTGCGACGGAATCCACTGCATGCATTTCGTGCCACCCACCTAGCCACTACGATTATAAGTACGCTACGACAGGGGGGCTACTGGTGGCGAATACGGAAGGTAAGGTCATCGATATCGACACGGGCAAGGAGCTTGGGATAGGAGAGACAGGCGAGATCTGTGCAAGGGGTCCACAAATCGCCATGGGCTACCTAGGCAACGATGCAGCAACAAAGGAGAGTTTCGATGCGGATGGATACCTGCATACTGGAGACGTTGGACGTGAGTCTACTCCCTTTGCGTGAGCCTGAACCATGGGTGATGTATCAGATCGTCTCGAAGCCCGTGCGGGGCGCCACTATAATCGAAGCTATCCCAGCGGCGAGTTGACGATTGCCTGGCCTCGAGCCCATATTCCCTCCACTACCTGTCGCGATGCTCAAGGTTCCTAGTGCAGGCTGACCAATACCGGCAGATTTCGACGAAGAAGGACTGATACACATCGAGGATCGGATCAAGGAGATGATCAAAGTCAAAGGTCTACAAGTCCCTCCAGCGGAGCTAGAAGATCTCCTGCTCACACATCCTGACGTCGAAGACTGTGCAGTACTGGGCATTAAGGACGAATATAGCGGAGAGAAGCCCAAAGCGTTCGTGGTGCTGAAGAAGGGCGTGGTGGAGGACGTGGCACAGGGGCATAAGGTGTTGAAGTGGGTCAAGGACAACAAAGTCCGGTACAAGTGGCTGGCAGCCATCGAGTTCGTGAAAGAGGTACCGAAGTCGCCAACGGGAAAGCTGCTGCGGAGGGTACTGAAGGTGAAGGAGCAGAAGGGTGAAGGCCGGGGTCTTCAGGTATGGGAGGAGAAAGCGAGGCTATAGACGAACACTCCTGTATCCTGATCATTCGCCTTCGCGTGGAGTTGCAATGCTCCTGCCTACTTCTCCATGGCTCTTGCTAGGACTCTGCTCTTTCTCGCTGATACCTGGCTCTAGTCCCGCGTCGTGCTTGCCTTCAACCGCGTGCTTGTGGAGACTTAGGTCCGCATCACCTTCCTTTGGCCCCAAATGATCCGTGAATGCTAGATCGTCTCCAAACAAAGCCGCCATCTCCTCAAGCGTCTTTCCCTTCGTCTCTGGATAGAATATGAAGAAGCAAAAAGCGGCCACTGCATCACAAGCGATGAAAACAGAGTAGTAGCGCCACGAGATCGCGGCGAATGCTTTGGGGGAGAGCTGGTTGAACAGCAGGCCTGTCGCGGTGCCGAAGAAGGCGCAGATGGCAGTAGCTCTCGAACGAAGAGCTGTGGGGAAGATCTCGCTGATGTAGACGAGCTGTAAGGCATTATATCTGGTGGAGAACCAACGGTCAGTACGATTAGCCTGGTGATAGGAGCTTGCCACATACCCGAGTGAGAAGATGAAAGAGAACAAGAAGATCCAGGCAATCGCGAAGCCTTGTCCAACTTTATTGTTGCTGTTCGAGTAGTACTTCGAGAAGACCATGATGAGGATCATGTCAATCACAAGGGCGATGGAGGTGTAAGCTAGAGGCTTCTTGCGTCCAACTTTGTCGACAAACGTCAGACAGATGGCGTTCGCGATGACACCGACCATCCCGAAGCCAGCGGAGGTCCAGAGCACTGCACGGCCTTGAATCCCAACGCTGCGAACGATAACTGGTTAGCCTCGTCCCGGGAAAAGGCTGTGTGCTCGAAGGAAAGATTGTACAGTCAAGGATATTAACTTCTTTGTCGGTCCAAGACATGTGCTCGGGCAGTCTTGAATTTACCGCTCATTTCCGGGAACAAACTTAACTTAGCCACGGGAGAGCAGCTTACCCTTCAAAAAGTGACGTTTGATAGTAATTAACCACGTTCACACTATTCGCATTAGCAAAGTTTCCAGGATAGGTGCAGGACATACCCAGTCGTCTGCAGGAAGACCTGAAGGCCGATTCCGAGTATTAGACGATAGCGATAGCTTGTTTTCGAGAACAACGACCACCATGACTTGATTGCCACTTCTCGCTCGTACTCTATCTGCTGCTTCATCTGCATATACTCCGTGTCACAGAACCCAGGGTCTTCCTTGGCGATGTCGGCGTGTAGTCGCTGAATGACTTTCCTGGCCTTTTCGTCTTTGCCCTTGTATACGTACCATCTCGGCGATTCGGGCAGCCAGAACAGGCCAATAATTAGAACGACGGCTGGAACGCACTGTATGCCGAGAGGGATCCGCCAGGCAGCATCGCCTTCCGCATATGACCCAAAGAGACCCATCCAGTTGCTCGAAGCATAGCCGATTGAGATCATCTGAGTTTGAAGGCCTACAATGATTCCCCGAATCTTCGGCGGGGCGATTTCTGCATTGTAGATGCTGGCGACGGAATAGACGAGTCCGATGGCGACTCCAGCGATGATTCGACCGACCAGAAACATCTCAATGTTGACCGCCGCCGTCTGCAGCACAGCTCCGATTAACGCCAGCGAAGTCGCAAGCCATATGGTCAATTTGCGACCGAGAAGGTCGCCCAGCCATCCGCCCAGCAAGTTGCCGACACCTTGTCCGCCACTGTAGGTCGAAACGATTGCTCCTGTCAGATCTGGTGAAGGATTGTTGAAGTAGGTCGGGAATGCAGCTTGTCCGAGGGTTGTGCTGATGATCCCGCTATCGTAGCCATAGATCAAAGAGCCGACAGTGGCGAAGACCGCACAGCGCACTGTGAAGCCGACGCCCATGGTGGCCGTGTACCACGAGGAAGCATTGAAGAAACGACGATGGCTCTACCCGTGGGCTTGCCAGCTTTTGAAGACTTCATGCCGGCGTTTGGGTAGGATTCTGTTTTGGCCCCCATACCAGCAGTTTTCCAATGATGACTGGGAGTGGACGTCATGGCGGATACTGGTTACAAAGCTTATGGTGCTTGTTATGCTGGGGCTAAAGCTTCGCCCCGCAAAGCTATCGAGATGGGAAAGCGCCGATCGCTGAATCAAAGCTGACAATCCAGCAAGGCGGTGGAGCAAGAGCCAGGCGTTCTCTGTGACTCCGCGTACATTTCTACAGCGCCCTCCCGGACTAGACTTTCTCGCTACCCCGTCCCTTGAATTGTGAAGCTCATATGGGGCTCATGTCAAGACCGCCGAAGTGATTAGCTAAAGAACAAGAAGCCTTCAGCGCCGTCCGAAACCACAAATCCAGAATGAGTAGCACACAAGCCTGGTCACGAAGAACGCCAAGTACTTGCGTCCACTGCCTGCACAGTCTGACGGTAGCAACTCTCTGTCACATCCTTCTTACTGGACGTACCACCGAGCTCGACGATCTTGGACCACATGACTCTGCTAACTTCAACGAGTACTGGTCTCTTGCTGCGTACACTCGAGCGTGCTGCTGCTAGCAAGAGCGCCATTCCAGAGCTCGACTGAGCGCTGGTCGTCCTTCCATCCCAGTCTCAACATGAGCTCCGTGCCATCGACCAGCAGATCGATCGTCGACTGGCCCTTTCCGCAAGGCGAAGGTGATATAGCCGCCGGCTTCAACAGCAGCATGACGCCGTCAACTCCAGCCATTGGCCCGCCCAATTGATCTGTTGCTATTCTCCAGTTGTCGCCCCATTCACCGATCCAGTCCTTCCACTCTTCGCGGATAACCGTTCCTGCCGGTGCTGCGAGAGGAGCAATGGCATCCCCGCCACCCGAACTGCGAACCACGAGCGGCCAATTCTTCAGGTAGCAAATTGCGGCAAACAGTTTGAAGACTACTGGTAGCCCAACTGCTGAATTAGTCATGATAGCGATTCCCGACCGCTTCGGTACCGGCTCGTCAATTTCACCATCCTTTGCATTCCAAGGCAGATCTTGAAACCCGGAGACAAAGCACTTCCAACCCGGCACTGCAAGTCTGATTAGCCTTGTCTTGCTACAAGGGTGTATGCTCCAAGGCAGGATCGTGAGGTCAACGAGAGCAGCTGTCATCCCGAAACATACGCTTAGGCGGCCTTCAAAGTCATGCTCGTTTCCGGGCACACGTTTGGCCATGGGAGAGCAACTTACTATTTCCACCAGTATGGCAGAAGCCTTTCGACCCAATGAACCAGCCAAGCGCTATATTCTGAGTGACTCTGGTGAGCATTGTCTGAGCCGTGCTCTTTTGGAGAACTCCGGTACCGGCTAAGGAGTCTTGCACCGCCTTGACGAGTCTCAGCAGATCTCTCGGAGTCGTCCACAATCCGGCCGCGGCCTGTTCAGGCTGGCAATGCCACTTGTACTCTGTTTCGGTATACCTGTTGCGCCTGTCAGAACGGGTACTTAGTCGGGAAGGACCAGAATCGGGAGAGTGATGTTTACGATCTAGGATGCACGTACCCATGGTAGAAGCAGCGGCTGACATTGGTCTCCTCAGGCGAGAGCTGGTAGAAAGATCGAGTCATCTCCAGTGGGTCGAGGATGTACTTCTTCATGATCTCTGGGAGGGATAGCCCGGTGGCTTTCTCCATGATACATTGGAGCAAAGTGATGCCGCCGCCAGAGTATATGAACTCGGCACCTGGCAATGAAGAGAAGGAAATTTTCATGGTGTTGCCCGTGCCTTTGAGCAGGGTGGCAACATCAGGCACATCTGTCCCATACGGATAGCCAGGGAAGCCAGAGATAGACAGTCCTGCCGTGTGGCTCATGAGTCGGGCCACGGTCACACTGTTTAGGGCGGCCTCCGTGCGACGATCAATAAGTATATCGACAATTTCAGCCGGTAGCAGAGGACGAATCGGATCGGTGATGGCAAAATGACCCTCCTCTACCAATCTGAGCGCCGCCATCACAGCTGCCGGCTTCGAAATAGAGCATGCTTGGAAGAGGGTGTCGGGATCATCACCAATGCTGGATATGCAGTAGGAGGAGATCTCGCCATCGTCCAAGACAGCAATCGTCGCTGATGGTACGCCTAGATCTTGAAGAACTTGAGCTGTGTTCTGCGAGCCATTTCCGGACTGGCGCACGAGCTCTTCGAGCTGGTCGAACAAAGGTGAGCTCATGGTACAAGGAGGCAAATGGTCTCGGGCAGGCGCTGCAGCACTCGTGCGAGACTCATACTGAATGGTTGCCTAGAAGGGGTTCCCCGCAAGCTCAGGCTGCGGGCATCATTGGATCGGTACCTGAACCTTAAACGGCCGATTAGGCGAGCACCAAGATCCGGTCCGCGGCAACAAGCAAACACAGCATCGTTCTCAATTCGTGTGCTTCCCGCCGACCAGTGGACTTAGGACAGTGCTTTGTGTTAGTTTCGCTCGCAGTGTTGCGTAATCAGCATCCTCGACTGCGACCGCGCTAGTCTCGGCCCAGGCTATTCGGGCATCAATTTAGCGTTTTCGGCACTCGTCAGTAAATCTAGGCCAGGGCGGGCTCCGAGCAACAGAATGGTCTTGCAGTCCAGGCCAGCAACTTTGAGATGAGCCTCACTTGAGTACCAAGTCGCAGGACCAGTCCATCAACTATTGTCTCGCCACGGAAGGTGCTGTAGGAGTTCGTGGCGCTTCCTCTGAGAGCTGCGGAGAACGCTCATGTCTTGGCCGAACAGCCTGCAGCCCCGAAAGCTTCCAGCCAAGCCTCTCGCTTGATCAGCTTGGAAGGCTGCGTCAGGCATCCAGGCGGCCCAAAGCTGGTTCTCAGAACTCCTTGATGCGATTGTCGGAACAGCAGACTCGGTGCTATAAAGACTGCTCCTCGCTGGCAATTCTTGATCTGCAATTCGCAGTTCAGTAGATTCCAGACCCGTTTCAATTATCTCGCCAGTATCCAGTCGCGATGTCACAGACTCCCTTGTCGATAGTGCTATGTGGGAGGACTCAAGCAGTTGGTCAGCCAGTGATGGATCATCTGAAGCCAGAGTACAAAGGTAAGTGGACCGGAGCTTTCCATGCCTGACTGACCAATCCAGTCGCTCTGTTCGTGACGACCGTTGAGCAGGGCATTGAGGAGATTCCGCCTGTCCTTCGTGGAGATGATAAGATCTTCGCAATTGTCCTGGGTGGGTACGTATGCCAATGAACCTGAACCGGGCGAGAGATCAATCTTCCGCTCTGCTTCATGGTGCATGTTCATTCTGACAGGAGCTAGTGGGTACAATGAGACAGCGTATGAGGCGATCAGAAAAGCGGCGACCGCCGGCAATTGCCAGAAGGTCTTCTGGGTCCGTCCAGACATGACCAAGGGAGGTCCACCACCCGGTGGTCCACCACCTCCGTCCTATGCGAAAGAGGTTGCTGAGCGGACGAAGAACAAGCTAGATGAATTGAGAAGTGGAGGTGCTGAGGAAGGCGACCTTGTGTTCTTCTAATAGTCCTTGAGATTCTCTACCATCTGTCGAACGGTCTTCTCGTCGGTCACCCATAGGTCCGCAGCAAACAGGCTATGTTGCTGGTCCCGTGTTGTCAATGTACGCTTGCAGCTCGCATGTATAGCCTTTGCGCCAGTTCCTTTCACGACCGTTCCAATATTGGCTGGTGCGAGGCCGGCCCCTGGCATGATGATAATCCTTTCGCCAGCAACCTCGACCAAACGTTTGAGTTGCTGTCTAGCTGCTGGCTCAGCAGCCGATTGCTTCCCACCACTCGTTAGTACCCTCGAACATCCGAGATTGACGACATCTTCGAGACCTACGATTTGGTCTTCGAGATCGTCGAACGCCCGGTGGAAGGTGACCGCCATACCTCTCGCAGCACTGATCCAACGCGACATGAGGTGCAGGTCCACTCGATTGGCAGCAGTCAGTGCTCCTATGACTACCCCTTCGCATCTCATCTCTGCGACCATGTTGATGTCGTGCTCGATGACTTGGGCTTCGTGTTGATCGTAGACGAACCCGCCCGCCCGTGGGCGAATGAGCACGTGTACATGAATAGCGACGGCGTTGCGTACTGCGTGAATCAGTCCATGAGAGGGCGTGACGCCGCCAATTTCCAAACATGAGCAAAGTTCAATACGAGTCGCGCCTGCCCTCTCAGCAGCTATCGCGCCGTCAACGCTGGTCACGCAGATTTCCAGTTCGATGGGCATGATGCGCGATGATCCACGAGTGGTGAAACCGCAACTCGCTCGTCGATTGAGCTGTAGACGCTGGGATCATCTCCTCGTACTGACGGGAGTCTTACAACTTGAGCCTGATCAGGCGCTGACGATCAAGCAGTGCAAAGCCACTCAGGTACAGCATACCAGCGCATACAGGGGGCAAAGGTTCGTGAACGCGTGGACGACAAAAAGTCTTGGCACGGCAAGCTTGATTTCCGGCAAGTCCGTGACCGAATGTCTTCGCTTCAAGAGCGTATCTCAGCCTCGACATCAGCTGCACACGTCTTGGGGCACAGGTGCTGTTGCGGGCAGCCCTATCGCCAGGTATGGCATCAGTCCCGCTCCAGAGGACGTCGTTCCACCATACTGGCCCCACCACACAGCCTCTGGGCCTCGATGAAGCGTCAAGCAGAACATGAATGTCCTGGATGGAAGTCAGGTGAGTCTCTATTGGGCGAGGCCGGAAAGCTGCCAACATCTCAACGCTGCGCGATATGCCATGTTGGTATAAGTGAATTTGAGCTCCGGTCTTGCGGACATGCATGCGGGCTTCCCCGCAACCTCGAATCATCCGGGGCAAAGTTTACGCTGAGCTAAGTCACCTCACACCACTCATCTCACTTCTGTCTTCCTTTCACGAACCATGAGCTCCCTCAACGAGATCTTTGGCGACGGCCACAATGCTTACTTCTCCAATGGTCCGATTGCTCGGCTGTCCTTTCTCCGCCTCCAACATGCTCAGCTCGACAAAGCTCTCACATCTAGAACGGCCAAGATCCTGACCTTTGACGAGCTGAATCCTCTGCGTGGCTCAGATGGCCGACTCGCCTTTTTGAAGTATGAGGATGTCTCAGACAGCATTGGTAGGCCATACGAGAAGGACGAGAAGGCTCGGATAGCTGACTTCGACCCGTCGGCTCACCATCCGACGTTGATCTTCCTCGGTTTGGACTTGACTTCGTCAGGAGATCGCTTTGGTGAGCATAGCGGCGTGCCTTACTTTGCTCTGGATATCAGTGGAGGCCATTACGAGGCTTTGAGGTCGTCGGTGACGGCGCAAGGGCTGAAATATGCTCCGACTCGAGTCGATCTAACGCTGCCGCACGAGCAGTCGGCAATATACAGCCATGCACGGTCACTGCTGGACTGGAATGCCCGAAACAGGTTCTGCTCAAGCTGCGGGGGCCGGACTATGTCTACGCATGGTGGAGCGAAGGTCGTGTGTCCTCCGGCGGATAATGGTGTGCCTCGAAAACGCGCGTGTCCGACGAGGGTCGGCTTGCATAATCATCAATTTCCGCGGACCGATCCGACGGTTGTGATCGCGCCGATATCTGCGGATGCAAAGAGGATATTGCTTGGTAGAGGGAAGAGATGGCCAGAGAACTACTTCTCATGTCTGTCGGGGTTTGTTGAGCCCGGCGAGAGCTTGGAGACTGCCACACGGAGGGAGGCGTACGAGGAGACTGGTGTCAAGATTGATCGAGTCCAGCTGCACTCGAGCCAGCCGTGGCCATACCCCTCAACGATGCTGATTGGCGCGATGGGGCAATGTGTTGAGGGTGGAGAGGATATCACGTACCCGGAGACCGAGCTGGAGGAGGCTAAGTGGTTCGAGCTTGCGGAGGTCGAGCATGCGCTGAACGAAGGCGCAAATCCGATGGTAAGTCTATCCGCTTTTCGTGAGCCTGAACCATCAGTCAATCAGGGGGCAGTCTCGACTCAACACCTGAGATACTTGTTCTGGATGATGTTTCGGATCATCTTCTAGCCCCGGGCAAGGCGCTGTCATCTTTGAAGCTCTCCTGGCGGCGAGTTCACGATTGTCAAGCCTCAAGTCCATTTCCCCTTCCACTACCTCTTGCCAGATTCCGAATTTCTGGTTCAGGCTGACTAATATCGGCAGTGGGAACCGCCGATCAAAGGCTATGTTGGACCTCGGGTGCCGCCGAGCCAACTGATGGCGCACCAGTTGTTGCGCGGGGTGTTGAAGTTATTTAGGAAGTAGAGGATATCGATTCTTCGACGGTCGAACACCGAGATGGCTTTGAGGTCTATGTCTCGCAGACGGGCTCGCACATTATGATTCACTGCGGGGTTTCGAGCCGTTGATTTTCTGCCATCCCGTCTCGACCTCTTCCCGAGTCCGTTCCACATAAATCATCAGCATAGGTTGACAACCGGTCTTCACTCCCATCGCGAGGTCATCGATGGGGACTGATCGCCACAAAGATTGGCTTGTGTTCTCCGGTTTTCGAAAAGCGATAATAGGACGTCATCTCGACCCTTCTTGATCCGACGCGAGTATCAGACGACCTCGTCGCGGTTGAACGTTGCCGTGGCTATGGACTGGCAGCAGTGGTGTTGTCGGAAGCTGGGCCATCGACGGCACATCGCCGACAAGAAGCTAGTTGCCGCCATTGACGACCACTGGCACCAGCTTGCCGCCAGACCCTCGCGGCGGCCTTTCCCTCCGCCTGATCATTGCGAGGGCATGATTCATCGACTTCGCCTCGTCGACGGAGAGGACAAGCCAGCGCTCTCCATCACCGTGGCTGCGTCTCCTGTCATCACCACGACGATGCACTCGCTACTGCCATTAACATGCACGGGCCTGTCGTCGAGGTGATTTAGTGGGATCTCACAGGCCGCCTTCTCGTAGCTACAACGACAAGGAGCCTGCCGCACTCCGCGACTAACACACTCCCCGCTTGCGCGGTTAAAGCTCATCCATCCATACGCTACCGCCACAACAGAGTCGCTCGAATCATGGACTCGTCAACCGGCGTACGAGTGTCGGCGGTCCTTGTCATCCGGTCTTGTCCGACAAACTTCTTCAATCTCCGGCACAACTTCGACGTTTTCGGCGAGCTCTCTCACTTCCAACCTTCCCATAGCCCACGAGCCATCGCAATGTGTCCACGCAGCGGCAAACTCGGCACGGCACACACGATCGCCGGACGACATCCTCATCGCGACGAGCCGAGACTCTGCCAAAATCTGTGTTGCATCTTCTAACGACGGCACAACGCACCAGGCAAGGGACCAAATTCTGCTCACTGTCAGGGGCCGAGACTCTATCAAAATTGGTCGCTATCAGGGGCTGGGACTCTGCCAAAATCTGGGCTTGTGACTGCTGCACAGGGAAGTGTTCTGCGAGGGGGCGAGACTCTGTCAATTTCTTTTGTAGATGCTGCGTCATTCCCCTGGCTCTGCAGGCATTCTGTAGCTGAGCAGCTTGCTTGTGCCATTCGACGACGAAGGTGCCAGAGGCGGTAAGAGTTTCGCTGCGAGAGGGACTAAGACTATGCCAAAATTTGTCGCAGCACGAGACAGTTCTACACACTCCGTACGTGTCAATGGACGTGGTTGCCGTGATTCGGATGTGGCGGGGGCGAGCAGCATCACGGTGCTGCGACAGTCCATTCTGATACGCATCTATTAGTCTATCTGTGTGTGATCTGCCTAATCGCGTGATGGCGCCCAGTCCTGCAATTTATATTCCGTAAGCTCGTCTTCTATCCATGAAAGCGAGCCCATGCTTTAGATACTTCCGCGAGCATCATACGGCGCGGTCAGGGCGAGCTTCGCAAGACGACTGGCACAGGACCCGACGGCAGATCCTTCGTCAATATCGTTGAGATGTTTGTCGACTAATGTGAGGAGTGGTGATGAGGCGAAGGCTCATGAAGGCGGCCGCGGCGTTGACGGGGGGTCCGAAGCAGGGACTCAGTGCCTGACGCTCAATCATTCGGAGCTGGCGAACGAGAATGTCGAATGCAAAGTGTTCCATTGCAACAAGGAGTAGTGATAATCATGATGATGCGAGCGTTGAATGACCACCTACTGCTTCGTGGTGGTGATTAGCAGCTTCTTGATCGGACGATCACCATGTTGCCGTGGGTGGCAACCAGACGGGCTGTCATGGGCGGCGAGGAGAAACGGTGACAAGACCTTTTGATATGATGAGAATACCCGGGAAGCTGTTGGGGAGTAGGTGTCGGCGGCTCAATTTGTCGTTGAGACAACCCTGTCATGGACTGCAGCGACACAAACCCGCTCCAGTTCGAATCGGACTGTATGTGCTCGTCGGTAGTGAGCCGCAGAAGTATCACAAGCGGGAAGACCGTAAGCAGCTGGCGTTGCCCAGCGCGTGATTGAGGCTGCCGATCCGGCGAAGTGATGGGTTGGGATGAGCTATGCAGTGAGTCTTGTTGCCATAGCATAGAGCTTCTGAGTCGCATCGGTCTGTCTGGAGTAGCTCGAAACCCAGTAGAGGCGTGCGGCGAGACCCTTGAGCACGGAAACGAGTAACGGCCATTCCAATGAGTCTTCACAATGAGCGCCCTGCTGGGATTGAGTCTTCGATCATGCGGCTGGTGGTGAATCCGTGCGAAGTTTTTGGAGTCCGCAACAGTAGGAGGTCCGCCAGGCTGGACGAGAAATCCATAGACGCCGTAGGGGTATGTGTCGCAGAATGGTGCGCCGAACACTGTCTAGGCCCAGGAACGAGTGTACGAGGAGTAGCGACATTGTCGATAGGCTGACGTACGAGAGCGTTGGTTGTTGAAGCACCTGCTCGTGGGCGGCGTGACCAAGCAAATATATTTGTCAAACCGGTAGACTCATGTGGTGTGGCCACTGGACGAAGGGAGTGCCAGAAGGCTGCCCAGCTTGGTGGAACATGGTCGACGAGATCTTGCGCGCAGTGTTTCGAGGGTCGCTCCTTGAGTTTCCCGTACGCCAATCTTGGGCGAAAGACGGCCTAGCTCAGAGTGTATTGCCGAACTCTCGTTGACACTGCAAAGTCTATTTGCTGAGCTAGCTTGTGACGGCCAGACTTGCGAGATAAACTTCCTGTTCCTGGCTAGATGACGCGTGTCCACCTCAACATGATTCAAGCGACTGTACGGCTTGCCTGCCAGAACCCTTGAGAGTTCATCGCAACGATTATCGTGAGCTTCCGGGATGCAGCCAATGTTTGTCAAACGAGCTTGACGCTGATCTTGCGCTTGCTGTACTGGAGACAGCCTGGACGAAACCGCAGTACTAAGGATCAATGATAAGAGCGATAGAAAAGCGTCTTCCTGATGGCAGCTCTTCCTGTCGCCACATTTGGGATTGAGGAAGAAGGCGTAAAAGTGTCGTATGATGGCATCAGATGAGCTTCGTACGCAACAGCGTTCGCGTTTGTGGTCGACGAAGCTGGATGATCGCGTGTCCAAGCGGAACGTCGTTGTCGTCGTGGTTCTTCGTATGGATGCGCCGTCTGGAGCGCTCGCAGATCGTTCCAAAGCCCGCATAGTCCTGGAGCGGGAATAGGAGACTGATGCTGGTGGACTGCGATGCAGGAACAGACTCGAGTCGATGGGACACCCGTAAGACGTGATCGTCAGTCTTGTCATTGGGTTGTTCACAGCGACAGCTACCGAGAAGCGCGGCCGTGCTGCCTCTCGATGACAGAATTACCTCCGACCGTGCTCGTGTGAGATTGTCGAGTAACGGCACCCAAGGACATGGATTTGAGAGGCGGAGCTTCGAGCGGAAGTATTGAGACTGCACTGTGTAGACGTCTTTCGTGGGCGCTTATTCAACGTCGAGGTGGCGACGGACTGTCACGAAGCTGGGAGACGAGCGCATCTCTGTTATATCGTCCTGTCCGCGTGATGTGTTTTGCATCCGTCAATCATGTCTGAGTTTGTTCCTTTGCTCCTTTGGCACGGTTCGTTATGACTGAGCTGCATGTTTTGTGGTCTGTCTTCAGCCGCCAAAGACGTATTAGGTGAGAGGACATCGAGGGTTGAGGCTTCGGAGATCGTCATACGGAGGAGTGTATGACAGTGTATCGTCGTAGGATGATGAGGCTGTTTAAATTGATGGATTCCGCGTGGCAGGGAGCTCCCGATCACAAGCCGTCGAGATCAACTGTTCTATCGGAAATGCCAGAGTTCGGAGGTGGAGATGGACTCGATGAGACGAAGACATCGGTACTTCTGTCTTCAGTTGCGTCGTCCACCTGTCGCTGAGAACGACCTGCATCGATTCGTTTGCAAATGGGTTTGTCATGCACGACTATTGTCTCGAAGCCAACATGTCTGGCGCCAGGGTGTTGCGATGCTGACGTCTTGATCAACAGATATCACGTAAACGAGGGCTCACGGCGTCGAGGGAGCGGTCGTCGAGGTGATTGATTGAAGCAGGTTGTGACCAGCGGCGAAGAAAGAAGTGGCGAAGAGCTCTCTTGGCCCATAGTTGTTTCCGTGAGCCATCCGGCAGCGAAGATAGCTCGACAACTATTGTTCTTCTTGCACCATTCTTGTCTGTCTGCGCTTCTGCGCAGGCTGTTGAAGCAGCCTCTGATGTCTCATTCGAGCCTGTGATCAGATGTGGCAGGAGAGCTTGGTCTCGATCTTCTGCGACAGACAGCGTGGTGGATTTTCGTGTCGTCGCCGGAGAATCGATTGCAATGGGGAAGATCCGGAGCCGATGTTCGCGAATGGAAGCAGCCATGCAAGGCAGATCCCAAGAGGAGTGACGATCGCGGAAACCGGAAGGCACGTGTTCGTGTTCGTGTTCTTCTAATAGTATGGTGAGGTCTCATGAACTTCTTGCTCTGCGCCCATCTCGTCGTGAAGGCTCGGAGGTGGCAACGACAGATGCGAAAATAGCGTACGAGAGATAGGGCAAAGATGAGACGCAGAGCTGATTGTGATCGAGAGTCAGACTCCTCGTTGGTCAGCGAGCTTCGAGGCCTAGCCGAAAACTTGGGAAAGTCCAAGTGTCGGTAGCTGCGGACTGTGATTGCACTTCTTCTCCAGCGATGGTGGTCGGGCAGTGTCTTTGTGCAGCTTTTCCTTCTCTTGAATGACTTGCGTGGGTAGTTCCGCCATTCACGGCGCTCGAGGAGGATGGGCTCGAGGGCGGTGCGCTCTTGATGTAGGAGGTTACAACGGGTGTCTCGTACCGGCCGAAATGCACTTGTAGCTCATCTCATATCACGGACCTGAA